ACCTTCCCGGCTGGAAGGAGACTGCTGTCGAATGAAGACCTGATAGAGGCTGTCAACAGTTATATTGGGAATCTCGAAGAAAGTCATGCCCGGGAGGGAATCGAAAAGATGGAGAAGTGCTAGACGAAGTGTGTCAAACTCTGCGGGGATTATGCCGAAAAAAAAAGTATAACTTGAATCAGATATATATTGTTTTTCATATTAATTCCGGAAACTTTTCAATCTACCCCCGTAGATGTCTCAATATGTGCCAGCCTCTCCTATCTACATCGGTACATTTTGTATTATGATGGTTCTTTCTTTTTTGTGTGCGTGTTGTGAACCATGTCCAAATTTTAGTATTCTTGTTATACACTTCACCACTTAATTACCGGGTTAGAACAATACTATACCTTGATACGCTCAGGGTGCCGAAATATAAACTGACCCAGCGGCGATTAGGCACAAAAGCCTTGTAAAAAACTCCGGCGACGTCGATTTATTAAAAAAAAAAAGTTGAAATAAAGTGTTACATTATCTCTAGTCGGCAGAGTAGCAGTCAGTTTGATAACTTCGCATGTCGGAGGCACCAAATGCGACATTTTGCCCCTATCGGCAGCATTACACTGGGCCGGCTCATATTTCCGCTGACTGTACGTGTCTGTTCTAAGGTGGTGAGTTAGGGTAATCTTGTGGCATGATGCTCGTTGCTCTTCTTTTCTCTGGAACACGTCGCGCGTTGCCCGCGTCGGGTACTATAAACAGTGGCACCATCCTATAGAGAGCAACAGTGAGGCACAGCCAAACGCCGGTGGCCAAATCAAGGGGGTTGGGGGTCAGGACATCCTGATCCTCCCCCCCCCCCCCCCCCCCCCTCCCTGAATTCGCTACTGGGCTTTATCGGAGGCAAGAAAACAAGCAAAATTATGGCGTACGCACCCACGTGTACCTGGAAGTTCCGTAAAGATAGACGCCATCTCCTGAGCACCTCGCAGAGCAGGTCACCCTGCGTCAAAAAAACGTCTGCTTGCGGAACACGGTAAACCGTGAGGTGCTGTTCTTCGAACGGGTCTGTCTCACCTGCAGAGGACACCGTAGTCGCATCCGGCCGTGTAGGGATTTTTGCTGCAGCTAATGCTTCCTTTGTTGACCACTTGGAGCGCTGTAGGCGGTATTCCACGTGTGAAGATCGTGAAACCAGGAAAATATAAATCATTTAAAAAGCTCCTTTCGATTATATAGTTTTTGCACACTTCGGTTTTAACCGAGAAACGCCAATGAACATCCGGCGGCGACAAAAATACAGAATTGGTTAAAGCCGAAAAACACCGCTGGGTGAAAATTTTCGTCCCTGTTAAAACCGAAAAAAACACCGGTGGTTAAATAACTTCGCCCTAAATATTAAAAAAAAAAAAAAAAAGAAAAGGTCGTTGAACGACCAAGTGTAAGAATGGATGTTCCCACGGAAAGAATAAGAGCGTTCGAAACATGGGAAATTGCAGCTCTGAAGTGTTTGTGTCCAAACGCATTTTGCTTCTCCGATAATCACCCCTTTTTAGCATCGTCACGAGCCGTCTAACCAAAATATGCTGGCGTTTAAAAAAAACTAGTAAACGCCGAAAAACATCCGCCCATGATAATGTAGTGATTGCGCAGGCGAGCTGGCGAGCAGGCGAGAGACGTGTCCTCGACTGTTCATTTTTCTTCTACTTCGAAACTTTCCTCTTTTCCTGCCTCAGTCTCGGGCTAAGAACAAAATGATCCGCCCATGTTTTTGCACACCCTAATTATATCCGAAGAAATCGGAGACGCACAGAGTGTGTTACGAATGGAGCTGGACACACGTTGTGTGTGTGTGTGTTACGTCAAGCTGAAGTAACGGAGTCTAGTGACGTCATAAGGACACGTCACGTCAGGATGTCCCAAGACACCTTGACGTCGAGGTCATAAAAGCAGTACAACTTCGATAGGACAGTGTAGCTCATTTGACAATGACCCGTGTGTCGGTCAGGCGTAGAACCAAACTTGACGTTCTTTGGCCGCCATATTGGGTATTTGGGATCGAGATTTCCAAATGCAAGTTCCAGAGTTAGGCTTTAGCTCACGGTTGTACGTCTGTCACGTGGCTTCTTTGGTCCTACCCTCAGAGTCCCGAGCAAATGCTAGAATTGCATGCTTGGGTGCGTGGTTGGTCGGTTGTCACGTGGCATTTCTGGCTCATGTCTGGCACTTGGGAAAATTACGAGGCGAACCAGAAAAAAAAAAATGCGCGAGACATTGGCATTTTTCTGGCTAGTCATAGGCCGAAGAAAAGTACTTTGACCCTAACATAATAATGCCCAGGAGCAAAATATTATTAGGCCCAGGTTTGGCCATTATGTGCCTGTGAGTGTCAAACTTGGACCAATGTATGTAGGCAGAATTCACCACACGCCATATTGAGGGCGATGTCAAGGGCGCATGCTCAGAACTCGAGCTCACATTAATAGCCTTCTAAGACATAGCAGTATTGATGGTGCAGAATGCAGGTTGCAAAAGAATTGCGAGGAAGCTCGCCTTCAGCACGCGCACGGCAGTCGCGCACACAAATATGACTGCCAGTGAATAGTCCCTATGCGGAGCGCAAGTGTCGTCTGCTTCTTGCACATGGATTGTGATGATGTCAGAACGCCGAACTCTTATTGGCTGATTGAAAGAAATAGCGGGTAGACCTCGAGGCATCTAGCATTGAGGTCTACCCACTGTGCCTTCAGCCAATCAGAACTCGGCGTCGTTCTTACGTCACCGCCACTCCTGCCCAAGAAGCAGACGACTTGCTCTCCGTATAGTCTGTGAAAGGTGAAAAAAAAAAGACCCAAAAGATCTTCCGCCTCCAACACGCGCTCGTAGCCTTCCGCAGATCACTGGCTGCAGTGCTTGAGACTAAGTGCTGCTATCATAGGCTGAAAGCTGCTCGCGTTCGGGAACGGACTGTTCCCACGTCATAGAAAAGACTACCCGATGCAGACACGATGACAGATTTCTCTGCGGACACGTGTCGGCCATGATCGAAGCCCGTCTGCTTTATACATACATAGTACATGCTTCCAACATTTCTGCAGACTTCCCTTTGTTCTAGCAGTGCGTCCGTGGCTCTAAACTGCTAGCGACCATACATTATACAAACACTGTCTGGAATGAATTCCATTCTTAAGCGAGTCGGAATCCCCCCAAAAAAGCCATCGAGCCAGGTTATAGCCCCAAAACGAAACCACGCCTCACCTGCGTCGGCGCTCAGCAGGCACAGGAAGCCGAGACGTAATAGTATAACTCCGCATGTCCCGAGCATTGGATGCGTCAGCTGTCCAAATGCTGCAAAACTATAGATCGAGACGACAGTTGAACGAATGGTGTCTGCGTATACGGTGTACGTTTTATTAATATTTTTTGTTCTTGTCTCAACGGTCGACTCGCGGCGTCGACTTCCAGTTCCGTTGCCGATAGCAGGGCCGGAGCTTCCGTTGCACACGCTGCTTGCAAGACGCGGTCTTCCGGAAGGGGCGACGAGGATCCTCTATGGTGCTGGACTCGGAGGAACATCCCGGAAGTGGCGAGGCCTCCACGGGACTTTTACCAAGGACCGAGGTCACTCGTGGCGCTCTTCTACAGGATCGGTGGACTTTCTTCGAATGATCCATAGTCGTTCCTGTCGAAACGTGCCCGATGCTCGATGACCGAATAACAGCAGTGTGTGGACGTCGGTGCGAATCGAATAGTGCCGTTTCGTTCAGAACCTTCAGGGTGCGAGGGCAGCCGAGGAATGTCGGTTCTCTTTGCAGGGCTTCAAGTTAGGGATTACAGATTGCGCTATTGGATACGAAACACCTAGTCGCGCACCCGTACTAAATAAAAGGCTTATAGGTGTTCATGCGATTCTTTGCTGCCAAACTGTACGCGTCCCTCGGGCGTTGTGTCGATAAGGACTTGCCTCGAGATAACAACGTTTTTTTTGTTTTGTTTTTTTTGGCTAGCCTGTCGCTTTGGTTACTTGTTTTCAATTGGCGACATTTGTGTATTTTTTTTATGTGAAACAATATGTTGACACCTTGTAGAAGCGGCATCCCGAGAGTGGCACACCCGTAGTAAAATAAATATAAAAAAGACACACACACACACATATACAAAAAATCATACGTGCACCTTTACGGCGCGCATTTAAATTATAAACCGCAAGCTTGCATCACTAGAAATTCGTCGAGATTTATTGAAATAAGACCGCTATAACGACCACATCAGTAGGAGGTGCGGTTCAAAACCCCTTAGACAACAAGGCCGCTAAGCTGGTGTTCCTGCGTCGCCTATTGGACGCCAACGTGGCGCACATATTGGCCACAAGCGCTGTGTCAATTCGAGTTTTCAAATAAAATATTTTGTAATTTTTTGGATTTGCTCCGTACATCGTAGCTATTGGCTCACAAGGTGCTCCTCGAAAAAGTAAAGGTGCAAGTCTTCTTTTTTTCTTAGAGTGATGACGAAGCATATTATAGTCGCGCATCCGACCTGACCACAAGCCAACTACGGATCACACTGCACGCATTTTGTATCGACAGACATATCCGCGACGCCTTGAGACCCCTCTTCAAAGTCTGACCCTTGTTGGAGCCATTGGAATGCTTGCCCAACGACGGGCGCAAAAGACACCGCCAAATAGGGGCTACAGTCACGATGACGTCACTATTATATTCCCCCTTCTAGCATTCTGATAGGTTGCCCGGCATTTTTATCGAGTAATGCCGCGATCTCATTGGTCGCGGAGTGATACTGAGATGCTACAACTCGTAACCGGTCAGCGACTGTACACAACCGCAACCCATCATAGCGAAAACGCCTCAAAGACAACCGGATCAGAATGTGTTCGTTCCTCGAAGACACAATAGCAACGAGGACCGCGGCAATCCAGGAAGTCGACGTCCTCACACAACCAACCCTACTGGCAGCTCGGCGGGCAGGACGCGCGGTCGGGATGACGTCACTTCCCCCGAGCGCGTCTATCTGTCCGTGCCCGCGCGCTTCGGCTCTCTGTTGCACGCGACTCCGAGGCGACCGAGAGGCCCGCCAGCGGTTCTTCCCCCACCCCCGCGGCAGTTAGGGCAATTACAACTCATCGCGCGTCTGCGGGGACCCCTCCTTCAAGTGGGACCTCGAGCGGGGCCATTGTCTTTGGGTGCAATCGTCGACGGTTTTGGGCCCCTCCTGGCTGGGTGTGCACCCCGACCTCTTCGGCGAGTGTGTGGTTGCGTGGCGGTGTGGCAATCCCGCTAGTTCCTCTTTCGGTGTTCCACGATGTCTTCTGCGCTGTCCTGATGAACGGCCTGGTACTCTCTGCCTGGATCCTCGCAGTCGGCGTAAGCGGTGAGTATTTTTAATTTTTATTTTGCTGGGTTGTTTTGAAGGGAGGTACCTAGCAGTTGACACGTCTATGAGTTGGATCCAGCTATTTCTTCAGATCCAGCCATGTTTGCTTAATCTGGACTACACTAAACGATTACTCTGCTTATAGACATCATTTTTGAGGACGAACTGGGGAAATATATGCATTTTTGTGGACAAGACAGATTGGAGAAGAGTTTTTGTGGGAAACGAAGGTGTCCATAATAATGAGTAGTGAGTATAGCACACATAGGGTTACTTTACAATATTATAACTGCTTGTGAGGGAACAAAGAGTGAGGGAAAAAGCGACTGTTAAACTATAGAGCTCTTATTTTGTTTAGCATTAAGAGAGAAAAAAAGGCGGAATATGTTTAACAGTCGAACCGAAAACAATCAAATTAGGTGTGATAACGTAACTGCAAGGAATAAGAAGTATGGAAATAAGTTTTGTAAGGGTTTCCATCTCCTGTTAACGTGTAGAAGAGAAAAAAGAAATCATTCATTAGGCTTGGGCGCTCGAAAAAAAAACCTATCAATAAAACCGAAACCATTATTCGGTAGCGCTCTGGTGGTAGCAGAGCCGTTTATACTGAGAGAGTTTGGCCTTCTTAAGGAGATTTTGACAGTCTGACAACCACAGCAGCGTAGTCTGACAACCGGGGGATGACTACTTCCGTCCGCCATATTGTGGCTCTGACTCATACGAACTCTACGCGATTTCTCAGGAATGAACAAGACAAAGAAGTAACGCCATATTGTGTTATCGCGAAATCCGCTTGTTCTAGCGGCCAACAAGCTCCGCCCATCGGGCAAACTCTCACAGTATAAACGGCTCTGGGTGGTAGTAATGCAGCCTGACACGCAGCCAAAGCCTCGAGCCAAGTCGACACCAAGCGATAAGTTATTTCAGCTTTTGTTTGTGTTGTTTAAAGTTATTCACTATGCTCTTTTTACGATATCTTTGGGTGTAAACTTGGGTGTCATATCAACTATTCTGACTGCCTAATTGACGAAAGCAAGGTAAATAAACAAAACGCTCAGCGACATTTTCCAGTGCCCTTGCTGAGTGGTAAGATGTACCAAAGTATGTGTAAAGGGCTTCTAAGAACTACAAGTGAAAAAATTGAAACGCATATACTATGTTTAGCGTCGCTGCTGCTTACATTGTTAACTTTTTATTGAGCTCACTGCATTACAATAACCATATAATCGCGTCATTATGAGTGGAACTTTGTGGCAATACTTCTACTACTACATTGTTAAGAACCGTCGGAGGCACGAGTGTTTAAAGTACTGGCTTCGGTAACGTTAAATTTCAGGATGACCACACAGTGGGACTTGAGAAACACGGTGGGTACGTTGGAGTCAGCTGCGACGTGACTCACTATTCGGATAACTTCTCATTGCGAAAAAGGCAACACACGAATTGCTCGACACAAGCTTTAATTTGATGAAGTGTCAAAAAAATACAAAAACGTTGCCAAGCAGAATCAGTTCGCTAAGCGCGTACCAACCTCTATACTCGTTTTCTCATCGAAAAAAAAAAAGCAAGTTTTGTGCATTTTTTATTAGGAGGTCAGTGCGGACAACCGTGGTGTTAGCTGGACGCACAGCACTTGAAAGGATATCCGATCACCCACAAGCGAGGTCACTGTTCTAGAAAGATCGTGGTCGTTGCCGGGCTCCTTACAAAGAGTATAATAAGTGTGCAAATAAATTGTTCTTGGTTGGTCTCGGCTGCATAGCATGAAGGATGCGATTCACACACTTGCGTCAAGTCCGATCGAGTGCGACTGCGACGGCTTGCAACGTACGCCGTTGCTGTGGCAACAGCTTGCAACTGCCACGTCTTGCGACGGCGTCGCAATCCGCTTCAGTTGCATTTGGCATTTGGTCGGACTCGCTCGACGCAAGTGTGTAAATCGTCCTCCACTCTCTCCGACAACGTTGGCGCGCTCCGGCGACCAACGCAACGATACACAATCGGGTCGCAGTGATGGGTGGATGGATGGATGCTAACAGCTGCACCCTTTATAACAGACGGCAGGTTGCGCCACCTATAGAGCCTAGAAATTAAAAACCAAAAGTACGATTCCTTCCTTCGCCCTTCTAAACCCGTTTGCTTCCCCTCCACAAATTTTGTAACTATCACAGAATTTCACACCTGACGGTGTGAATTAGGTTTCATTCATTGTGGTCGTTGTAGCACAACATCGGAGGAAAGAAGGGGGCGCCACTTATGCACCAACACGCGGTTCTCACGTCAGGCCTCTGCAGTGGCGCTGCTGCTAGCGCTGAGCATGCGCAATACCCACCACGCTCACTTGTTTGAAGACAACGTGTTCATCCATACCCGTCATTTGTTTCGAACCGCAAAAAAAAAAATATTTTCTGGAAATTAAGAGAGAGTTCTTAGAATGTAACAGTGACAATATTTGAAGTGTCGCTATAAGTGGCTTGTATTACTGCAAAAGGAAACTGGTGTGCCGTTGTTTGTGAGCCATCGGTATACAAGGCAGGGCCGTGTGCTGATTACGAGCTGATATCGCCGATGGATGCACAACGACATTTGAACGCTTTTGAGCTCCAAACGCACTTGCATGGATTGCTGCAACCACTTCGCGGTGTCCGACTTCTGAGCGCACTTTCACTATAATTACCAGTGCAATCCGCTTGTAACGATAGCGAGAAAACCTGAAAATTCTATCGCTATAACCGATTGTCGTTATATGTGGACTAGAAACTGAGCGTTTCTAGTCTAGAAACTCCAGAAACTGATCGTTATGAGCACCACATCGTCATATCTGGTATCGTTATAAGTGAATTTCCCGATTTAGTTTCATTAGCTTCTGACCGTGGTGTCGTTCGGTGGCCAAGTCTTTTAAAGGGAAACTCTGGTACATTGTCTCAATTTTAGGGCTACGACGGTGTTTTTTTTTGTGTGTGTGTTTTTTTTTTCCCGATGCTTTGTGTAGTTTTGTAGATATCCTATCTCAAAGGTTTGTTTCCGAGGCCTACGGCGAAACCAAAATTATACCGGCTCAGCATGATGGCAACCCTTGTGTTTAGCTGCATGACCATCGTGTGACGCAAGGTTCGTGTCGCGGTACAACAACATTTCAGCTTGGAATATGCGAGGAAATATAGGCGAGGCAAAACAAGAATGTGTGACAATTACGCATTTTTCGTAAACACCTTCCAGCGACGTGGAGATATCAAAACGGTGTTTTACCGCATACCAGAAGTGACGACATTCAAGATGGCTGCGCCTTTGCGAAGAAAGAGGCATACTATGTCCACCAGTGAGTGCCATTTTCAGAATCACGACGCACTTGAGCGAGCAGGGAGCCAGTATTCTTCGTGCGTCATCAGACTCACATGTCATTACGGTCATCAGACTCACAGCTCATCAAGGATCATCACACTCACGCTCATAAGTTCTTGGGACTCACACTCACACTCATGACTTCTCAAAACTCACTCTAACACTCATGACTTCTCAAAACTCACACTTACACTCGTGAGCATTCAGAACTCACGCTCACACTTCCCCTTACACTCATGAGTCCTCAAAACTCACGTCCATGCTCACAATTTTTCGAGACTCGCGGGCTCATTCGCATTACCTCATATCTGGCGATGAGTGCGAGTGTGCGTGAGTGATCGCACTCATGAATGAGGCAAGCCGAGGTGTGCCCGAGGGTCAAGTTTTACGCCCTCCGCAGGCAGCCGCAAAGTTGCCATCGAAAAAAAAAAAAAAGAATCCAGAACCGCTTTAATACAACACGAGGTTGGACTGCTTTTATCGTCCTTAAAGCTTAACACACGTGCCCACATTGGGGCCTCTCCCGTGTATATTACGTCGCGTAAGCGAGCATTCTGTCCCTCGTCCTCTTCATTTTATTATCACGTGTCTGTTTGCATCAACGTGCCCTTTGAGCTCGTGTATAGCGGCTGCATCACGGAGTCGGTGTGTATACGAAAGAGCGTCTGGGGTCCAAACGTGCCTGTCATGGCCGACGCCATCAAGTCGTGCATGACGGGGATCCGGCTAGGCTTCCCGAGCATCGAATTCCCGGCAGGCAACGCTAAAGACCGAGACAAATGAAGATACAGTATAACACGCTGTGAATACAAACAAGCCTGCGTCTGCGCATGCCCGGTGCCGACTAACAGCGCCACAGTAGTAGCGTGATGTCAGAGAATTGAGTTAGTCCTATAACTGCAGTATGTAAAGACTCCGCACTGAGCGCATCTTTAGAGCGCTTTGGAGCCAGCGTACCCTCGGAGTTGCGTGTTTACAGTCTTTGTCAAAAGTTTAGAGCCGACCGCACATGCGACGGCGCTGCTATCGTCGGCGCTCGTTATAGCGTGCCTTGACTGCAGAGTGTCACAAACCAGGTCGGTCGAGGTCACTTGGTCTCTGGTCCGCGTTTGCAATGCACCGACGAGCGGCTCTGACGTTACGGTGGCGCAGCATTCGTCACGGCGCATGCGCAATGCACCCACCAGGTGTGTGCTGAAAACGCTGAAACTGTTTGTCACAAGTGCATTGGTCTATTATGCGCACTTTGAGGAGGAACCGATGAGTTTGGAGCACAATGCCCCCCCCCCCCCCCCCCTCGTCGCTACTGCGCCACTAAACCCCCAATCGTCATCGTCATCATCATCATCATCATTGAGGAGGAAACGAGAGCGTAGATCGTCTGCGAGCGCAGGATGTTTCCGCCATTAAATTGCGAACGCCTTCATGGTATTAGTTTGGGTCATGAATCGTGGGCTCTCAACGCTCGCTGGCGCTCGAGGGTACTCTCAAAGCCCTCGCACCCAGTGAGCACTGACGATGGCAGCGCCGACATGTGGGAGCGTGTCTGCTCATTTTAAGCGCGCGGTGTGCTCTAAAGTTTTGACGAACGCTGTAGTACACCCGATGTCGCTTCCAAATCATCTACGAACAAAATCTGGAGTGAGCTGTGAAGTGGAACGGCCTTCTGGCCACCTTTGTATCTCCCTCCAGCCGCCAGGGGGACCAGCATCGGCTGCGCGGAAACCGGGTATTCTCTTGCTTCTGTCTGCACTGTCGGCGAAGGGTGCACGTAAGTGTTACGAATTGTTGCTTGACACGTTGCTACATTGTGCCTGAGTACCCTTTCCGTTTCTCACTCAATTTTTTGCGCTCGGCTTGCTAGGTGTGGGCTCAAAAAATGAGACTCGTTCCCACTTAAGAGGGACGAGAACAGAAGTTCATTTCATTTAAAGTTGCTCTGAGGAGGTTTCTGAGGTCTCTTAAATATGGCGATAACTCGCTCTGCTGATTCTAAGCATCCTAGAATTCCCCAAATCATGACAATTCGTTGCCGATTTTCCTATTAAAAATACATCAAAGATCGCAACACACTGGGGTCATCTACAGCGATGGGAGGAGCATGTTCCGAAACCAGGACCGCTGCCAGCCAATAGCGAGCCAAGGATCCTCGCACTTCCGGTGGAACCGCGGAGTGATATCTCGAATCCCAACGAGCGCGCGCTCGAGAGCTGACGACCGGACACGTCACTCCCGCCAAAAACACACAAAAACAACAACAACAACAACATAGGGCGTTGTTTTTTAGACGAATATTGCCAGTGTTATGTTCGTTTTCCATGAAAAATTAGCGTTTTTCGACTACTCTTATTTGCTTTTATTATTTACGAAAGCATACACATTTCGTAATAACAGCGTTTGGAATCTCAACCAAATGTCGTGTTTTCATCGGTTTCATGTCGTCCTCGCTACCGGAACAATGCTCCTTCCATCGCCGTAGATGACCTCGGCGTGTTTTATCTTTCATTGTTTGTTTTTGTTTTTTTGTTTTTAATAGGCAATTTGGCCGCGCATCGTTATGATTTATGGATTTCTAGGATGCTTAGAGCCCGCAGCGTGAGCTTTCGGCACATGTAGGACACCTCAAAAACCTCCCGAGGACACTTTTAAATAGAGTTATAGTACGGTGCCTCGAACGCGTCTTCGACAGTTGTGTGTAGCTTCCAATGAGGGAGTTTTCGTGTAATCGTTTCTTTCGTCCCGCTACGCTCTCCGCAAACCTCTACGATATCCGGAACTGTGCAGTCAAGGCCATCCACACGCATGCACACTAGAGGCGATTTCGTTGCCGAAAGCGTAGCCGAATAGGGAAAAAGCTGGACGACAATTCCCTATTGTCCCCATGCAACGAAAGTGGTCCCGAAGAAGCAACAAATGAAGTCACAGAGGCCGACGGACGTTTTTTTTAGGACGCGTTAAACACACCAATCGGAAACGCGTTCCAGGCATTAGGTTTACAGCAGCCAGGGAAAGCGGCGCAGGACATGGCCTATTGTGTTCAGGGCTCTTGTTTTCTGATTCCTTCTTCGGTGTTCTTATCGGCTAATGTCCTGCGTAACCATAGTAGCGACTGTCAAAGAGGCGTTGTACATTATCGTACAATTGAAGCTATACGAATGAATTCACGCATATAACTCAATAGCTGATAATGAAATTAATAAATAATTAGCAAACTGCTACTAATCAGAACGTAATATGTTGTGTTGCTTACCTACAGTAGCGACTGTCAAAGATCCGGTATAGATTATCATACAAATTAAGCTATACGAACGGGCTCACGCATATAACTGGATAGGTAATAATAAAAAAAAAAAATAGCAAACTGCTATAGTCGGTTGCAAGCTAAGAAAAAACCGGAAATGCCTCTCAGAGGAAAATGTAATCCTACGTCGAGAAACGCCAGCCAATCGTTTTTATGACGTCACGATTCCGTAAACGAATCGCGATCCTTTTGAAAAAAAAAAAAAAAAAAGAAGCTCAACATGGCTGCTGGCCTTAGCAACGCGACGCTAGTTTCTCGTGACAATTATTCTGCTTTTTTGCACCGTGTTTTACGTGCCCGAGGTTACGCCACGAAATCTTAATGGTATCGGCTTGCGTTTGCAGCAGTTTTTGCGCGACAACGTGAGAATCCAGCGACGCTATCGCCAACGAAAATTTCGAAGCGGGCGCGAGGCTTAGCACTGCTGAGAGGTATGTTAGACGGTATGTTAGACGGTATGTTAGACAGTATCTTGGACAGAAAATGAATTCGGAAGACGGTACATTGGACATTACTTTCTTTCTTTACTAAACAGCTATTTCTTTGACAAAAACGTATTCTAACTTATTTAAATGTCCTGAATGAATTAAATAAATATTGTAGTAGTTTAAGACAGGTTTCCTGGAGGAAGGAAAAGCAACGTTGCTAGCGAACTACTTTCTCGACGGCGGAGGCACTTCAGATGGGCGCAATGCGCTTGTGGGTGGAGCTAAAAGATTGTTTTCAGGTTGCATCCGACTATAGTAAGCAGAACCTAGTATTTTTGCGAACTTGCGCTTCAAACACAATGCATTGTTATGAAGCTAAAATTTACCAAATTGAATCGGCTTAATTATTTCTACAACAAAGCAGTTCGATTGTTAATACTGTAGATTGGGCGAGTTGGTAAGGCATAATTACGAACCAGCGCACCGGTAGACAATTACTTAAAAATCCAAACACACAAAAAAAAGAACTTACACAGCGCTCAACTACCACCTCATCTGAATTTAGTCAAACTTCCCTTTGCAACAAACAACAAACAAACAAATGTTGCCACCTGAAGTCGATAGAGGCGCCTCTGAAGGAGTGGACTTACTTGTTAGATACAAACCGTCGTTCTCGCCTCTTTCTATCAAGAAGGTACTGCTTAAAGAAGAACTCGCTCTCTCTTATACCAACTAATGAAGAAGGTGGTTTTGTGGTCATACACATAGAAACGTATAGTGATAAGGCAATAGAAGCAATTTAGTCAGTCTTCAACTCCCGCAAAGAGGTCGGCTTGAGGAAGATTAGAGAGAGGGAAGACAATATTGTCAATTTGCTTGATTAAAAAACAAAAAGCTGTGCTCCTTTATTGATTGCAGCAAAAATTTAAACCTTGAATTTGCGGGCTTCTAACTCCGATTCCCTCAGACCCTGTTTGCTTCTCCGTCTTCGCATTCGTCTTTATTGTGCTTTCACTATTTTTCAACAATATTTAAGGGGCAGTCTATTCATTTCCCCTTTCCCGTGAAAAAGAGTAGTACACTGGACAGACTGGGTGGTGTTCAAGTGACCGCCTGCGTGAGCACAACAACATTGCCAATGCCAACTCTGGTCACTTAAGCGTTCACTGTGGCTGTTGTGGCTGTTCTGCGCGACTGGACAGCTGTGCTGTATTAGGCAAGAGTAAAAACCAGCTCACCCGCGAAATTATAGAAGCGGAGAACATTGTTCGTCGGGATACCCAATGAGTTAGCACTCCGTCTTTAACCTTATCGGGGAAAAAAAAAAGAACTGCATTATTCAGACGGGATGTATTCGACAGTAGGCCAGGTTATCCCTTGGTTTCTTTTTATATTTGTGAGATTATGTTTGTAATTAATTTTTCTAACTCTTGGACTTTTTTTCAACTCAACGATTATTTATACCAAGAGTGTATTGACAGTAGGCCAGAATATTGTTAAGTTTTTGTCCGTCGCGTAGGCAGTCTGCGCTTCGCGCTGGGAACGACCACTCTAGTCAGTGCCCAGTGCATAACCAAGTTTATTCCCACGAGCCCCAAAGATAGAGCCCGCACTTGGGGGCGTCACAACAAAACGGTGTTATCGCTTGATAACAACAAGTAACATCTGGATAAGAAACATTGACGGATTCCACCGGAATAATGACCCTGCAACAAATATCACCTGGTTTATAAAATTTCGCGATTATGTTTTGTAAAAATTTTTGTAACTTTCGTAATTCTCGAACCTTGCATTGTTATTATTATTCTCCTTTCTTTTCCTTTTCTTTGTCTTTGATTTTATTTTTTCTAGTCTTCTTTCTTTTTCTTTGTATTCTACAATTCCTCCTTTTGCCTTGTCTTTTACTTTTCCTTTCCTTTGGTTTTTGGGCTGGCGTCCTACCGCTTGGGGTCGAAGACGGTTTGACCATAGAGTAATATACACAAGGTAAAGAGCGGACACTGCTATAGGCCCCAGCGGCCCAGATAGACCAGTGACAGGTAGTGCTCCTAGCGGGCGGTAGTAAGTATAATCTGATTCCGTTTCCGGTCAAGTTAGTTTCGGTTTCGGTTTGGGCGTTTCTACTCCGGTTCTCTGACACCCTTCTCTCTCTCTTTCCTCCCTGCCTCGCTCGGCCCTCGGGAGCTCCTTGACACCCGAAGCTGCTGTTTTTTTTTTTTCGTTTTTTTTTTCGTGTTTTTTTTTTATACTGACGCACTTTTGCTTTATTTTTTACGATAGAGTCCGTGCAAAATGTGTCAAACAATATTTCAACTTACTTCACAAAGCAGAAGTGTATATATTTCTTGTTCTTTTTCTATTGTAAAGCATTAAAGTTACACAATCGCCGCATTGACTCCTGGCTGGTGGAGCATTTTGGGGTTAACAGCAGTAAGTGGTTCGAACACATTTTATTGGACCACATTCATGTATACATGATTTACTTCAGAAGCTCTGTATGTTTTATACGGAAGAGATCGATACTCACAAGAATAAATGAATATGAAGGACTTCGGCATATCGTACACTTCGTAATAGATTCTTAGCGGAACCAAGTTAACAAAACAGTTTCCACGAACAACATGCTGTATGATATATTCATTTTCACGCCGACTCGGCGTGAAAATGAATCATCAAACATGTCAACACGAGCGTATTCTGAAAAACAATTTTAAAAACCCTTTGTGGTACTCCTCTGGGCAAAGGCTAAAACCACCCAGACCTCAAAGTGTGCTATACAAGGCGGCACACACTCCTCGAACATGTGTCGCACTCTCTATTATGGGAAGAAAGTGATTTTCTAGTTGCTGAATGAAATGAAAGGCAGCCTGTGATGGAACTACTAAGTTCCCGAAGAATTTTCCAGGCACGTGGTATGCTTTAGGAACAAGACAGTACTCGTGAGGCCTGGTCAAGTTATTAGACTCATCCGATAGCAGCTGTCAACAGCCACAGCTGTAAGTTGTCTGTTTAAGCAAAAGCTTGATCAAATAGCCCCAAACATAATAAAAAAGTGGACGAGTCATCAATTATGTTAGACCTGATGTCTGATGCCAGCTCAAAAATATCTTCTAGTGGCGGGAAGTTATCAATTGGAAGACATTCCACAATGTCTGAAATTACACGTTCATGGTGCGAAGATATTTGCCACTCCTTTAGGAGGTCCCAGCCTTGTCATCCTCTAAGTTTTTATTGTCCTACAGTTTGAACAGTTTCTTTAACCGGAGGTGTTTTAGTCCTGAGGTGAACTGATGCACATTTGGGTTTGTGTAGCAGCCCAGCATTTGTCGTATATAGCTCCAAAAACGTTATCGAGTGTGTCTTGCTGCAGGCGTCGTGTAAGTAAGAACTTAAAGTGATGGCTGCTTGAAAGCTCATCCCAGAGCATGAGGACACTTTTTATAGTAACTTGCCACCCAATGATGGCTTATGGCTGCCTCCTACTTTGGAACTGCCATGCTCAAATCCATCCGAGTTACTGGTGGAGAAAATCAAGTATTTCAGATTCTCCCTTCAGAATGGCATGACGCAACTTCTGCCCTGTCTTCTTGAATTTTTTAGCTATTTAGACAATCAAAACGTATGCACATCCTATCACAGAAATAGGCTGTAGCCATGACTGCCTCAGGAAGATCCTTGGCATAAACAATGGATATGATTGCAAGAAAGAGTGAGGCACTCAGTACCTGTGGGGCACAATTTTCTTTCATGTTATAGAAAGGTTCTTGAAAAAATGTGTCTCTCAGTAAGTTTCGGAGTCAATTGCAAGCTCATCTCATGGATAGAACAATAAAGTTCAACAATAGACGACCACTCAATGACCTCATTTCCAATGCAAAGTTTGTGGGCTTGATCGCTCTGTTTTGGGAAGGTGCGGAACATCAAAGACAAAGTAAACCTGTTCGTTGTCAACTTCAAAAATGGCTTATCATCACACACACCAAGCTTACGTTTGAAGCTCTCTAACCACAGACCACAGCCTTTACTGTGAAGCCAACAGTCTTAAAGGGGCGATGCACTGATATTTATATTTTGCTCAAATACCGCTTAGGACGAATCCCTGACGTTAATCATCTGTGAAATACCCGTTCGTTTTCACCACACGCAATCGAAGTCGCAGAAAAAAATAAAGAAAGAAAAACGAGCAGAGTTCACCCCCTCAACTCGCAGCCAGAACAAGCGGCCCCGTGATCTGGAGCCAATTATATGCCGCCAATGTTGATCATAGCCATGCGCTGGATTTGGCATGGCACAGGACACGCGCTGAGTTCCATACATTGTTATGGTTCGGCTGTTGTCGTCATTGCAGCGATTGGACACAGGACACTACCCGAATGTTTCTCGAGTTATTGGTTATCACGAGCCCAAATCGAGTGTCCACGCCATGCTCGGGTCCAATCTATGCGCCATATTCAAATATCGTCACTGGGCGGTACTGCTACCGCCCAGCTACGTCATCAGGTTTTTCTAAGGAGAGATTGAATGAAAACACTCGGTTTTGTCCTCGAAATTACAGCGCAACAAAGAAGTTTCTTGGTCAGTGGCGTTGCGTGCGAGTATCCTTGAGTCCCACTAGAGCCAGTAAGCTCGTGTAAAGTGAAAAACATTCCAAGTGAATATCGTTGCACCGCCCCTTTAAGCTCCCGAATGAGAGAAATGAGGAGACTGCGTTAAACAGAAGACGTTGTTGAAGTGTGCACAACAGTGTATGCAAGGGGCTAAACGCACCTCCTGGAAATTTCAGACAGCATAACAACCAAGGCTCTATATGCAATGTTAGAGGTTCGTTCAACACCGTCATCTGTGAACCAATGGACAATGTCGTGTGCAGGGTCGTAAGTTATATATTTTTTTTTAAATCAAACTCATCGAAAATCAACATGCACACACGTTCAAGTGCAGCCAGACAGCCCGGCAGAAACAACAGCGCGAGAAGCTCGAACCGATCGGCTCCACGAATTCACGCCGAGCATGCGAGCACGCGGGCGGTCATGCGTCACCTTGATTGATGCAAAGTCAACCGAACATGATGCAGCAGAAAGCACAGATGGACGGCACGCACGGCACAGACGAACGACGCAGGGACGAGCAGAGGCGACGGCGTGCAGGCAGGCAGGCCATGGCAGGCGCCATTCATCACGTGGTTTTTGCGACGTATTCAATTTAAACTATTTAGTCGTTTTAAGTACTTTAAACAATTTTAAATGATTGCGATTTAAAAAATAAATACTTTTCACGGAAAGAGTTTTAAGTAATTTTAACCAAATTGCAGAAAAGCGCCACGTAGCGGAGGGTATGAAAGGCACTACTGGGCCGCGAATCGGCTCCTGTGTCCTCTCTTTACGTTTACTATATTACTCTATGGTTTGACTAAATACAAATGAGGTGTGATCGGTCAGCGCCGTGTGTGCGTGTTTTTTGTGTGTTTGGATTTTTAGATTAACTGTCCCCGTGTGCGCTGGTTAGTAATTAGTTCGATCGGTTATTACATGGTTAGACAATTTATTTCGCTACAAGGTAAAGAGATGAAAAAAAAAGTTTAGTGAGGGATTGAAATTGTTCTACTTTGCACGAGCTCTCTAACCGGGATGATATATACGTTAAAGTGGGAATGGCGTATTCGAAATTGGGATCGGTGTTATTATAACTTCTGCATGGAGGAAAACAAATGGTTGGGCGGGGGGGGGGGGGGGGGGGGGGGGGGGGGGCTTTTTTAACGCTCTGTTTCCTGGTAAACGGTTATTGGCTAATATTAGTTAGACGTACATACAAATCAAGCTGCGACATCGATTCAAGGCTTGAGGCTAGGCGCAACATTTGTGTCGTGGTCACTACTGCCACTACATCGTACTAAATACAGTCTGCTGTCAATTTCTTAGGCGTGTTTCTTCCCTGCATAACTGTCCTGTCCCATTGATCACGCGTAAACTGCCTTCAGACATGTTCGAAGCGTACTCGAAGCAAACATATGCTTCGGCAGATGCGTAAGGCCTGTACCCCAGATGATTCTGTCATGGTGTCTACCACGAACAGTGCTGCCAACCTTAGGGATTTTCCCCTAGAGGTAGGGATTTTCGTTATCGCTTAGGGGCAAAAATCAATTTGTTCATATCTAGGGATTGATTTTAATGGGTTTCAGAAAGTTTTAGGGACACGTTCCTTCCCTTTTTTTTCCTTGCGCCGGCCGAGCGCTGTGGGAAAAAAAGGCTTTTTGTATATTGTCCGTGCCGGCAAAGCAACAAAGTTTAGGTATGTAAAACGGTGTTAACGAAGCAAATTTGATCTTTAAATGACCTACCAACTGCAGGAATCTATTCTTAAGCTACCCCATAAGAATAATCTCAGTTATGACTCAAATTAACACATCTTCTGATAATCTAGGTAACTCTAGGGAATGATCTTATAAAGTTTGGGGAACAAACAACTGCGGAGGTTGACAACACTGGCCGCGAAGGCCGTGTCTTTTTGCACAATGTACGAACAGTGTGACCTCGGCAAGTAAACGCGGAGAGACAACAAAGACACGCGGCATGGTTTGTGCGTAAAAGCGCACATTTGGAAGAAATGTATACCAACTGGACCGAGGTATCACTTATATTGAGATTAGGCATTATTTGGCGCTGGTGACTTGGGAAGTTGTTTGGAATTCGTTGGAAAGCAGGAAACTATGCGTGGTACCTGATTAGCTAAACCGTAGCAAAATATTGTATACCAGGTAGAATAACACAGTGAAAGTTCATACGACTTTCAACGGGGGAGGGGAAAGAAAGAAAGGGATATACCGTCACCATCCTTAACGTGCTATTTGTTATCTATTCCTGCGATATTATTTAAACACAGCGTTCTAAAAGATACCAAAATATCTGATGGTAAAATAACTTTTAGGGGCCCTTCAGGGTGTCTATATTCTGCACCCTAAAAAGTTATTCTAAGTACCTCCTAAAATATTTTTGTGAAAAAAAAACAACCTCATAGGTTTTTTTTTAGCTCTTTTTTTTCTGGCGCAAGAGTTATTACTTGCCTTTCTAGAGCGCCAGGGGGCGATAGTGCTTAAAGCAAAACCGTTCTTCACAAGCTCCAAGTGTTCTTGGGGGCGTCGAAAACTCCTTTCAAGAACTGATCTTTTTTAGTGTGGTATTTTCTTGCTCGCTGTTGCAGGGTATATTGCAAGAACTCCTGCCTCACGTCGAGCAATCCCGTTTACGGCACCGAATTCTATACCCTGGTACTGTACACATATTTATATTCTTTTGCGTGTAATAATAGTGTCCTAAGACAAAAAGAAACAACACTGAAATGATTTTTTTCTTAATATTTTGCATCAGTCTTGTGGGATTTTTCAAGTAAAAGAAAAATAAGTGACTAAAGCCATAACGTCTTAACCTTTCCTTTTTGGAAAGGTTTGTAAACCGAGAAAATATATTCAGGAGTGATTCCGTAGCCGCTGTATGTTTTCGCGCATCAGAAAATGGCATTAGGGTTTTGAAATCCCACATCAAGATCCAGGGCACCGACGGTCTCAGGAATCCTATACTAACCAAAGAGGCGTCTCCAGATTACGGAGTTACGCCCTGGAGGGATTTTAAGGCGTATTTTTTCCCCTGTCCAACGTCCGTTGCGAGTCAAACGTTGTCCAACATTCGGCGAGAAAGTCGGCGAGATCGCACACTTTTTCGCCGAGTGTTTAACGTAGGGCCTTAGAAGTACTCTTCTCGAGTACATGGGGTGTATGGGGAGACCAAGTGGTCTTCTTCTTGCGCAGGGATTGCGGTGTCGTCAGAACGATGCCGATCTCTGATTGGCTTTGACTGAAAGGATGGTGGTTAAACCTTAATGCTAGATGTTTTGCAGTCTACCCACTATTTTTTTCAATCAGCCAATAAGCGCTCAGCGTTCTGACATCATCGCCACCCCTGTGCAAGAAGCAGATGAACTCGCGCTCCGCGTAGGCGGACAGCTACGACCGCGTGTCCTGCCTTTTGGTGGCACAGAGAAGGTGACGCGATCACGTGGGCCGTTTCCGCAGTCGTCTTCAGTGTGCAGGAGCGCCCTCCACGACTTCCGCATCTCGTCGTGGAACTCTTCGGCACGGACTGTCACCCTCATCTTTGATTCGCGGAAGACGACCGACTTTGCGGGGTCACTCCGCTATGGCATCCACTCCCAAAGGTGCAGTCATACCGTTCCTTATCCCCATATACCTTTGCTAGATCTTTACCGCACGTTCTAGAGCGAGTGAACTCTCACCATAGCCCCCTATATATTGACAAAGCTTGGCAGATCGCCACGAGGAGCTACCGCCGAAATGAAAAAGGTGTAGCGGCAAACAACGGATGAGAAAGGAGCCACGGGACTGGCGCCCCGCTGCGGCGAGACGCCGAAACACACCTCTCCCGAGCGAACAAGTGTGTTTCGGGTACTCTGTATACGCTGCAAAAACTGTGCGCTGACGTCCAGGTCCCCCGAAAAATGTTTTTTTGGTGCTCTATGCTACCAGATCCTGGTGCTCCAAATCTGTGATCAGGCACTTTATGGCTCCGTCGATGAACTGCCAGGCTTTGTGAGTATATAGAGGAGGTTATGCCCTCATTTAACCGTCTTGACTTTTAGGGAATCGCTTTGAAACTCGGATTACACGAGCACCGTTCCGATGTTCGGGAGTTTTCGTAGATCGTTTCCGCTGTCCCACAACTTTCTCCGCAACCCGCTACGCTACCCGGAACTCTACAGCCAAGGCCATCGGCGCGCAGGCGCAGTAGCGGCTTCTTCGTAGCGGAGGGCTTAGCGGAGGGGGAAACGCGGTCTGCGAAAACTCCCTATTATGGCGAAATTTTGTGCCGCAAATGCATCCTCGCATTGATTACAAAACAAAACTCGCCAATACGCTCGCAAAAAGAAAAAAAAAGAGTAGGAAGCGGTTGGAAATATGTCTGCTGGCGTGAGATGGGCCATGTAAAGCTACTGCCAAAAAACGCCGTGCTGAACAAAGAGTAAAAAAATCAAACGCCCTAGGACGTCGTTTGCGAAACTATAGTTTTTGAATATTCAAGAAGTTTCTAGATATCGTTATACGCGTGATGCGCTGGACGCTGCAGACGTCGCGGAGCATGAGCTAAGGAGACACAAGGGATAATTCATAAGCCTTTTGATGGTGAGTTAGTGTTTAAATTGCGTGATCGTGCGCTAAAATTTTAATAAAAACACGAAAAAGCAATAAAAACGTGATCCCGAAGAAGATTCGAACCCAGAACTTCAGCAAGTTTGCATCAAAAAGCCACTCGTTCGACCTGAACCTTACCCGCCTCAAAATTAAACAACAAAAGTCGATTCATTTTGTTGAACAGTGAACAAAATGCCCGAACCACGGCCGCTCTACCCCTTCCTCTCCCGCTTCCGCAGAAAAGGGAGAGGGGGTTGAGAGCCCGCGTCCGCACTAACTTCATCACAGCATGTTCGTCTGTTTTGTTCGCCTTACATACAGCCCGTGTAGCCGCAGAAGTTTCAGTTATGCGGTCAGATACCTTACTATCAAAATAGATACCACTTCGCTCAGATATTGAGGTGGGCTAGTTGGATATGCATGATATAAAAATTAAATAGCGCAAAGGTTAGACAAAGGACAAGGCACAGAACATGTAGACAGGACAAGCGCTAACTCACCAAGTGGCGTTTTCTCTTCTTTTCTATTAAAGCGCCAGTTGTGAGTTAGCGCTTGTCCTGTCTACGTGTTCTGTCCCTTGTCCTTTGTCTCACCTTTGCGCTATTTAATTTTTATACTCCGCTTATTTGCATCATAAACAGCGTTCCTACAGCACCAGATCCTCCCCTATCGGCAGCCCCCCCCTTTCCTCTTCCAAAATACCACGCAGTGCACTCTAGGAACTAGTTGGCCACTCAGTTTCGGTTTCGACTGAGCAGCTCCATCTCATGCTATCGCGCCGCGACCGAACGCGCTGCTTGCGTTTTCGATTATCTGACTTTTCACGAATGTACAATTCACTCATTCTCGAGCGATACAAAACGAAGGCCGGAGCACTTTCCTTGGTTCCCGAAACACCGGATATTATCCCTGCGTATGCAAACATAGTAAGACATGGCCACCTCACCCCACGAGTGCATCTTTGAGCTCAGTTTCAATGATCCCGTCTAGTACCAGTGAACTACAACTAAAATTTGGTCACCTTGAGCCTTAGACGTATTTTGTTTGCCAAATGTCCGCTTCTTGTTATTTCACTGGGCCAAAAGCAAGCCGCATCCCCACAGGAGTATCAAAGTTGAGCCCAGCGTTGACGGATGAACTTTTAAGGAAACGCAATAAATTCGGCCTGACTACTGCACAAAAGTTACTACGGCCGTGTTCCAAAATTTACTCGATCTTGCTCCAGGGTAAAAATTAGGTACCTTGGCGTTCCAAAACCTATTCGCGTTCAGCGCTTTTGAATCTGTGTTGTCACGTGACATGACCCGCCGGAGTAACTCGGATCCATTTGAGTAAGATTTGGAACACAGCCTGTGATGTCTTCCTCGTGTCATCATATATATCCCACTCAATTTTTATGCTGATAGGAGATTAAGTTTCCACAAACGCTGAGATCGGCTAGCTACGACGGAGGCCCTAACCAGCGTCCCATACTCCTCGCTAAGCCTTTTTGGACAAGCTTTTCTGCCGCGCAAGATCTGTTTTTGAATGGTGTGTTTAAAATTATCTCGGCATACTCAGTCAGGAAGAAAGCAAACACATAACAAATATTATGGCCATTAGCAACCGTCAAATGCGCTTGAATAATTTCGTTCGTTCGGCGCACCGCTTAGGGGTTCACGCGTGGCCGGCGCACTTCTGGCGAACGGTGTGACATTCTTCACACAAGTGCTCGACTTTTTCTTTCTTAAAACGTTTTGTATGTGCGAATGTGCCTATATGATTGGCAGGATAACTTTATGCGCATACGCGATGTTCAATATTCGTGGAATGTAAGCGGGTAGGGAGTTCGCTTCGTGCAGTGCTGCGGGAGTCAGTACAGATAAGGGATAAGAAGTGTGTTCGATTTTAGCTTTTCAATGGCGCCTCCGAGTTTTACCTCGCATACTCAGGCTTATTAAGAAAAACAGTAATTGCAAAAAGTCATATTTCGTCTATGGATGCACAAATCAAACAAACTTCCTGATCAACAACACTGATGTAAAGGCGCGAGCTCGATGTATGCATACTTATTGGTTGTTAAAGCTTGTTGATTCGTACACAAGCAAGATCCCCGAGCTTCGCAGCGTCGAGATTCCCAGCACTGGCTAGTCCACATACCTCGATTGGAACGCTAACAGAAAGGCCCAGGTACAAAAATACCACAAGCATGTGTTAAGACAAGCTATACGTCTCGGGTTGGTGCTGAAGCTTCGAGGTCTTGTCATTTAGGTTAGTTTAGAGACCACAAATGACGCTCTCGGGACCAGAAAACATGAGATAACGGCCGTTAATAGTTCACGCTCTGTGTATAATCTCTTGTCGACGTGTCGATCGAAACCGAAACCATATCACCCTCCTCCCTGGCCAACTAGCTCCCAGAGTGCAACGCGCGCCGTGTTGCATGCAGGGCTTTATGGAAATAGAGGGGAAAATCCCGAGGTCGCACGCGTCCAAACATTTTAACTACGCAGAAGCTGTCGGCTCCATGGCCATTGTATTTTGATTTGATGTGATCTTTGAAGTGGGGCTACCGATAGAGCCGCGGCGGTATTCTTGATTTGCCGGCAATCCGTAGTACAATTAGTCCTAACTGTCTTTGTAATCAAATCAGATTGTCCTCCAATATGTTTTTTGTGTGTGTTTGCTTCCAGTTGGTATCACTCATCGAGCTTTTTCTACTTTAGTTCACCGCGTGTTAAAGGTGAGTAAAAGAACATATTTTCCCTTATCGTGTATCTACACAGCGCGTGTTTCTCGAAACGGGAATCGGATCGTTCCCTGCGAAAAATACGCATCCCGCAGAAACAGGGTTGCCAGAGGGTCAATTAAGAAAAATTATTAACGCCTAGTATAATTAGATATAATTTTACCAAAAAAATTACACAGAAGGGCAGAACACGGAGGACGTGTTCTGTCGTTTATGTGTAACTCTTTTGTAAAATTGTATTCAATGCCAACGCGCTCTCTATAAAACAGCCCCCCCCCCCCCCCCCCCATAATGGCTTAAAATAAACAAACTAAAAAACCTCCAAACTTCTTTGAGACACCCCTCCCCCCTTTCCTACATTTCCCTTCCTCTCCATGAACCCCACCTAAAGCTTTGCAGTCCCGTTTCAGTCTCTCGACCAGTGTTGTCGTTCATAATTACTCTTATTCGAGCCTTTTTATTGTTGGTTTCTGACAAGATTTGGTGCACCTAATACATTGGCGTTTACTACAATAACGTATATTCAACTTTTTTTTTTTTTTTTTTAAGAACGAGGTTTTGCTTTCGGAGGAGACAAGGCGTAAATATGGAAGCAGAAGTGCGTCCACACAAAAATTATTTTTGACGGTTCCTCGAACCAAGTATTTGCATTCCTATCAAACCTTACTCTAAGTATCTTAATTTTTTTTTTCTAGTTTCTTTAATTGGATTAGTAAAATGTGCGCCGCCGAACACCCTGTTTCCATCACAAATGTAGCGCTAGCGCTTCGAAAAAGATGTCAACGTTTCAAAGCTAGCTGTCTCCTTACTCAAGAGTTGTAACTTAGTTGTTTCCGTCTCGGTGCCTGCTCCCGATCGCCCAATATTTTTGCGCAGAGAGGGTGCTCGACGTGACGTCTCTCCATCGGAATTACATCTACGACGCGGACACAACGCACACCCTGGAGTGTCACGGACCGCCCGAGCACGCCATCAGCTTCGACTACTCCATCAAGGAGGTCCAATTACGGACCGTGAACATGTCGCCGAGTCCTGTCCAGGGTACGCGCGGTTTCTCACGCATTTAACCGCCCCCCGAAGCCGCCGCCTCACGGCTATATATGGTGGCCAGAGGGCGTCTTCGTCGGGTGTGTTTAGCGTCCTGTGCTGCCCTCTACATCAGAATTGGTCCCGATGTAGCAACAAATGACGTCACAGAAGCCGAAGTGTCACGCTGTTGTATACGTCGCGATCCTGGCGGTTGGTCGTAGAAACGCTAACGAGAAGGCTGCGAGTAGCGCCACCGAACGCGAGTGTCGCTGTCGTCACGGCGTCCCAACTTCTGGCTGCTGAAACTTCCATGGACTGCCACACTGGAGAGGAACCAGCAGCAGACCAGGCGTCTGCCAGATACACCACAGCCGTTGAAACGCCGCCAGGGTCGCGACTGGCGGCAGCGTGACACTTCTATGGCGCCATCAGGCGGAAATCGAGGAACCACATTTTGGGACGCGGTAAACACACCAGTCGAATACGCGTTGCAGGCACCATACCACCGCTGATAGATCATGCAAATAACGGTCTACAAACTCTTTCTGAGGCGGGTTTCTTTCTTGTATTATGGTGGTCTTGTCAGATTGGTCATGAAGAAACTGCGTACGGACATGTTCCAAGCATTATGCATATATATATATATACACATACATATACGCACACGTATATGTATGTGCGTGCGTGTGAATGAAACGTGCTTCAGGCGTGTCCGTAGGTGATTCTATAATCATGTCTGCGCAGCCCACATGGCGTTTCTAGCACGGTGTTCGAGACTACAGGTAAAGTATTCCTGGAGGCCATAAAATGCGTTTGTTCCAGGATCAGTGCTATGAGTTGCACGGTTTTCAGCTGCAGTTAGCAAAAGAACAGAAATGTGTTTAATATATGGCATGTCCCCCAACCGAAAACTTGATTTCGTGGTCTGCCTTTGAGAGTCGAAAAATGAGTATGCTTTTTAACAACGGTAGGTAATGAAAAAAGAAAATAATGTCTTTTGTTGTTGTTGTTGTTGTTTTGTTTTGTTTTTTATGCAGGTCACTATGCCGTCTCATTTCCGAAGGCGGAGTATCCGCACGTTCGAACCAACGTGTTCTGGTGTCAGGTCCAGAACAGCCCACTCTCGACCGTGGCCTCCCCAGCCATGTTCTTCGACGCCTATAATTGTAAGATTCATTGTTTCTCCCTTTTTGAACTTGGAATGTGAAGAAGTAGTGTAGCAATATATATATATATATATATATATATATATATATATATATATATATCATGGCGGGGCTAAAGTGAACAGGCGCACTACTTTAACGTCCTTCACTCGGGTTAGCTTACCGCTCCCATCGCAGCTCGGCGGCGTCACTGTGACCTGAACGCTTTAACTCCTCCTAAGGAGGCACCCCAACCTCACCGCGTGGGCCTCTTCGCTCCGACGATGAATTGGAGGAACTTGCAGACTATAAGTCTGTGACAGGTTAAAGGGACACTGGCAGGGTATTTATGCTCGCCGAGGTTTTTATTTGTACGTGACATATGAGAGCCCCGCAAACCCAAAACGCGACTTGCGGCTCGAAATTCGTTATCTTTCCTCCTGAAAACCGCCGATCGAGATTTGGCCGGTTTGAGCCGCGCTGACTCTCGTCTTCCTGGTCACGTGCCGTTTTCTATGGTTTAGACACAACCACCAAAGATAATCCAAATTTTGGGTCATGGAAAAAGCACACTCAATATTAAAAATAGATTAATGTTATGATACCTATTTTTTGTGGCTTCCAAAAAGTTGCAATTGCGTTGATTGAAAAAAAAAAAAAAAAAGCTCGGGGTACACCTAAGCACTTCTTATGAGTTGTGAATGCAAAAGCATGCAAGCCGCTCGTCCGCTCCCTTTGTCGTCTGCTGCGTACTTTTCGTCGCCGGTGAGCGCGCGTGCTCCCCTGGGCACGCTGACCTTGGACGCTACGTGTTAACGGCGCGCTGATGAACACGCAGCGCCATCGGGTGAGCGGTCCTGGCAACTGACGAGCGCAGCGGCCAATGGGAGCCTCGTCGACGCGCTCCAGCCAATGAAACCGAAGGCGATCGCAAAAACTAGGTGCCGTTTTCGCGCTTCAAACAGATGACGTCAGCTCGCTCCATGGGATAGTTAATGCTTTCACATTAAAAAGGTTACGGAGACAACCGGAAGCACACTGTGCACCCTCTACGTAATTCTCAACATGGCGTCGTGTCGCGGGAGTCGTGGGCTGGACGGCTGAACCAGGCGGACTCAGCGATGGCGGCGGACGGTGGGCGTGGGACCTCTACTTCGGAACTGTTGTTCACGGTACCGGCGAATCTGTCTAGCTTGGAAAGAGAAAACGTTTACCGATCAAAACAGTTAGGATTTATTCCGTACGACACGCCCGACCACCGAGCTTTTTTGCACGAAGACGTCGCCGAGCGGTTGGTCTTCTGACTGAAGACATCGCTCGAATATAGACCTTTGCAAAAATTTACTTCTGCGCACTGCCATCTTTGTTTTGCTGGGCTGTGGAAGGCCCTCTGAGCATGCGCTGTTGCTATGCTGTGCAGACGCTGCGCGTGCGTCTACAGCTTAGTGACTCAGCCTTTTTCGCCCGGGTGACAAGCGATGCAAAGGTCTATAAGTCAGATTTATAGAGGCTTTGAGGCCTCTTGCCTGCAAGAACTTAAGTTAAAAAAACCTCCATTCCTCTTCATCTTATAAAAAGAAGGAAGAAAGATATTGGGGATAAACAATCGTTTGTTTATCGTAAGCTAAAAGTATTTTAATCAGTGCACTGAAGTTATTTCTTACGAGTTCATTGGCACTCAGCTTCAATCACGGTGATTGGAACAGCTCTTGAGGATTGAGTGCCGCAGTGTCCTTCTGTTTAAAGTAATGCCATCTTTCGTAAGTGCGTGCCCGATGCCGACAGCAGGCACTCTAGAAAAAAAACAAAAAAAAACACAAAGGAATAGCCTGTAACAATAGGCCGCCGTATACCATCCTCATTGCCAAGAGCTTGGCAATGAGGACCACGCGGCTATAAATATAGTCTTGCCTTTAAGCGAAAGAAAAAAGTCCGTAAAATCACGGACTGTCTATCCCGGCCGTGCTTGCACATATTTATTTATTTACTTATTTATTTATTTATTTATTTATTTCAGTTTACCCCGCAGCGCCAGAGGCATTATAGAAGGGGGGGGGGGGGGGGGTGTAGTACATTTGCATATAAGATGACTTTGTACTTGCGTACACAATGTACAAATAAGCAAAAACCCAAGCTCACCGGTCAATATACACTTGCACAGTATCAACCAAAGACGAAACAAAAAAAAAAACACGTTTGAGTGTTCCAAAAAGTGGCACGAGCCCCTCCACTCACCTCAGCCACAATAGGAAAAAGAAGCACAGAAATCAATAACATTACAAAAAAAATAAAGAGAAGTCGCCAAACAGTGCAATACAGTGCTACCCACAGACGCCGGCAGCGTATAAAAACCGGCACATTTTCCACTAGAGAAGGTAAACGTAGGTTACATATTATATTCTCTTCAGTCGCGACAACCTGCCCAACCATCGCGCGGCAGTCTGTCGTAAAAAGGAGACTCAGACACGATGGAAACAGTTTCGTCAGAAAGTTCATTCCACTCGTTAGGAATTAGGAAAAAAATGGTATTAGGAAAAAAATGAATATTTAAAAATGTTGGTTCGGGCTCTGTATCATCTTATTTTCTTAGAGTGGTCCAATCTTCGAGAGATGAAGTGAGGTGGTTGTATGAACTTCGGTTTACTAATACCCGTGCGATCATGAGATATTGCATGAAGAAACTTCAAGCGCAGTCGTCTTCTTCTTGAGCATAGTGGTTCCCATTCTAATTGGTCTTTAAGAGCAGTAACAGTTTCTCTGTAGTTATAATTTTCTGTAACAAATCGAGCTGCTCTGTTCTGAACTTGCTCGAGTTTGTTTGCGAGACAGCGCTCTTTTGGGTCCCACAAAACACTGGCGTACTCTAGGATTGGTCTTACGTTAGAATTATACAGGGTTTCTTTTACATTCCGGGGAGACTTGTTAAAGTTCCGTCTTATAAAATTTATCATGCGGTTTGGTTTAGCCGTTATGAAGTCTATGTGTGAGCTTCAAGAAAGACTGGGAGAGAAGTGGACGCCGAGATACTTTACTGGTTTAACCTTTTCTAGCGGAACATCGGTAATCATGTATGAGAAATTAACTGGTTGATGTGTCCTAGTGAAAGTCATCAGGTTACATTTGTTAATATTTAACTTCATTTTCCATTGAGCACACCATCTTGAAATGCGATCGATGTTCTCTTGCAGCACCCCGTAATCTGCCTCCGACTTGATGACACTGTATAGGACACAGTCGATGTTTGATCTAATTTCTGCAGAAATATCATTTATAAATATTAAGAATAAGAGCGGTCCTAACACAAACCCCTGGGGGACGCCCGACGTTACACCTAAGTAAGTTGATGTTACTCCGTTAATCGATACTGCTTGTTTTCTTTTTGTTAAATAGTCGGTAAGCCAGTTAAGAACAACGTCTGGAACGTTCAAAGATTTCACTTTTGGCAAAATTAATTTATGAGGGATTATGTCAAATGCTTCCTGGGAATCCAGAAAGACGCAGTCTACCTGTACACTTTTATCAAACGATTAAGCGATATCGTGATAGAATTCTACTAATTGAGTGTCACATGAAAAATCACTTCTGAATCCGTGCTGATTGGGAATTAAAAGATTATTTCTGTCAAGATGAAATTTCGCAAGGCTACTGTAAACTATATGTTCTAATAATATTTTTGAGCATACACACAGTACGGAAATAGGTCTATATTTTTTTAACTTTGTTTCTTTTCCCGCCTGTGTGAGCCAGCACAACATGGGCTGTTTTCCAATCCTTGGGCAGGCTGCCAGAGGACAAAGATCTATCAAATAACACGTGCAAGAAAAATGACAAAATTCCAGAACACTCTTTAAGTACGCGGCGAGGCATTCCGTCCGGTCCGGTAGCTTTGTTTTCATTCAAGCCATTTATCCGTTTCAAAATCCCGTTCTGGCTTAGTTCGATGTCAGGCACGCTATCCTCTAAGATTGTGGAAACGGGGGAAGGGGCACCCTGTCATTATCATTATCAACTAGCCGAGCCGAGTCGCTGATAGGAATCGCTTATATCGTAACAAAACAGAAAGGCCTCGGCCGAGGTCCCATCGGTGTTATTGCACTTGCGCTTTAGCGTGCGCGTTTCTTTTGACGAGCGGGAGAATGTGAGGCCGGAATATTTATGCGCGATAGACTGTTTTGGATTTACATTGGCGCGTGCGTGGCGGAGTTCACAACGCAGGCGGCTGACACGCGGAGGTTCGGGGTTCGAACCCCGCTCGGCTCGGCTCGGTTCGGTTAATTTTCTTTTTATTTCTTTTAGTCTCATCTCCTGGAAAGCTTAGCCTCGCCTGTCATTGTGTGTCCTGGTTCAGAACCTTGCCTGACGTACCCACTGATCTCTTTACTATGGGGGGGGGGGGGGGGGGGGGGGGCACGATGGCACACAGCTGCTCTCTTTACCTACAACCCTCTCAACCCCCTCCCTCCTGCCTCAGGTTCACCAGACCATAGGCAGGCGAACCTTTCGCATCAATAAAGACAAGATTTCAATCAATCAATCTTACCGCTCATTCACACTGGAAGCGGATCCGCGTTCGCAAAGCGGTTGCGAACGCGGTTGTATAAAGATCCAGTGCAATTGCACACGCACTCGATGACATCGAGTGCGTGTGCAATTGCACTGGATCTTTATACAACCGCGTTCGCAACCGCTTTGCGAACGCGGATCCGCTTCCAGTGTGAATGAGCGGTAAGCCTGATGTCATCGAGTGCGTGTGCAATTGCACTGGATCTTTATACAACCGCGTTCGCAACCGCTTTGCGAACGCGGATCCGCTTCCAGTGTGAATGAGCGGTAAGCCTGGCGCGGGTGAAGCTTTCCAATGAAAGCGGCTCAGGAAAACGGGTACAAGAGAGCCAAGACAGCACAAAGCACTCTGTTGACGTCTTGTCTTCCTTGTCCCCGTTTTTCTGAGGTGCTTTCATCTGAAGGAACATTAACCGCCGAATTCCCAGAAACCTCACTCAAACTACACTCAAACTGAAGGGCCCGTCCACTTCCTCGAGAAAGGCGCGAGGGCCGGCGCTGGCCAATCGCGAGGACGGATCCGTCGTCGCGATTGGCCAGCGCCGGCCCTCGCGCCTTCCTCGAGGAAGTGGACGGGCCCTTCAGTTTGAGTGTAGTTTGAGTGAGGTTTCTGAATTCGGCGGTAACTAACTAGCCCAATTAGCCATTTTGTCACAGGCGAAGCCGCCGGAAGTTCGATGCTTGGCCCGGAAGCTGGACGTTCGTTGGTCTTTCTAGTGCATTCAGTAGATGTTGTGGTTCATGCTTTCTTGTGTCTTTGAGTGGGTTTTAATAATCCTGTTTCGAATTAAATCCCGATAATGAGGCACTTGAACGTGGGACATATGCACACTCGATCATCGAGAATTTCGAAATTTTTACATCCAATGGCGTTCCAGGAGACTTCTCGGGTCTGCATGCGCTGTTATTGCGCAACGAGCACTAGTGCAGGCTTTCTTGAGAGGACAAGAAAGCCTTCAGCGCCCTGGACGCTGCTCGAACCAGCGCTCGGAAGAGCGCTTGAAAAGCCTGTCAAGCGCTCACTTCCGGAACATGCCGCTTACTTCCTGTGGCTTCATACCTATTTTCTCAAAGCACCACCCAGCCCCCTATACTCCGTTTCACCGTCAGTCCGAGCGCAGTGGACGCCACGAGCCATCCCAGCCGATCCAGCGCCGGGAGAAAGTCGCGTGACCTGCCGGTGGGGCGGGGCGACACAGGGAGCTCAAGGTCGCATGACACTCTCTCAACGCCGCATTGGCTGGGATGGCTCCTAGCGTCCGCTGTGCTCGGACGGAAGGTGAAACGGAGTATAGTAGAGATCAGTTGACGTACCTTGCGTATGAAACGGCGGTAACGCACTGCTTCTGGGCATTCACCTTCCGTCGCCCGCACAAGAAGCTACCGGCTTTCTCTCTCAAGAAGGCCACAAGTTCGCCTCATGAAACGTTTATCTTCAGTTGTATATTCATCTTTTTGTTTTTATTCGTGACACCATATATCATGTATATTTTATTGAGATAATCTATTGTGCGAGTAAAGAATGTCTGTCACGTGCTGTCGAAGTCCCCCTTTCGTGTTTCACTGCGAAATATGAACAATAGTTCAATAACTATGATGCATTTCAAGTGGTGACACGTTTTTTGTGATTGATCATTGTTGTTTCCCCTCGACTTAAACTCCACCCTAAAAGGCAAACCTCCCCCCTCAAAAACAAAAAAAGAAAACAGTTATTTGCGATGATTGGGGAGCCTTCGTCACCTCCAACACCCCCTTTATGGGCGTTGACTTAGTTTTGGCCATAGTGTCACTCAATGTTTTGACGGTTTTGACGTTCTTCTAATAGTGTAGTTGTTCCCTGCATACCACAGGGCTTGGGACGCGTCTCCCACTGGTATGGTTAGCGTCCCCTTACGCACATGCATCAAAAAGTGGTCCTAAACTGGCGACACATGACGTCACAGAAACCAGAGTGTCGTAAGGTCGGAATTCGCGATCCTGACGGTTAGGCTTAGAAGTTCTGGCAAAAAGTATGAGCGAACGGTAGCGTCGCCGACGTCGCAACTCCTGTCTGCCCAAGCTTCCGTGGACTCTCAAGTTGTAGAGCTACCTGCAGCAGAACAGACGTCTGGTGCCACCTCCCCTTCCGCTGCTGTGTACCACCGCCAGGATCGCGACCGGCAAGAGCGTGACAGTTTTATGACGTCATCGAGCAGAAACCGAGGGACGACCTTTTCGGTGACGCGGTAAACACACCAGTCGCAGACGCGTTCGAGGCACCATACCTGTAAAGCCTCATTTTTCTTTTTCAGATTTTAGTAAGTTCGTTATCTTCGAAGAAGTATAGTAAAGCACGCCTTTTGTTCTGTCTTTACTTGGTATACATCGCAGCGGTGCCGTTCCTGCCCCGAAACTACACTGTCTCCACGAGTCCCGGAGACAAACTCACGATCGCTGTAACGTCCCTCCGCGATATCCATCTCACGTCCTGGACCAAGGTCGACTGGAACGGCAAAGCAACAGAACAGCTTTCTAATCCTGGTCCGGTGATGGAAATCCCAAGTGCTCGCCTGCAGCACGGAGGTATATACGTGGCTAACGGTCCATTCACGAAATCACCCGGAAAGAACAGGGCCATCATCAGGGTCATAGTGAGAGGTGAGACCCGAACAATCTATGAGCCGCAGTCACCAGTGCTCACACATCATACAAATTACACGTTGATCGCTGCACACATAATGCCAGAATTACCTGTGGACACACCTTAAGCATGTTCGAAGCATACTAAAGACAGTTTTTGTGTGACCATTGTGACACGACTGTCACACAAGGAACAAACACTCCTCGAGGAGTGTCTGCAGTGTGTAATTTGTACGCTGTATTAACATTGCGACCCCGGCTATTATATTGTTTGCCCCTTTTGCCGCATCAAGCGTGCTATACTAGTCTGTGAATACCTTAGGCAATGTAATTTGAGCTTCGCACATAACCAAACCGCGAAATAACGGAATTTGCGATATAACGAAATTCGCGAGATAACTAACTCAGCGATGTCACGAAATTCGCAATATAACGAAGCCTTCGATTCCTCGGTACTACTTTGTTATACATGATTAAGCGTATTACAGCAGTTTAGTGGCATGCAACAGCAATAGTCTCGACTTACTTGCGCCGGTTAATAGAAATTAGCTGGAAGACGTCATCTGATATAGTTCGAAACTAGGCACATTGGGTTCCGGACACTGGTACGCCGCACCCTTCGTGGGGTATTGTGCTCATCAGGTAACAACTGACGGTGGTCACTTTTTGTATTGTTCCAGACAATACTTTTTCAGTTGATTTTGAACAACCAAGACCTAGTTCTTCTGCAATGTGTTTTACTAATCACCATCATGATTTATACTTTATTTCCTCAGTTTTTCTTTTTAATTCTGAAATACAGATGCATCTCCTCTGTGCCTAGTTATACTAAATTAAGGAAAGCCCGTGGTTGTAAGCACCAGCCTGTTCTTGGGAAGACGTTCGTCACATATCTCCGCCCATCGAACATTCTGAAAAGCCTGTCTAGGGGAAAGTATGTGCACGGACTCAACTGAGTCCGTGCACATACTTTCCCTAAAGATGCTATACTCCCTGAAGCATAGCCCACCTTTATTTTTGACATGATTTGCTAATTGTTTTTAACAAACACCGAAATATTGCTGTTTTCTAGTAATTGCAGTGCCCTGGCCAATAGTGAGCTCGGCCGAAACGGTGTTAGCTATGTCGGGGGATGAGCCAACGTTGCTGAGTGGGAAAGGACAGCTATCTATGCTCCATTGCCCCTCAATGTGAAAACAAGTCTTTGGCAAATGACAAAACACAAAAACTGCTATTTATTTCTTTTTTCTTGATTGCACACCGGAAGTTAGCCCACTCCTCATTTTAACCCAATTTGCTCTCGCTTTTAGGTGGGCTATCTCTCGGTGTTAATGTGTAACGTTCGTTTTTGCCCCCGCAGTCTGCCGTGCCGGACTGTACGGTCCAAGCTGCAACTTTCAATGTCCCATGTGCGAGAACGGCGGTGTGTGCCACGACATTACGGGGGACTGCATCTGTCCTCCGGGATTCAGGGGACAACTTTGCGAGCAGCGTAAGTATTTTCTAAAGTGACTGACAACCTAAAGCAGGGGTCACACTGTTCATACATCATACAAAAGGCAGTCTGCATACGGATTCGAACGCGAATCACCGCGAGCTCCGTACTTCGAATGCCGCATAATAACTTGGCAAGCGGCGTTCGAACCACGGATATTGCAGTGACTCGTGTTTGCAAACTGTCTTTTGTATCATGTATGAACAGTGTGACCCCATCTTAAGAAACGCAGGGCGCGAACAATTGTGATCACTCTTATTTCTTCGTGATTTCACGCTTATTTCTTTATGACTTCACGCCTATTTCTTCATGAATTCACGCTTATTTCTTTTTGACTTCACGCTTATTTCTTCACGATTCCACGCTTATATCTTTACGATTTCCCGTTTATTTCTTCGTGATTTCACGCTTATATCTTTGTGATTGCACGCTTATTTCTTCGAAATTGTACGCTTATTTTTTCCGCGATTTCACGCCTATTTGTTTACGATTTCACGTTTATTTCTTCATTACTTCACGCTTACTTTCTCGCGATTTCAGTTTTTTCTTCATACTTCAAGGTTATTTTTACACGATTTAACGCTTATTTGTTTACGATTTCACGCTTATTTTTTTATAATTTCACGCTTATTTCTTCGTGATTCCACGCTTTTTTCTTCATGATTTCACGCTTATTTCTTTATAAGTTCACTCTTATCTCCTCACGACTTCACGCTTATTTGTTTACGATTTCACGCTTATTTCTTTATTATTTCATGCTTATTTCCTCACGATTTCACAGTTGTTTTCTTCATAATTTCACGCTTATTTATACACGATTTCACGCTTACTTGTTCATGATTTCACGCTTATTTCTTAACGGTTTCGCTCTTATTTCTTTGCCATCTCACGCTTACTTGTTCGTAATTTCACGCTTATTTCCTCGCGATTTCACAGTTGTTTTCTTCATGATTTCACGCCTATTTCGTTATGGCTTCAAGCTCATTTCTTCGTGATTTCACGCTTATTTCTTTTTATGTATTCACCCTTATTTAATCACGATTTCACGCCTATTTGTTCACAGTTTGTTCTCCGGCGTTCTTATCGGCCAATTCCGCAGTCTCGGTGCCTCGTGGACCGCGGACAGCACACAGAAGGCAGTCTGCATACATTGTCTGAGGCGTGTGTCTTCCTTGTATGGCGGGACGCTGTCGCATTGGTCGGACAAAAACTGTCTGAAGACATGTTCGAGGCATATACCTATGCGTGAAGCAAACCCGCATAATTCGAACACGCCTGAGGCGTGTCCGCAGATGGCTCTGCCATCGTGTCTGCGGCGGAAACCGCCTCTTTTGTACCACGCATGCGCAGTAGTGGGACCGCGGCTCAGTGACTATATAGGTACCTTTATTAGTCAGTGGAGAGACAGTCGATGACGGGTTCCCTCTGTGTCGTGCGTAGAGTGCGGAGACGACTACTTCGGACAAGACTGCAGCAAGAGGTGCTCCGACACCAACCCCAACCATTCGGTGAAATCCTGCCGCGGGATCCTCATGTGCCGACCCGATCCCTACGGGTGCTCCTGCGGGACGGGCTTCACTGGATTCTTCTGCAACGAGAGTAAGTGCTTATACTCGCATATTTCGCGTCACAAATACCTCGCGGTGTGCGGATTCATATATTTGTGGCACATTGTATTATGTAAGTCGGCTAACAAAAACTATATATATATTCTTAAAAGGTTAAAACAGCGCAAGAAACGACGGACAAGGTAAAGAAGTACACGGACAGAGCGCTGTCCGTGTCCTTCTTTACCTTGTCCGTCGTTTTTTGCGCTGTTTTAACCTTTTAAGAATGTCATACCAACTCGCCCAGGCTTCAACTTTAGCAACATTTATATATATATCAGGGTGTCGAACCGGAACCGAACCGAACCGGTATTTTTTCCGGAACTGAACCCGAACCCGAACCGTTCTATTGTTATCGCGATGAACCCGAACCGGAACTGAACCGGAAAAAAATAACGGTTACCGGCTCATGTCAAAACGGTTCGGCCACGCGCTGTTGACAATGAATGTGCTATCAACGCCATTTGTTTTTTTAAGTGCTGTCAACTGACACACACCTGGCTTACATATTTTTCTTCTCCACTCAGTCTTAGGAATATAAACGCTGCATCCATGAATCTTGACAAACGCTGCATCCGTGAATCTTGACATAGGAACCAGTATAGACTACTTCCATAAAGCCCTGCATGCAACACGGCGCCCGTTGCACTCTGGGAACTAGTTGGCCAGGGAGGAGGGTGTCATGGTTTCGGTTTCGATCGACACGTCGACAAGAGATTGTTTTCTGGTCCCGAGAGCGTCATTTGTGGTCTCTAAACTAACCTAAATGGTCAGACCTCGAAGCCTTAGCACAAGCCCGAGATGTATAGCTTGTCTTAACACATGCTTGTTGTATTTTTGTACTTGAGCCATCCTGTTAGCGTTCCAATCGAGGTATGTGGACGAGCCAGTGCTGGGAGTCTCGACGCTGCGAAGCTCGGGTGCTCGGGGATCTTGCTTGTGAACGAATCAACAAGCTGTAGCAAACAATAAGTATGCATACATCAAGCTCGCGCCTTTACATTACTTTTTGCAATTACTGTTTTTCTTAATGTGCCTGAGTATGCGAGGTAAAACTCTGAGGTGCCATTGAAAAACTCAATTTTAACACACTTCTTATCTCTTATTTGCACTGACCCGCAGCACTGCACGAAGTGAAGTCCCCACCCGCTTGCATTTCACTAATATTCAACATCGCGTATGCGCATAGAGTTATCCTGCAATCATATAGGCGAATTTGCGCATACAGACCGTTTTAAGAATGCAAAAGTCGAGCACTTCTGTGAAGAATGTCGCACCGCTCGCCGGAAGTGCGTCAGACGGGCATGAACCCCTATGCGCACCGCATTGGGGTTCATGCCCGTCCGGCGCACGGTGCGACATTCTTCAGACAAGTGCTCGAACGAATTCAAAGCGTATTTGACGGTTGCTAATGGCCATTATATTTGTTATGTGTTTGCTTTCTTCCTGCCTGAGTATGCCGAGATAATTTCAGACACACCGTTCCCGGCACAGATCTCGGGCGTCAGTAAAAGCTCGTCCAAAAAGGCTTAGCGAGGAGTAGGGGACGCTTGTTAGGGCCTCCGTCGTAGCTAGCCGATCTCAGCGTTTGCGGAAAGTTAATCTTCTATGAGCATAAAGTTTGAGTGGGAGATATATGATGACACGAGGAAGACATCATAGTAACTTTTGTGCAGTAGTGAGGTCGAATTTATTGCGTTTCCTTAAAAGTTCATGCGTAAACGCTGTCCTCAACTTTGATACCCCGTGAGGATGCGGCTTGCTTTTCGTTCAATGAAGTAACAAGAAGCGGACGTTTGGCAAACAAATTGCGTGTAAGGCTCCAGACGAACAAATTTCAGTTGTAGTTGACTGGTACTAGACGGGATTACTGACATTGAGCTCAAAGATGCATTCGTCGGGTGAGGTGACTAAGCCACGACTTACTACGTTCGCATACGCACGCACAATATCTGGTGTTTCGGGAACCAAGGAAAGTTCCCCGGTCTTCGTTTTGTATCGCTCGATAATGAGTGTATTGTACGTTCGTGAAAAGTCAGATAATCGAAAACGGAAGCAGCGCGTTCGGTCGCGGCGTGATAGCATGAGATGAAGCTGCTCAGTCGAAACCGAAACTGAGTGGCAAATTAGTTCCCAGAGTGCACTGCGCGGTATTTCGCCGCGATGGGGCGCGTCGGTTTTGGAAGAAGTCCATTGCGCTGGTCGCGGCTTGCACGGAAGAAAGAAAATTGGAAGGCTGTGCAAAAAAAAAAAAAAAAAAATCGCGTCACGGGATTTCATTTTTCTACAATCTCGTAAATCCTAAATGCTGCTGTGTGCTCATTTCATAACACGTTTCTAGAACGCGCGAGTTCTTGAAGCTTGCTTCCATCGGAATGAGAAAAGAAAAGGCTGTGGAGTTTGATAATAATGCATCCGGTTTCGTATAGGCACTTAGAAGCTAACATATTTGTGAGACAGCGAAATCTTTTATTTTAATATTTATCCTATTACGTCCTTCTGGTGTTGCGTTCGGTGAAGTGTTTATCATATTCCGTATCTTGTTTAATGAAAACTTCTTTAAGGGTCTAATTTGAGTTACCGAAGGCTAGTTCAAATAAAGAAAGCTTATTTTCTCCCCACTGTTCCTTCAATTGCTTACACGCCGAGGTGGCGGGATAGTTAGCGAGTTCTACTTGTAAGTGGGTTTGTAAGGAGGTCGCGGATTTTACAGCTACTGCGTCGGATTCAATTAGATTCAATTAAGTCCGAATGCGTAAACGTCGGTGAGGTAACCTTTGAGTGCACATAAAGAAACCATTCCTGGTAGAAATCCCTGAGTCTTACACTACGATGTATCCCGTTTCGTATGTGCTGATCTCAGATGTTTTATTTGTAAGTTATTTTGATGTTGCAATTTGTCATTTATAATTTCCGAACCGGTTCGCGAACCGGTTCAGAAATCTGAAGCGCTCGACGTAGTGGAACTTCAGGCGATAGCGGCTTTGCGGCGGTAGCGGAACCATTCGCGCAGCTGCGCACATCGCCGCTCGTTCCGCTCCCGCTCTTCCTTCAAAAAAAGGTTGTCGCCATCTATGAGCGACGGCGGCAACCAGTTGTCTGGTTGCCGCCGTCGCTCATAGATGGCGGTTGCCGTCCAGAGTTCGGCGTCATGAATCCTAACCCGGAGGACACAATCCTGGGAAACTATATCCTTTAACAGCTCCGCTGCAAAAAAAAAAAAAAAGAAAAGGCGCAGGATCGCAGCGGATACGCTATGCGTGATTCATAGGCCTCGATTATTCTATAGGCGGCGTTGGCGCAGTCCGTGCATTGCAGCGTACTCGGTCGTTTCATGACGACGTCGGCCGGGTACACGATGAAACACGCGCGTGTTTCACGCAGCGTGCCCCGCTCACCACTACGGAGCGGACTGCAAGCAAAGTCGCCTGTCCTTCTGCAAGACGGAGCCCAGCTGCGACATCCACACCGGCACCTGCGCCAAGGACCGAGGGGTCTGTCTCGAGGGCTGGAAGAACTCGCCTTTCTGCGATATCAGTGAGTCGGAATGTATAGATCTTTGCTCACGATCATTGACGCAAGACTCTCTCTCTCTCGGTGGTGTCGTTTGAGCAGGAGACGTGCTTTATCGGACGAATAGGATCGTCACGAACAATCTCCCGAAGGACTGACGTCAAAAGGCCCATAGTGCCCACAGGGACGCCATCAAGTGACGTAGCATCATGACGTCACGTGATCGCCTGACGTCATAATGTCACATGCTGTGCTCCCCTGTATCTGACGACATAATCGAGCGTGTTTAATTTTTTTTTTTTTTGTTCTTTTACAGTATTCAAGCTAAGATTTACAACCAGCTCTTACGCATTGGGGCTTGAGGTTAGCTTGACCTCCTCCTTAATATTGTAACGCTAGGAATGGCGATAATATCTCGATCGTTTTAATATTTAGCGTTATTCGCGTCGAAAACTTTTTTTTTTCCACCGAGAAATATTTTAACGGTATTCGCGAATATTCGGAGACGAGAACGCGGAGACTAACAGAGGCCATTTTCTAATGATAAACACTAGATGAAATCGCTCGTAGTACGCAGGGAGCCCGCGGGTTTAGTCGCCGCCCCGGCCTTTCGCGATCTGAATGAGCATATCATATCGGTGGACAGCCGTGTATCACCACAGCGTGGTGCACGTTAAAGACACCAGGCCAGCGCTATAGAGTGCTACTGCACTGGCTATATTTCTCGTCTAGAGCTGAGACACCGGACGCCCACTGGTGCCGCCTGACTTCCCCCTGTGCATAAGCAAGCGCGAAACGCAGTTACAATCACTCTCAACGTTTCAATCAAACCTTGGAACCTTACTTATCGTAGGTCCCGGTAGTTTCTTTGCGACGCATAATTTATGGGTGCAAAAGCAGGGTTCACTTTCCTTTCTTTTTCGAGCGCCCTATACCAGTTCAGGTAAGAAAGTAATTGAAACTTCTATCAAGTAATTCTTCACACAATTGCAGAGATAAGTCATATTTTATTCGTGTTGCATCCGACCGTACCGATGCATGTCGTGGCTTGTTGTCTGTTCCTCGAAGCCACAGTGACACTGCTAAGTTCTAACACATCATTAAAAAGAAAAAAAAAAAAAAACAGTCTGCAGAGGCGTGTCGGTTCAGTCATACAAAAACTGCTTGCAGAGATGTTCGAAACATACGGATGTATGAAGCAATGTTACTTCAGAGATTCGTGAGGCTTCTCCGTTGGTTACTCTGTGATCGTGTTTGCTGCAAACACCGCGTGCCTTGTATGACGTATGGGCAATGTAACTCAAACTCGATATTCTCGCCAAAACACGCAAGTCAAATGCATTAGCAAAGTACAGTGCTAATCACACTTGTCTATAACGCGCGAGCATGCGGCTTTCGCCGGGGAGCGCTAGACTGGTGGCATTCGCGGAAACTAAGCTAGTCACGTGGCGCAACATGGAACGGCCCGCTCGAGGGGTGTCCTGCCCACTCTATCAGCTTGATAAGCGATAAAAGTAAAGTGCTTTTTGATATATTTTTGTTTTTTGATGACGACATGAATGATACGTCTTCATGCTTTAGTCTGTTTATTGTTCGAGCAATGATGTTTGTAAAAAGCGTGCGAGCAGCCTTCCGCGTTCGCCGCCAGCTGATAGAGTGGGCAGGACATCCCTCGAGCGGGCCGTTCCATGTTGCGCCACGTGACTAGCTTAGTTTCCGCGAATGCCACCAGTCTAGCGCTCCCCGGCGAAAGCCGCACGCTCGCGCGTTATAGACAAGTGTGATTAGCACTGTACTTATGCGGGCTTGTTGAGCGTGCTTCAAGAAATGGATTTGTCAACTCTACGAGACAATTTCGAGCCATATCGTTTGGATTGAACCTCTCAAACCATAACAACGTTTAGAGTGGTTGTGTGGGCAACTGTTACCGCGACCCCAGAATATACGATAACGTTATCGGGGTACCTATAAAGGCATCCGGCATTGTCTTTTACCTCATATAGAGCGTGAATTGTAAAGGCAACAGTTCTGATTATTGCCGAGTGACGAGCAACGACTGGAGCTCACTTATTTTTCCACATTTTTTAGAGCGCAGCTCTTAGGGGCCCGTTTCCGGCTTGAGCGGCGTCGGCGTCGCCGTCGGCGTAACCGCGCGGTGCATTATGGGTAAATTTCCCCGCTAAATCTAGCGGAAAAATTTCCCCGCTAGATTTAGCGGAAAAATCTAGCGGAAAAATTTCCCCGCTAAATCTAGCGGAAAATATTCTCCGCTAAATCTAGCGGAAAAATTTCTCCGCTAGATTTAGCGGGAAAATTTTTCCGCTAGATTTAGCGGAAAAATCTAGCGGGAAAAATTCCCCGCTAAATCTAGCGGAAAAATTTCCCCGCTAAATCTAGCGGAAAATATTCCCTGCTAAATCTAGTGGGAAAAATTTCCCCGCTAAATCTAGCGGAAAACTTTCACTGCTAAATCTAGCGGAAAATTTTCTTCGCTAAATTTATCGGAAAAATTTCTCCGCTAAATCTAGCGGGAAAAATGCCCCGCTAAATCTAGCGGAAAAATTAACCCACTAAATCTAGCGGAAAAATTTCCTCGCTAAATCTAGCGGAAAAAATTCCGCGCTAAATCTAGCGGAAAAATTTCCCCGCTAGATTTAGCGGAAAAAATTCCCCGCTGTCTAGCGGAAAAATTTTCCCGTTAAACCTAGCGGAAAAATTTCCCCGCTAAATCTAGCGGAAAAAATTCCCCGCTAAATCTAGCGGAAAATTTTCCCCGCTAGATCTAGCGGAAAAAATTTCCCGCTAAATCTAGCGGAAAAAGTTTCCCGCTAAATCTAGCGGAAATATTTCTTCGCTAAATCTAGCGGAAAATTTTCTCCGCTAAATTTAGCGGAAAAATTTCTCCGCTAAATCTAGCGGGAAAAATGCCCCGCTAAATCTAGCGGAAAAATTAACCCGCTAAATCTAGCGGAAAAATATCCCCGCTAAATCTAGCGGAAAAAAATCCGCGCTAAATCTAGCGGGAAAATTTTCCCGCTAGATTTAGCGGAAAAAATTCCCCGCTAAGTCTAGCGGAAAAATTTTCCCGTTAAACCTAGCGGAAAAAATTTCCCGCTTAATCTAGCGGAAAAATTTTCTGGGGGGGTCACGTGACCCCCCAAGGTCACATGACCCCCCCCCCCCCCCCCCGCCCCGAGAACAGGTAACCCTCAGTACCCTTCCCTCCTCCTCCTCAAGAGCTGCGCTCCAATTCGGTGTTACAGGGAGTTGTAAACGGCTTTCATTTTTTTTTCCTCTAAAAAGGTTACCCTCTGCTGCGAACGAAACCCAACGTGACAGAAGTTAGAGATACATCAGCCATCGTGAGCTTCAATCCCTGGAACCCATCGCAAGATTACGGCGAGGGAACAGCGACCGACTACTGGATCCAGTACCGGGTGCGTGCATGTTGAACTGACCCCCACTGTAGGTTAGGGACGGGCTTATGACTTGAGGGGTGGGAATTTCACCCGAGAAGAGGGGGCGGGGGGACGGACCTGGGGTCCTTTGTTGCGCTTTTTGGACTCCCACGGCGACTAGGGAGAAGAAAGTCTCGTCGACAACGAAGCAAACGCAGTTTGGATGTTTCTTCTGCGGAAATTCGTCATCAGCGACTCTCACCCATCAACATCCAATCTGCGCTTGCTGCTTTGTTGACGTCACTTCCTTCTCCCTAGTCGCCGTGGGAGTCCAAAAAACGCAACATAGGGCTTTGTGCAAACACACCACAGCTCACAGCGGGTGGCGCGAAAGCTCGCTCTGCAGAGCCGAGGGATCAGGTGCAATCCCCCTGCCCGTTTCGATCTGGATGAGCATCGTACCACCGACGTGCGGTCGCGTATCGTGCGTAGCGCACGTTAAAGACCTTAGGCTTGCAGCGTTACTGTGTGGGCTAAATTTATTATCTACAGATTAAGCGAGTGTCGCCGTAGCTCAAAGGACCATCAACACACTTTTTAACATTTCCCCATATCTCCAATCGGTTCCCTTCTCATTCATGCAGAAGCTGAACGAGTCCTGGGACAAGATGGTCGTGGCGGCCGTGCCCAAGTCTGCCCCGTACTCCAGGACCCTGAGGGGTCTGCGCAGCGGCCAGACCTACGAAGTCCGGGTGCTGGTCATTGACAAGGACAAGAAGTTTCGGGAAAGAGGAGCTCTGACCACGGAGTTTAGAACCCTTTGCGGAAGCAAGTGATATTTTTCTCACTTTCTTTTTTGTTAACTTAACTTGACTACTATAGGCTTGTAGCTCTCAAGTGTTGAGCAGCGCCCCTTGCGATGAAAATAGAATATTTTTAGGTCATGTTGCGATTGGGCGTTCTTGCCGCAGATCTTTTTTGTAGTAGGCTAGATCGCGGATAGGGAGTCCAACAGTGGCACCACCGGCGGCCATTGCTTGACACCAGGCAATGCGAAGAGCAAGTCGTCTGCTTGTTGCGCAGGAGTTGTGGTCACGTCATAACGACACTAAGCTCTGATTGGATTTAATGAAAAGGATATAGGGTAGACCTCAATGATTATTGCCTTAAGGTCAACCCACTATTTTTTTTTTCAATCAGCCAATAAGAGTTTGGCGTTTTGACATATTATCGCAACCCCTATGCAAGTAGCAGACGAACTTGCGCTCGCGATAGGAAAGAGCGCGTTCTTCCTTGGTCATGCATGCTCTTAATACATCTGACAAAAGACAGTCTGGAGAGATTGTCCGGGGCGCTTTTCTTCTTTGTACGATGTTTCTGTCAGATTGGTCGGACAAACGCTGTCTGCACACATGTTGGAGCATGCCCGTGCATGAATCAAACATGATTCGAACATGTTTGAGACGTGTCAGAGGATAATTCCGTCAACATGTCCGCAGCCAACACCGTGTTGTTTTCTGTTTGTCTTTTCATGATGTATGGGGAGTATGACTGCAGCTGAAAGGAAGCGCGCCTCGCTCGCAAACCCACTACTCCCCGTCAGTTTCTCGACATATATCGAGCTGGCTTCCGGACGACTGCAGCGGGCCTCGAGTGATATGTCAATTAGCGCTTCGCACTTTTACGACATGCTGCCGGCACGCTGGTGGTGCGAGCTGTTCGCTCCACTAACAGCTACCAAGGACGCGGGTCATGGCGATCTTTTCTTTCTCTTAATACTCGGGAAGCGTCTGGGAATTGCGAATGCTGGTGCAAGTGGATGCACTCAACCTTACTGTGTCGGCGGAAAGACCTCGCTTCGAGAGCCGTAATCTTTAAACGAAAAAACAAACTTAAGTAGCTATACATCATCGTCCCCGGGTGTTCGATGTCAGGATGCTTTCCAATCGGTTACTTTTATTTGAGGCAGAAGTGTCTCTCACCCCCCCCCCCCCCCTGTTCCTTCCGGAAGGGCGCCACGAGAGCGCATGTGCGCGCCGTGGGAATGATCGATATTGGAGTCTTCAAACACATGTTTTTTTCGAATAGCGCAGTTTTTTGCACGTAAATTAATTGGCCAATATATTTTAAATTATATGCAACATATGGGGCGTTTTTTTTCTTTTATCAAAACGATATTTGTTTAAAGTAGGGCTTTGTGCCTTGGGGATGTTCTCTTCAATATGCACTGTTCAGGGTTGGTGGACATTGGAGGTACCAATATGCGGTAAACTATGTTGAGCAGTCAACTAAATGTCTCTAATTACCCCTTTAATTTATGGCTGTATTGTTCCTGTTGCAACTGTAAATACCGCCGTCTAATAACGTGGTTGGTAGGGGGTTCCGGAAGAAATGACCCCAGAAAAAAATGCCCCGCAAGAAACGCCCCGGAAAAAAGGTCCCCAGGTGTAAAGTAGGAACAAATGTCACCGAAGGCTTCTCTATCACTGGGTTTTCCTGATTCTCATTGCCTTCGGGAGGTCCGGTCGTTGTCCAGTCTTGTGTCGTGCGCTCTCGTGTCGTACAGCCGTTCCTTCCCCCCTCTATTTCTTTCTTTCTCTCTTCCTTGTTAGTTAATGTGTTTTCTTTTTGTTTTGTTTTTTTAATGAAATTAGTTATTGCGGTTGCTGGAACGCATATCCAACTGGTATGTTTACCACGCCCCAAAATGCGGTCCCTCGACTTCCGCCGATGACGCCTTTGATGTGTCTCATTAGGGAGCCCAGATTGTAGAGCGGGTTCAACTGAAGCCATGGGAAGCCTTTGTAATTTAATGGCGGACACCTCTTGTGGCGATCGATCGCAAGTGCGCTTGCGCTACCTTTCTGCGTGGCAAGGAGGAAGGCAGGCGGAAAGGCTGAGACGCTCGCAGACGATCGACGCTTTCGGCACCTTGCTCGCAGGTCGTGTTGCAAACGCGGCCCATAAACCACGTGACCACGATCCGGCACTTGGAAACTCACTGTAATACAGGCTCTCTATGTTGCACTGTTTGCTTGTCGCGATCCTGGCGGCGTAACAGCAGTGGAGGTGGATCTGGCAGACGCCTGTTCTGCTGCAGGTTGCTCTCCAGCTTCACAGGCACCGGAAGCTTCGGCGACTGAGAGTTGAGATGCCGTGACGACAGAGGCACTGGTATTCGCTTGTGCTTTTCGCCGGCGTTTCTATACGACCAACCGCCAGGATCACGACGTCCGACAACGTGACGCTTGCGCAGAAACCCGTTTTTCGAAAAGGAAATCATCTGTGTCTCGCTGGATAAATGAATACGACTGAAGTCTCCGAATCGGGCGGTCGCTTGCGCCATCTGGACGGTGTCTTTCATTTCCTGTGGTGTAGCCAGCGCCGCCGTTTTTATGGGCCGTCAGAAACGTGAGTGGGTGTACACGCGAAGACGCGGCGGCAGATGACAAAGAATGCTCTGCATTGTCTCATCGAAGGCCGTTCCAGCCTTTTGGTAACCTTTCTCGAAGACTCGAACTGCAGTCTTGCATCCTCGTCTTGACAAATAGGGCTTTGTGAAAGAAGTCTCGAATTCGTTGTTGACCCGTTAAATCGGTCATGCCTATGCGTACTATTTGAAAGTCTTTTTGTACAACCTTTGTCGAAATCACGTTGATAAAATCTACAACATGTGGGGCGTTCTTCCACAGACGTAAAGGGCTCGCGTGAACTAAGGACCTGAACATGACGTGACTTATTGAACAACAACTACAAGAACGCGTCCTCCACCCCCTGTCTATGTGCTCTTTACCCATGAGGATTTTCGTAATGCGTACTCTGTCCCTTTTCGTGTCGTCAATTTTTTTTAGTCCAGGTTATATTACGAAAGTGGATTCTTGCGTGCGCACCCGCCATTCTTCTAACTGGCCTGCTTCGATTCCAGGGCCCACGTCTCCGCCAAAGAACGTCAAGGTCGACAACTCCAGCACTCACAGCGTGATAATAACGTGGCAGGTGAGTATTTTAGCCCCGTCTCGCTAACATTAAACATGTCGCTAACATTAAACACAGCAAAGCAGTTGAATGATCAAGTGACCTCCTCCGTTTTATTCCAATGTATCGAGTGCATGCCACACAATGGGCTCCCTATGACCAGAAGTGACGTTCGTATCTTTTACACTCTAAAGCGCGAAACACATGTACGACGAAACCTTCCGATCCGACGTGCGGACTGCCGGAATGACCTTGAGGGGAGAGGGTTTCCGTAGAATCGGAGAGCGCTGAAAACCCTCGCCTCTGACCGTCGTATTGTGTGGTCGGACGTCGGATCGGACGGTTTCGTCGTACATGTGTTTCGCACTTAAGCCCTCCGGGTAGCATTGTTGAAGAAAAAAGTTCGAGCTACGGCGACGGGTAGTTTGACGTGTATACGTAAAATATTTTGTTATTACTTCGATCGTTTTGTTTTAGAGGCTCACTATAGCACACTGTTAACTAAATGTAGACTTCACGTCTGTTCCGTAGGAACGCGCCCGCAAACAACCTTTATAATGGTTCGTTGGAAATCCGCGAGATGGCGGCCTTGTCGCTGAAAAGAGCCGGCAACAAACGTCTCTAAGAAGCAGGTGGGGCATATGGAGTCATTTGAAAGATGACATGGGTTTACTTTTTTCTGAACACTCACCATTATTATTATCTGTCTACAGAGGAAGCTCGGCGTCTATGACAAAGTTGCAAGAACGATGCGACCAAAAAACGAGGTCTTTCTTTTGACACTGGGCGCTTGATGAGAGTATCCGAAACATCGTGCTCAGTGTCGTGGAAAACAACGTTGAACGTTTTTTTTGTTTTTTTTTTCAATTTGCCAACCTTTTTTACTTATTGCTGTGATTGGATTTGCATGCTCTCTGCAAAAAAGTACATTCCCGGGCGTTTACTAGAGTGTAACTAGCATCCTCAAAGTGACGTTTTCCTGTTTTAGAGCGCAGCTCTTAGGGGCCCGTTTCCAGCCTGAGCGGCGTCGGCGTAACCGCGCCCCTCCCTCTCCTCCTCCTCCACCTCCTCCTCCCCTCCTCCTCCTCTTCCTCCCCCTCCTTCTCCTCCTCCCCTCATTGTGTAGTATGGTCCGGGCGGGTCACGTGACCTCGGGGGGAGGGGGTCACATGACCCGTTTCCAGCCTGTGCGGCGTCGGCGTCGGCGTTGGCGTCGCCCCTCCCCCTCCGCTCCTCCTCCTCCCCCCTCCTCCCCCGCCAAGGTCACGTGACCCCGAAGGGTGACTCCCCTCCCCCCGCCGAAGTCACGTGACGGCCCGCCCAAGGTCATGTGATCCCGTCCCCTCGAGGTCACGTGACCCCCCGGACCTCTGCCCTCCTCCTCCTCCCCCCTCCTCCTCCTCCCCTCATTGTCTAGTATGGTTCGGGGGGGGTCACGTGACCTCGGGGGGAGGGGGTCACATGACTTCAGCGGCGAGGAGGAAAGCAGTACGAAGGTGGAGGAGGGGGGGAGGAGGGGGGGAGGAGAGACGAGGAGGCGGAGGCGAGGGGAGGGGAGGAGCTTGAAGGACGAGGAGGTGGTAAAGGAGAGGGAGGGGGAGCAGGAGGGGAGGAGGACTAGCAGGCATCATCACGAGGGAGGAGGAGGAATATACCCTCCACTCCTCCTCCTCAAGAGCTGCGCTCCAATTCGGCGTTACAGGAAGTTGTAAACGGCTTTCACTTTTTTTTTTGCCTCACTAATACATTTCCCCCCATTTTTTTTTTTTGCGTTTGTTTTTATACACCTTTCCAAAAAACACTCGACCCCAGGGGCAAAAAACCGTTTTCGAGCCCAGTCACTGAGTTTGAGGCTAGACTCTCCCCGGCGTCCTTCCTAACCCTAACCGAGTGGACTGTGATTTCAATAGGCGCAGCCTGCGTAGGCGCAGTTTCAAACGTTGCTGGCGGCTAAATTCTCGTCTTTTCCTGCTATATTTTGTGTTTTATGGTACATGTATTTTCTCGAGGACATTGAGAAAGCATTGTGCCACGCTTAAAAAAACACAAAAAGCAAAAAAAAAAAAAAAAAAATTAACTATTTTTGTTGGGTACGCGCGCGACAGAACGAATGATACTGGAATGTTATTTGTTTGGTTTTTCTTACGATAAGTTTTGACGGCGTCGCAGGATTAGCCGCATATGAAACGACAAAGCGCTTTGCTGTTAAAAATAAATTGCAACAGAAGAGGGCCGAAAGGCATGCATTTTTCACGCTCACAAATAACGTGTTTACCGATGGACAGGACACGGACATACAATTGAGGAAGTGTTAACATTCGAACAATATATCGTACGTACCACACGATGCAGCGTTATCCGAAAAGAATTTATTTGAGAAAGATCTCAAATAACACAGTCACAGTCGACTACAGTCACATCTTGACGATCGCACGGAATCCGAGATGACTTCGTTTTGGGGCACGTTTTGGGGAGAGCTTCCTTTTTTCACAACCGCACCAAGGCAAAGAAACAAACGCGACTGACCCGTTTCTCACCCCAATCCGGACAACTATTTTTGGAGATGACTGAGGATTCTACGCGGATTATCTCTGGGAGGGAGGAGAACAATGTTCGCAAAATCGCGTCGAGGGTCGTTCGACGTCCTTCACCTCCTTCGCTTCCCGTGAATGTCGAGCAGAAAAGCTTGAATGACAGGCACTTACCAGCCTTATTTTTCACAATGGAAGATAACACAAGAAGGGTACGCAGCACGCATAAAAAAAAATTAAGTGGAAACTTGCTAGAGGGGCGAGAAAACGTCGAATGCAAAACCGCAAAAACGTAGGTAGAGAACCGCGCTGAGCGGGTCTTCACAGTCCCAGAGAGTGGCAGAAAATTTCTAGCTGATAGTGGGCGCGAGAGTCGCACCAGCCGCATCAGTATCAGCAACATGGCGGCGGCCTAGGAGCGTTTTTTGGAAAGGTGTATACATGCCTTGCACCTACGTCACTTGATGACGTCGAACACCCGTGTCTACCATGCTGGTGGTTGACTCGATGGCCCTTCGCAGCGAGAGCGATGGTAAACTGCGCCGCGCTCGGCTGTAGCAATTACCCCGCATCCCGATGATCGTCCGATCGTTTCGTCGGCATGCCCCGCGAGACAGAGTCGCCGTCAAGTTAGATAAAGTACGAGTGGCAGGAAAGGGATGCGGCCGCGGATTATCGAGTTTGCGGGACGCATTTCATAGCGGCGAACGACGACACTTTTCTACCGTTGTTTACGTTCGCGCACGCCTTTGCATCGGCGTTTTCTCGTTCTTAGTGTATATGGCCTTTGGCCTTCGTTGCATAACGCCGTTTTCACGCTTCGAGCGCACCTTCGGGGCTGCCGGCCGAATCCGAGCGAGTGTCGCGCCGCGAGCCCGGCCCGACTGCGATGGGTCGGCGGCGGCCCCCATGTGCAAGCTCGCCGAGCCGCCGCCGCCGGGTCATCGGTTTGTACCGTCCGCTGCCCGCGATACGATAACCTTTGCAAGGAGCGAAAGTATGCAGGCGAGCCGGTTAGGAAACATCATAATATAAACCCCGAGACAATGAGTTTCTTGTCCGTTATTTGATTTATCCTTGTCTCAGGGTTCAGATTATGGCGGTTACATTGCGTTGTTTACCAGTATTTCGCAAAATCGTAACAATCTTTCTACAAGCGACTTCTAGAGCCGCTCGTCAAATGATGAAGCCCGCAATTACGCTTTTTCATTTTTTGGCGACACGGCATCCCTTCGCGCCAAAACTTCATCGGCGGCATTTCGAAACTTTCTGCTCGTAGCGCAATCGCACGAATACCGAAAATTTCCGCACGTACTAGATAAACGTCATTATCGTAACCTCAGCACGTTTTTCTACGTTCACGGTACCTTTGTTGAAAATATGGTGCATGTTAGCGCATGTCCGGGCCGTTAGCGTCATCCTACGCCTTGGTAAGCGCATCCGCGCGGCGTGAAGTCAACCACCAGTATGGTGCGGGGCCCTGTACTTCCCTAGATGTTCCCTAGATGTTCCCTAGTGTGACGTCACTTGCAAGGCATGTATAGAGGCCACAAAAGAAAGATAAGAAAAAAAGAAACATGTGTTTATCCATTTCGCTCCCAAGCTAGCTGTCCATAGTACGTGCTTCGGGTTTCTTTATTTAACGTGACGAGTTAGAATTGTATGGGGACACATATCAGTCCCCGAAAATATGACATTTATAGCGGCGTGACCGAAACGATCGACCATGTTAGCGAGACATGACTCTTGTGTTTTTCAATCGCGAAGACATATTCTCGCGCCATAGTTGCATCGGAAGTTTACGAAACTTTAAACAGTCACTTGGCAAACTAAGGCAGTAATGGTTGTTGCTCGCCGAAAGCCTTTCAAAGTGAAAAAGCTATGTCATGTTCGCGCTAACAGTGTCGCACATTGTATCTTCACTTAGCACCTCTTGCTAACGTAGATACTGCGCTCATTATTATTTTTTTTATTTTTTTTTTGCCCATGTTCGCTTTACATAGGCCATCAACTTGTTTATTCTCAAACATTTTAGAAAATAGAGCGTCAAAGTATGAATATAACAAAGGGGCTGCCCAAAAAACACCTTGGATAAACGGATGGGTGGATGCTGATGGCTGTACTCTTTGTATCGGGTGGTAGCTTGCGCCACCTAGCCCCGTTTGTACCCTTCCGCCTAAAATTGTGTCCCAACGACCGGCTCCTGTTTAACCATGTACCCTACCAGTTTTGTGCGTAGATTCACACTTCTCTCCATTGTAAAGTTCATAAGGTGTATGTAATGCACGGTAGAACATCGCTTTCGAACTCGCTGTGCCCGTCGTCACGCGCCCCCAGAACCCTGGCCGGGAGACGTGGCTCTGCTGGAGCGCCAACGTCACCCTGGAAGTGAACGGGACCCTGGTGTCCTTCAACCTGACCGAGTCCGGGGTGAACCCCACCGACCGATTCGTCGTGCCCACACGTCCCTTCACGCGAGTCACCGTGCGTCTACGCCTGGACACTCCGGACGGTGCTTCGAGCCAGTGGACGTGGCCGTGGACGGTCACGTCCGCCGAGGATGGTACGTCTTTTCTGAGAGCGAGGCTACGCTGTCCTTCGGGGAGGTGAAGAGAAACTGAAGGCGGGGAGGCGACAAGAGCGCGCGGTTGTTCGCTTTGATTGGAGGGAGACAGCGGGTAGGGACAAAGGCAGCTCTGCCTTTACGTCTACCCCCTCTAATCCGTCCATTCAGAGGCTCGGCGCTCTGGCAGTACCGTAGATATCTTTGTGTTTTCCTCTCCTTTAGTTGCTCTTCGTACATTGACAGTTATTAGAACAACTTGGTTGGGAAACTCGGCCCTGGAGTGGTGGATCCCTCGCGTTCAGAGGAACCGAGTCACTGCGAGCCAGATTCGATGACAGCGCCGCACCTTTGCGGTCAGTCCGTTCTGTTAGTTCGTTCGTATTCTGTTGGCTAGTTGTCGGCACATAACCTGTTCTGAGACAAGAAGGGAGGGGGGGGGGGGGGGGGGGGGGAGGCCTTCAGCAAAGATTTACTTCAGAAACGCGGGTAAGATTTCTTTTTTTTTTTTTCCACAGTTTTAGTGCGCGTTTTGCCATAGGATAGTTAGCGAGGAAGCCGCACCGTAGCGCTACTGTACTTTTTTTTTCCTTTCCGGTAGTTTGGGTGTGTTTATTTCCCGTATTGGCCGCAGCGGCAGAAACGGCTGCAGTATAGAATCTCGTTGAGCTCAGTGCTGAAGTAGGGGTTGAAGCCAGTTATTCAAAGCAGGTTCCTGTGGCATCGTAATAAAATAAGAAAGCACACACAAAAAAAAAAAAAAAACAGGACAAGAAAGAGGACAATTACGATATACGAGCGCTTTCTCTTTATTTATATACTGTTTCGACAAAAACCCCGAGACTGGGACAAAAAGGGACGGAAAAACACAAAGTCTCAGACTTTGTGTTTGTCCGTCCCTTTTTGTCCCAGTCTCGGGGTTTTTGTCGAAGTGTTTAACCACCACCAGCTCGTTTGCGCCCTTACCTTTTGTTCACTTATATACTGTTTTTGTTTTATTTGCGCTTTTTATTTTATCATGAGCCATTACCAACTAGCCCAGCTTTCCAACCTGGCGCTTCTGTGGCAGTTTCCAAACTGAGTTGTTCCAGTAACCTTGGATGTATGCAGTGTTCGGTTTGACGTCGAAAGCCGCCATGACATTGATAATGGAGAGTTTTAGGGAACCGCTTCTGCCCATCCCATACGGTATGCGATGGGGGCCTTCCGGAACGAACTGCGCATGTGCGAGCCTTCCTCGGTAGCGCATGCGCAGTTAGTACCGGAGGGACCATCGTATACCGTACAGGAAGTGCAAAAACGGTTCCCTAAAACTCTCTCACACATCGTACAAAAGACCGAATGCAGTCAATGACTGAGGCGTCGTTCTCCCTTGAATGGCGGTCCTTTCACAGTGGCCACGCAAAACACTGTCTGTAGACATGCTATACGTATGTCTAAGGCCTGTCCACAGCTTCTTCTGCCATCATGCTGCAGCGAACACAGCGTCTCTCGTACGACGGTGTGAGCGGTGCGACCCTGGCTTTGAAGGCTCACTCACACTCATGCTTTGGGTTGCAACCGAGCGCCCTGAAACCGGTTGTTAGGCCTCAGGCTTTTGAGTTGGCTCAAACCGGTCTGCTATACTCGGAATTGCTTTCGGATTACAACTTATTATCCGAGACAAAGTACCATATCGCTTATGAGACAGTGAACAGGCTAGTGAAGAAGTGGTGTCACGGCCATAAAGGAATACTAACTGCTACTGCTAGTTTCTACCTTTTTACTATGTATTTTTTTTTTTTCTAAGGCTTTACCGTAGAATTGGAAGTCCACCCAACCTGACGTCAAACCGCCGGCGCCTATTGGCGAAGCTGGACGAGGAGTCGTTCTATCCGAAAGTCCTGACGGCGACGTAGGCGGCGCGGTCGACACGAGTCGACGAGTGAATTTAGTCATAGCGACTAGGAGTGACGTGAAATAGATATCATAACACATTTCCTTTTCTCTCACTTTATCGCAAAGTGGGGTCTCCAACGCTGGAACATTGCTTGGAACATTGCTCTTTTCTAGGCAAGCAGATTATAATTATCGAGCGATATTCGTGTAAATGCTGTATTTCTTATATTAACTGCCAGTTTAAGAAACCCTGAGGCTTAATGTTATATAATAATTCACCTTGCTCGTTGATTCGTTCTTTGGTCCTTTCATCGGATGACGCTACAATCTCATCGACAACGGTGCGATAACAAAATACTCGGGACCCTGCATTTGTTAAATTGTCGACGACTATATGTTGGTTCTTGTTGTTGTTTTCTTCTCCGGGCAGCCCCCAGTGAAGTCCGGGAACTTCAAATGACGAAGAGCTTCGCGCGGCAGGCGAGCTTCGCGTGGCTACCACCGGCCAACGCCAACGGTCTCATCCGTGACTACGTGGTCGTCTACAAACCACTACGCCTGTTCCTCCCCTGTAGTCCCATCGATCAAACCGAAACCAGGCTGATCGTGCCCGCGTCGTCGCAGCGCGTCAGCCTCGAAAAGCTTCACCCGTACACCCTGCATCAGATCTCCATTCACGCGAACACCATCAAACCTGGACCGAACGTGACGACGACTTTCACCACGGAGCAAGCCGGTAAGTGAGCGTGCCCCCCCCCCCCCCCACCCCCCCCCCCCCTCCCCCCCTGCCCCTCTGCCCCACTGCCATCACGGCGGCGCTTTTTGGAATTTCAATGACTGTAGCTCTCGAGTTTGGGCGGCGCACCCTGGCGAGCGAAATCGAACACTTCTCGAGCGTGTTTCTCTTGTGCGTCATAGCACTCTCGCACATTGCTCGCGGGCACCAAGATGACAAAATTTCATCGGTTGATACAAAAATTTCCAAAAATAGCGAGAAAAAAAAAAAAAGGTTCGATTTACACTTCAGCACTTTTTATGAGTTGTGAATGCGAAAGCATGTACATCATTCTTGCTCTACGCGTGTTGGCGCGCTGACTGGCGCTGACCTGGCACTGACGAGAGTTCCCTACGCGAGCCAGAGATGCGCGTCTGTTTTTCACGTGCCGCCGCGCCGCTATTCGCCGAGTTCCGATCATATGAGGAGCCGTATCAAGCGCCGTCCAGGAAAGTACACGCTGCGCGCGCCCCGGCGTACATTCCCCTGCTTTTGAGCGCGCCGTGCGCGAGGAAGTTATAAGTACTAGGAGGGGGCACGTTGCAATATTGGTGAAGCCTGGTCATAAAAAGTTTAAACGATTTTCTGCCCAACGTGACCGCAGATCTCTCTGGCGATTGGTTCGCGTGACACGTCACGTGCGAGATGGATGGTTGAGTGTAGAAGGACTCCATGCAGGCTTGCGCGCGCTCCGTCCGGTAGGTTTTATCAGATCGAAGGCTAGACTGTGGTGTGTTCTAGTAGCCTATAGTAAGACCAAGGCTAGCTACGGTCACGTGATGTGGTCACGTTGGCATGGTAAGTGAGGAGAGTAAGGAGGAAAATGAGAAAGAGGCGAGGCATCAAGGGAGCATGGTTTGTACTTTGTGGAGGCTACGCGGCCGACGTCATGCCCTCTCCTACCCTTCTATCCTCCTTGCGCCTTTCGCCTCGAACGCGCGGCGCCGCTATTCGCCTAATTCAGTCACGTGAGGAGTGGGATCAACATGTCGTGCAAGAAAGACGGCGCCACGGGGATGAACGTGCGACTCTAGTTCCCGTAGGGAGCCTGCACAGGAACTCTAGCACTGACTAGAGTTCCTGTATAGCTACCTAGGGTAGCAGAGTTGCGCATTCAGCCTCGGCGCGTGGCCGTAGAGCCGGCTTTCCCGCACGAGCTGGATGCTTTGCTCCTCACGTGACTAAATTTGGCGAATAGCGGCGCCGCGCGCGCCGCCGCGCATGGAAAACAGGAGAGGAGGAAAAGGAGGCGGAAAGCAGGGAAACATACGCCGGGGCAAGAGAAACGTCGGCGGGGCGACCGTAAAGGTGGCTTTCTTGCACGCCAACGGATGCTTTGCTCCTCACGTGATGGATCTCGGCGAATAGCGGCGTGGCGGCGCGGGGAAAACAAATGCGCAACTCTGGCTCCCGTAGGGAGCCCATACAGGAACTCTAGCACTGACGGACGCGCAGCGCCATGAGGTGGCCGGTCGTTGAAACTGACGCCCACCGTCAGTTTCAACAACCGGCCACCCCATGGCGCTGCGTCTCCGGTGAATCGGAGTCTGGTCGACGCGCGCTAGCCAATGGGATTGAAGTGGTGTAAAAGGTGTCGTGGCTAACCGGCCAATGAGAGCTGGCTTGACTTGTAGAAGGATTTAAGAGCCGTTTGACGTGGTTTCAAAGCTGATGGCGTCGCCTCGCTCCATGAGACAGTTAATGCGTTTGCATTAATAACAGGCAAGGAAAATCCTTTCGATGAGACACTGAAAGCACGGGCTGCATGTTTCTGTTGTTTATTTACACATTGTATAGTTCTTTCATATTCTTTGTTACCGCGCGTAGACAGAGGCTGACACACACTGGAAAACGACCCCGACTTGCGCGTAATCAAACACTGCAGCGCCACTGTGTCCTCAATACAAGCATTACGTGATCGCGGCTTAAGGACGCGCTCGCGCCCCCTGGCCGAGAGCAACGCGCCTATTGGAAATTAGAACTTTGCCGCCCCCTAGTGGCTAAGTTCAGAATTAAATCCGTGTGGACTACAACAGCAGGAAGCGTTTGTTTGTGTCTCCGGCGCAGCGCTTGGCTCACGTAGCCGAACGCAACGAGCGCGTTCTGGAGGCATGGGTGTTCGAAAGAGACGCCCTGACGTTTGAGAGAGGGTAAGACTTATTAAAACAATGATGTAATCCAGCGCCTGATGCTGGTTTGCTACACTGTGTAATGAGCTGAATAACAAAAAATAAAAAGGAGTAGAGAAAGGTGAGAAAAATATTATATAGAGAAAGTATAAGAGAATATAAAAAGGATACAAGCGAAAAAATTTAAAATAAATGTAGATGAGTGTTTCAATGGCCAAAGCGTCATTTACCACTTCAGTTTACTTTAGAACCCTATAGTCTATGCTGTAAGCGAGTATTCTTCAGACACTTCAGGAGAGCTCCTGTGGCCTTATAACCGTCAGAAGATGTCATCCAGGGACCAAACACGATGTCGATGTTTATTTGTTCTTCCTCTTTGATGCTGAGGTGTTTCTTCATTAACTTTTTTATGGACGCCGCCGCACGATGCACATTCAGGAGACTGACCTTTTCTGATTTTGTGAAGGTAGCTGTTGGTGTACGCAACTCTAAGCCGCAAGCGGTGTAGCACGGTCTCCGTTGGTCTTGGTAAGCCTCGTGGAGCCCGGAACTGTAGCTTAGGATCAATATTGTAAAGATATATTTGTAGTGGTATTGAGGGTTTTCCCAAAGAGACGAGGTTATTTCTTGGCCAATTTTTCTGATCATGCTATTTGCATCTGGCCTCGAGAATGTTTGAACCTCGTGAGTGAGTATGTAGCATATCATTTATGATATGCCAATAATGGCGATTCTAATTGGAGGGAATACTCGGTAAACGGGCATAAGAATTGTGCATTCCTCTCATTCAAGATATGCGTCCTCGATCAGAAATCAATGGGTGCTAGTTTCTATCATGCGCTAGGAACAAATATTGACAATATGGTGTCCGTCAGAAACCTCTCTAATCACGAAAGAATCATTCTAACGTGGAAGTATTTCGTTGCTAAAGTTGTAACCAGTTACAAGATTATTCAAACACTGCTCTCAAACAGTTACATTGCAGCCCTGTTTCATTTATTTATTTATTTTTTGCCGATTGGTTGTCTATGCTATTATCTGTTTTCCCCATTGACTGTCCATGGCTTCCATGGTGAGCAAAAGTCCGTGTATATCGGCCGCTGCATACGCAAACAGCGCACCGTACCCTCGTTGCCGCAGTTCCCGAGGGCGCCCCGACGGGCCTCCAACACGCAACGGTGACCGGACTGGAGAACGTGGTCTACTGGGGCCAGGTGCCCTGCGACCTCGCCAACGGCGTCGTGAGCCGCTACTACCTGGAACTGGACAGCGCCGACCCGTGGGAGAGCGAGCTGCGGAACCAGACCACGAAAGACACGAGACTCGGCTTCAGCGACCTGCTGCCCTACACGCGCTACAGGGCCAGGGTGTACGCGGAGAACGCCGCGGGTCGCTCCAGGGTCGCCGCCGAGCTCAACTTCACCACGCTGCCGACCGGTGAGACCCCCTTTTTTCCCTCTAAATGACTAGGAAGTTCCGAGCCACAGCCAAACTACTCACGCTTCGTACAAGAAGACGCGGGGTTTTGTACGATGTATATTAGCGGCGTGACCTCGGGCATCGTGCTGCAGGCGCCAGTGGTTGGAAACGTGCTCCGTTGTTTTTCCTCCCGCAGCTCCCCCGGCTCCGAGCAACCTGATGGCGTACCAGCTGTCCCAGACGAACGTGTCTCTGTCCTGGCAGCCTCCGTACCCGCCCTACGGTGTCCTGGACCGCTACCAGGTCAAGTTCTGGACGACCGACACCCGCCTCAAGCCTTCCCTGCTCGACATCGACACGTTCCGCTGCTCCAGCGGTGACTCGAACAGGCACTGCTTCACGGTCCCCAACCTGCTGCCCGTCAGACTCTACCATTTCTCGGTGAGCGGAGACGAGTTGGCCAGTTTGCTCTTTTTCACTCGAACGGGGAGGCGCCTACGAGGGGGTTTCTCTTCGGTTACTAATTTATTCTTGGCTCGGGAGTCATATAAGATACAGCGTCACATTGACTTGTGATTTTTGGAACCGTGAAGCCACATCCTGTCGCTTGACCTTGTGACCAATTCACTCGGTATCAGCGTGTCAGATGACGTCATCTCGACACTCGTGTCGGAAACATTGACTGCTATCCAGGTGAGTGCCTGTCTGCATGGATAGGTCTATTAACTTTTGTTTATTTTTACGTGTCGATACGTCCTGAGGTCCTTCTGGAATACTAAGAGGTGGAAACGAAGATTAAATTTCACGGTGCATGTCTAGACGGCAAAAAGTAATGTAAATTACGGCACGGAAGAATATACAATATCTAGCCGTAGTTTCGAGCAAATTATTTTTCCAAAATAGGGCGACGGAGCAATTTAATAAGTTATATCGCACCGTTATCAAGCTCCTGGTAAAAGTTGATGCCGTCTGTTCTACTATAGGGCGCTCTACGTCGAAATGAAGTTTTGGGGTGTATTATATGGGACAAAAGGGTGTAAGGTGATACCCTTTTTCTTTTAGAGTGAAGGAACGTTCTGCGCATGACCGACACAGGAGGAGGAATGTGTTTAGTGTTACATATTGGTCTGAAGATGGGACGAAATTTGGTACGGTCGTGTGAATTGGCGTAGGCTCCCTAGGGGCTGGACTCTACAAAGAGAATCTGCTGAGAACAAGCGACGAATTTCGCCCCATAATAAAGCTGATACCAGAAGAAGAAGAAAAAAATTAAAGACACCACGCGGTGTCTCAGATCACAGCTTACACTTGTGTCTAATTCGGCTGGTGGGAAATTACTTATGACTGTTACGACCTTTCAAATCAAGTAATTACCAGGCTGATCGTTACGATTAGGTCCCTATACTACGTACGCCTGGTCGTATAACTCGCCTGCACAAACCGCATTAATTTAGCTTTCACGACCTTTCTAAACATATATGCAAAGCCTAAAACTAAATCGCCCTGTACAACACTGAAAGAGCGATACCAGCGCGCTGGAGCCATATGGCTCCCCAATGCTGGTATCGCCTTTTCGCTGGTATAGGATGTCCCATATTACGTTATGCGTGTATGGTTCCGTCCGCCCTACATGGTTCCGCCATAATCCAATCTGCTGGTATAGGATGTCCCATAATACGACACGCTTGTATGGTTCCGCCACCTGTATCGTTCTGCCGTAATCCACTATACTGGAGCCGCCTTTGAGCCTTTTCCAACGTCTTTCCAACATCGAGATTTTCCAACGGGGTTGGCAAAGTAGGCATGCGTTCTGTTTCATCTTTGATCGCAGGATTGGTTGAGGACAAGCTACACTTGAATAGATGGATGGATGGTAATGGCTATACCCTTTGTAACAGGCGGCAGCTTGTGCCACCCAGCCTAACATTTCGTCATCCCTTCTTTTTTTTTAATTTGTATAAATTTTGTTTTACTTCGAGGGAAGAGCAGCTTTAAGGATCGTCGAAGTTTTGAATATATCTTAGTATTGGAAAGTCACCTTATCATCTGCTGAGCAAAGATGCCCCTTGGGCTCCAATATAAATTAAGAGAAAAAAATAGCGATCCGTTCATCATGTTATCTGCCTGGTCTTTTGATGCACACCTCTGGCTTTTGTATACTGAATACCAATGTTGAGAAATACTTTAAAGGAGTGCTCCGGCGTTTTCATCATGGTCCTTGCCGGTTTCTTCGAACATTTGATAAGCAGGCCAACAAGCATCACCGAAATGCAGTGTTGGAGGTAACGCGTTAGTAGTAACGACGTTACTAGTAACGCGTTACATTTTTCGCTAACGCAGTAACGTAAAAACCCCCAGTCTCAGGGTAAACGACAAAATGGCAGTAACGTACTTGTTAGTATTCTGAATGACTAACAAATAAAGTATTTCGGTTACTTTTTTACGGCATCGGCTGTCAAATTTCGTTACTCGTTACTTTTGACCAAAACTGGTGAAATCCTGCACGAGCTTATCTCAAAATCCTGCACCAGCTTATCGCTGCAGGGAACCACCATCCGTCACAGTAAAGCTAAAAAAACCAAAAAAGAACTCACTTCTCGAAGGCGAAAAAAACCTTCGGTTACCAGCTAATTCCGTTCATCTTCCTTTTTCGTTTTTTTTTTCCATAGTCTCACCACCCACAGGGCTTGAACGAACGACTGCGTTACAGCCCCCTCCCCTCCCTCCTCTTCCCGCCCTGCTTTGTGCAGCAGAGGTGGACAGCGGGAAAAGAAACACCCTTTGTGGAATATTTTTCCCTCGCTCTCCCCCTCATGCCTGAAAGTTCCTGACCCACTTTTGTACACAGAAGAATCTTTCGCTTGATTAGTCTTTAATTCCCTAAAATCATAATAAAAAAAATTAAAAAAAGTTTTAAACCTGAAAAAAAAAACTTACAAACACGAAATACTTTTTTTTTTACAGAAAAACTAAGAGCTACTGCTGGTAAGAGGCAGCAAGTGATTATAGCCAGTGTGCTGGTAACCGATGTCCTGTTTCAGATAGTGAAGTAAATCAGTTTCTGGTAATATGAACCGGACTGTCACTAAAACCGGCGTACAGATGAGGGGTGTTGGTTTGCTGGTTGAGTTCCAGCAGTCCTCGTTCGCATGCTGTAGTTTATAAAAGCCGATTGACTAACATCTCCGACTCATTCTGCGCGTGAGATGGGCATATGAATAACGAACGTCCGCCGCCATGGCCAGCAGGTCTGAATGAAATATATCAACTAAAGGAGACAGAATCGGGTAATTTACAGTTTCAAAGCCTAATCTGCATGCCGAAAATTTAGCTGCTTCGCGCATCAAAACACTATGAAACCATTTGTAAATTTTTATCTTTTATCCAAGCTTGTTAAGGAGGCTTATCATACATCTCTGCCAAACATATGTACTCGAACAGAAAAGTAACGTAAAAGTAACGTTCGTTATTTTTGAAAAGTAACGGTAACGGTATATCGTTACGTTTGTAAAACAGTAACGTAGCTAGATAACGCGTTACTTTTTACCAAACTAACGAGTAACGCTATTTCGTTACTTTTTTTTCGGTAACGGGCAGAACACTGCTGAAATAGTATCCCTAATATTAGGTAAAAAAAAAAAAACTTTTTTTTTATCGAGTTGTTGAATGTACAATTTTGCCCCTCACCGTGTTCTTCAAACTGAAAGCCTCTACTGACAACAATAAAGAACTGACCCCAGCGGCAAGCAAGGGTTCACTTTCTGGATTGTAGAATTTGTTCCCGAGTAACTCCAAGCAGCTTCATGATGGTGAATGAAAGCTTTGGAAGCTTGCTCAAGTACCTCCGCACCACCACAAACCAAATGCTTGGCATAGTATACTTATAGACTGCCTGCTCGATTGGCAAGCCACTGTCGTCACAGCACTGAAAAGGGCCGGTATGTTTGAATATTTGTTTGTGCGTTATTTTCATTTGCCGATATCACAACATTTGTTCTGAATTACGCGATAATGAATACCATACCGGAAGGAGTAAAGGTCGGGGATTTAGAAATTATAGTTAGTTGGGGCGGCTTAAAAAGATTGTCGGAGTACCCCTTGAAGTACATTGTACTTAAAGTATTACTTCAAGCAGATTTAGAAAACGTATCCCTTACTTGAAGTACATTTTCTGAGGGAGTTAATGTACTTTACTTAAAGTATTTTTGTGTCTGCTACTTTCGGAGGAAAGTACAACTCCTCACTTCAAAATACATTCCCCAAATTTGAAAACAAAAAAACGAAATATTCGCGTATTTTAATGTGAAATTGCGCTATCGTCTTTCGAGGCGTCATCTGGTCATTTCTTTGAGTGAAGTTAAGGCGGCTACAAGACCTATAGAAATAAATGCCTTATAAGTTTACTGTGTATAGTTCTTCAACGAGGGTAAAACAACTAACTACTCAGTGGCCACCTTCACTTTATTCAATATTCTCCCCTATTTTTTAAAATAACTGATTCAAACCGATTACCCCATGGGGCAATGCGTATCAGTTAAAAAACCACTGTATAGGGGAATGAAAGGGCTTCATAAAAAAATGTGTTGAAAACTACTTGTAGTTTTATTCGAAAGTACGTTGCATTTATAGTGTTTTACCTAAAGTACATTGCGCCCGGTGTATCTATTACTTTACTTGAAGTACATGATGTCTCATTCGCTTTTACTATATCTCAAATACTTTTAGATGTATAGTACCCTGCTGAATGCTTGTCGTAAAACCCTTATATCCATTTAGGTGAGGGCGTTCAACAAGGGCACAACGCATGGCCCCTACTCGGTCGAGCTGGAGGTGGAGACCAGGGAGATGGGTGAGACTCCGTCCTTTCCTCGACTTTTGCGAGAGTATACCTTCCCTTTACACCTTTATCGGCTCGAAGAACGAAAGCAGGATAAGCCGCATACGCCCCTGTCCGTTTCCTCTGTCCGTTTCACGCGCGTTGTACAATATGTTGAAACAAAACAGGCACTCAGTTGGTGACGGGTTAAAGGGGCTGTGCAACAATTCTCGGACTTCTGGTCCATAGGTGTGGGAGTCAATCCCTACCACCGGTGGAATATGGAACACAAATCCGTTTTTCGATACGTGCGCTAGTTTTCTTCTTTTTTTTTAACAGAATAAAAACAAATTGAAATATGTGCCCCCCGCGGCCCCTCTCAACTCTCACACCGTCTTTCTGTTAATGTGGTTGTCCCGTGGTTGTGACGTTTAATGGGGAGGTAGGTTTCCGGATTCGCAGGAGGCTTTGGCTCGGCCCGGCAGGGACGCTGAAAGCTCGCAGCTCGCTCTTGTAGCCTCAGTTACGCTGGCATTTAGAACGAAACGGAGGATAAAAAAGCTGTAGTTGGGAAGCGTAATGACGCACGTTCGAAACGCGAGCCCAATTAATCTATTTTGCTCCCCTGGAGCGTTGTTGGAAACTTGAGAGCTACGGGACTATCGGCAAATGAGCAACGCCACAGAGCAGAAATGGTTTTGTTGACCTCTGATAGATGGCGCCACTAAAAATACGATTAATAATATTTCGTAATGGTAGGATACTTTCGATGCATTTGTTAATGTCAGTACGACCAGATTTCTAATAATAGACCTTATGTTTAGCACATAATTGCGCAACTGGCCAATGCTTTACACGTTCCCCATTTAACGTCACGCTCACGTCACGTCACGTCCACGTCACGCCGGCCGGGCCCTGTAGTTCCGACGACCACCACTATGCGGCTGCAGGCCAGTAAAAAAACAGTTTTAAAATGTCTAATTACTTAGTGAAATCGCAACATTTCCGAGGAAGGTTGGATGTTTTTTGTTACTTAGGGCAAGTCAAATGGGATAAAAATTACAGGCTGCGATTTCTTTCAACGTTAATAACGTTGCACAGCCCCTTTAAGAATTCACCGGACACTTCGCCTCCGGCATGAACTTTTGTCCTTTCATGAAGTTCCGTCGCACGCGTAACCAATTAGAGCTCGGTGGAGAGCAACCAGTACGTGCTGAAGACGGAGCACCCTTTCACCGACTATAGCTGTTCTTGATCGTAAGCACAAAAAATAAACAGGTGGTGATAATTACGATGACATTGAGAATGATAACGCCAATAGTCACTGACGACCTGAGAAAAGCAGGACGCGGCTTATCATATGTTCACCCTCATCGCATTCTGATTAGTTCTCCGGTATCCTTATCGGCTGATGCTGCGATCTGATTGGCTGCGGAGCCATAATGAGATGCAGGGGACTCGACACGCCCTGCGTTTCTTTTAAAGTGACTGTACGGCGAGCAAGTGTTCCAAAACGCGTCTTCGGCGCTTGGGAACGCAAGGGGGAGCAGGCCAATCAAAGAGCAACATAGAGAACGCCCAGTGGGCGCTCGATGACGTGGCAGCGAAGCGCGCGCCGTCATTGGTTGAGGTTGGGGGTAAACAAACGCACGAGGTGCGCGGGGAGCAGACGAACTTGCGCTCCCTATAGACTATAAGGTTAAAAAGCGCGAACTGAAACAGGACGAAGAAAGACTGGCGCTTGTCCGTGTCGTACGCGTCTTTCTTCGTCCTCTTTCTGTTCGCGCCTTGTAACCTTTTAATCGATATGTACCAACCAGCCCCAACCAAAGTTTTATTGCAGTATAGACGTTTGCAAGTACGACCTCTAGGCACCGCCATCCTTTTGCCGGTGTGGGTAGATCGTCTGATAGCCAGGCAGGCAGTCCTGAGGCGTACCCACGGTTTCCAGACTGGCACCCAAGCGAAACGTTTTTTTCATGCACAGTGGTCAGACTAGGTCTCGAAGCGCGGCTGCAGCTTGCAAACGTCTATGGCGCTGTCTTTCGAATTAGGAGCCGTCATTGCACTATTCTCTGCAAGCATTGATTGACTTTTCACGCGATCCTTGTAGTGCCGGATGCACCCGCCAGCGTCCACGGCACGGACAGGGCGGAAGACAGTCTCAGGATTCAGTGGGACGAGCCTCTGCGAAAGAACGGAAACTTAAAGTCTTACAGGGTAAGTTTTTTTTTTTTTTTGTTTTCTGATTGTGTTCGCCGTGAACTGTGATGTGCTCATTGGCGTGTTTTCTTCACTTCTCGTACAGTCGTCTTAAGTAATTGTAAGCTCGAAGAGTGTTTGGATTATTGCACGTACAACGACAATTACACACCCACAAGTATTGCGGGTACTGCCCGAGATACACAGGAATACAGTTTTTTTAACGAGCAGACCATCTGCTTGCGCTTTGTATACCACACACAGCTAACGCCGTCATTTTGACACAGAGTCAGTGATGCATGTTCCATTTCATTTGTGTTGATGAAAGAAAATTGAGGTTGTGACATCCGTTGGTGTATAGCTGCGTCTTACTACGGATAAGATGTGCTCATATTTAAACATGCCTGAGGGAGTAAAGTCACCAAAAGACCCACTCGGAGTGGCGCGCGTTTTGTTGATAGTTCCATATCGGTGTAAGGAGAGTGATACTCGATAACGCAGCCAAACTGAATCAGCGAGCACTGACGAAGCGCCTTCTTTTCCGTCGGAGTCACGGTGGAAGAAAGGAGAAGTCCCTGAACAAGGCCAGCCAAAGCGGCAAGCGTTTCCTCGTGCTTCGCTCATGGCAAGGCGGTGCCGTTCAGGCACCTCTCCCTTCCACCGTGTACGGAGGTCTTTTGTATTGATAGTGACTGCAGCGCCTTGATTCGTGCGATGACCGTCTTATATGGGGTCAAACATCCTCGTTTTCTCTTGTTCTTTTCGCTCTCCTTTGTCCAGGTGAATGTATCTCTAGCGCATTCATTCAGCAGTTCGGTGAGCGCCTCCGCTCGCCCCAGGACGGTGGATCTCCAGGACGTCACCATGAGAGAGTACTACCTGCGCGACCTCTACCCCGGAAGTACCTACAGGGTCTGCGTGCAAGCGAGCACAAGCGCCGGTTTCGGTGACGCGGTCTGCGACAGCATCACCACGAGGGCCGCAGGTGAGGCCCGCCTCGCGGAGCTTGTGTCCTGCACTCGACAGAGCGAGCATGTTTGTCTGCATACTCTTGCCAAGTCCCGTTCACGCGTACTATGCGGTGAGAAACTGTAGGGGAGGAGGAAATGAGAGCGCACGTGGACGTCAGAGCGCTGGGTAGATCCGAAGGCTGGTTGTCTCTGCCTCTACCCACCGTGTCCCTCCAATCAGAGCAAACAATTGGGCGTCGCCTGCCCTTCGCGGGGTGCCTCGCGTTCGAACGCCGGACGCCTGTGTTCGGCGTTCGAACGCGTTCATTCTGTGAGGAGAGGCAAAGGCAGCTTACCCAGCGCCCTTTCAATCAGAACTCTCTCGCTCAGTTTCTTTTAGAATGCTGCTAGATCTGCAAATTATTTTAAATGAAAGATCTTAGAAAAAAAGAAGTTCAATTATTTGTTGGAGATTTGTCTGCTACAAATGGTTAAGTACAATGTTTTTTTTTCTTTCTTTTTTTTCTCCTTTAACAGTCACTGAACTACGTTCTGGCAACGAATCTCCAGAACCATTTACACCGGGTCCCAGTCCCTTACGGGGTATCGGTGCTTACTGCATGAAAGGACGGCCAAACTAAAACAGACTTACGTTGTTCGTTTCAATTTTCCTTGTGCCCTTTTTTTCTTTTCCTTATGTTGACGAATATATTCATGTTCCACTCATTTTTGCAAGCGATAAGACAGATTTTTGAGTATTTAGATACATGCACGAGTATATACTTCCATATATACTCGTACATGTATTTGCGAGTGTATACTTTATTTTTGAACGCATCTATAATCGTGTGTTCTTTTTTATAAATGAAAAGTTAGTTTTCTACAGTCACTGCCATACTTGTTGTTAATTTGCCTGGACATTAAAGAACCTTCTACAGCTGGAAATATTGGGTGCCAGTAATGGATCGTTCAGCCACGAATGTTCCACAATTTCTTCGCAGCTCCCGTGGTGCTAACCGAACCAAGGGTGAACGGCATCGTGAACAACACCGTCAGCGTAGCCCTCGATCCTGTCGACTTCGCGAAGGGTCCCATCACGTAAGCTGACTGTCGGGAGAGAGACTTTTTGTGGGTAGTTCCTATGACTCTGATACCCCCGATAACCAGAGGGTGAATGTGCAAAGGCGGCGGCGTAGTATCGGGTATCGTTATCGGGGACAACGAAACGATATACTAAAACGCTATAAGGTCACGCGTAAAGTGGATGGCTGAATATTTAATATTAATTAAAGCGTGAATGTCGTCTGCCATCCGATGAGGTAACTTGACTCCTATCTGCAGAAAGACGATTTGGCCAGTGGATCACGAATGCTAATGTGTGGCCTTGAATGTGCATCCCTGAGTAATGGCGAAATAAAAATAAAAAAAGAAAGATCGGACTTTTGGCGTTTTGCTCAGTGACAAGTGTGTTTGTTGACTTACATTAATCTGCTGAATATGAGCACGGGAAAATCATATCACGAGTTCTTGCCGCCGCGGTCCGGCTGGCTTTCCTCAAAATACTGTAGTGCATATAAACTTCGAGCTTTTTCATAATAAAAAACAAGCACGATCCGCATATGAGGCCGAAATTTCAAGAACATTAAAATAACAACAAGAAGGGGTGATGTTTGCGAGGCTAATAATTCTTACTGCATCTTTTAGTGGAGAATACTTTTTTTAAAGGTAGCATGGGGAGCACGTAATACTCAAAAGCGAGACGCGAAATAGATACGGAAAAGTTTTACGACCGAGATAACAAATGTCACCGATGCATCAGGACTGACTCGAGTGTGGCGCCTCGTTCCCATTGGCCGGTGTAAGCGATCACGTGACGCTAGCGAGAACCAATGGCGTTCACGTTTGAGGTCGCGGTTTTAGTCTCGTTACGTAAACGATTGCATCTAGATGTACCGACCCAAAAACGTATGGGCCTCTAGCTCTCACGTTTGGGCAGAGCCTCTTGCGGGCAAAATCAAGTATTTTTGGGTCGCGTTTTGGTTGCGCGTCGATGCGATTTCTCACGTTGCTCGCGGACGCTAAGCTGGCAGAATTTCATTGGTGGGTAAAAATGTGGGCGGAGGTGGGGGGGGGGGGGGGGGGGGGGGGGGAGGAAAGGGGGGGGGGAGAGAAAGAGAGATAGAGATAACAAGAACAAGAAAGCTACAAGAATATTTTAATTTTATAGGACAGCGCGCGCTGCATTTTAGAGCGCAGCTTTTAGGCGCCCATTTCCGGGTGGAGCGGCGTCGGCGTAAACGCGGGCGTTGCATTCCGGAACGTCACAATTTCCCCACTAAATTTAGAGGGGAAACTGAATTGGTGATGAGGTCACGTGAGTCAATTTCTCCACTAAATCTTGCGGCGATGCTAAATTTAAAAATAATACTTCCCCGCTAAATTTAGCGGGAAAATTTTTCCGCTACATTTAGCGGGTTAAGTTTCCTCGCTAAGTTCAGAAGGGAAATTCACGTCACGTGACACGGTCACGTGACCACGTTACTTGGCTGTGAGGAGGGCAGGAGGAGGGAAGGGTACGGAAGAAAAGGAGGGTCATACCCTCCCCTCCGTACCCTCCCCTCCTCCTCCTCAAGAGCTGCGCTCTAATTTCGCATTACAAAGATTTGTAAGCCTCTTCCATTTTTTTTTTTTTGTTCTCTTTATATAAGGTTGTTTTGTTCTTTCAGACGCTTCGTTAGCGCGCGTGAGCAGATGCTGACAGACGCTTGCAAACGATCGTGGCTCGTGCATGATCGAACGCTGCGGTGGCGTTGTGTGCCCGATGCAGGCATTACATGGACGCGTCTCCCTCACGTGCTCTCGCCCTCTGGCCCAAAGGAACCGGCATATTCTCGTATGACGACTTTGTCAGACATCTCGACTTTAAATATATAAATGTTTTTGTTTCCAGGGCATATTATCTGCTTGTGGTACGAGGCACGCACGACGTGGACGGACCCGTGGTTCCGGTCAACTTCAGCGACGCCCAAAAGATGCAGCTGGCTTACTACACGGCGGCCATGTTCACTCCGGACGAGGTCAAGCAGCTGTCGTCCGACTTCGTGGTGGGCGCGGGCAACGTCGTCGGCGGCTTCGAGAACCCGCCGCTGAGCGACGCGACGCCGTACCGCATCGGCCTCCTCTTGGCGAGCAGCTTCTCCGATGTAAGACGGAAAGCCGACAAAGTAGTCAATGAGCGAAAACTCTCCCCGGTCACAGAAGCACACTATTCAGGTGCATCATCTCGGCCGTAATCTTTAAAGCCTAAGTCACATTGCGATTACATCATACGAAAGACAGTCTAGGTGGCGCAAGCTACCGCCCTTTACAAATGGTATAGCCATTCACATCCATACATCCAGACTGAGGACACTGTCTGAGGCGTTTCCCTTCCTTGTGTGACGGTCACATTGGCCATACCAACACTGTCTGCAGACGTCTTCGGTGCATATTTCTGCAGGGAACGACGTGCCTTTTGAATGATGCATGAACAGTGGACTGGGTCCTAATATCATCACTGATTGTGCTTGTAGATTTTATTTATTTACGCTTACATTCTCCCTGTCAAAAGCATATATGCACCTGCTTTTTCGTTTACTCTCGCACCCAGCCACCTGGTACACATATCCGGAATGGCCGACGGTAAAAACATAAAACAAACCCTTCAAATAGTAGAAAAAGAAGAAAAAACTTTCAGCCATTTCACTCTGGTGAGGAAGGAAAACCAGCGGAGCTGTACAATGGAAACTAATGGCCTGCCGCAAGTCGGCAAGCCAGAGTGAAAAGACTGCCGCCATCTATGAGCCACGGCGGCAACCAGATGCGTGGCTTGCCGCCGTCGCTCATAGATGGCGGTAGGTGTCCAGAGTTTGGTGTCTTCATTTGTTTGCGGGGGACACGATATTGGGGAAACTAGCCCTTAACAGCTCCGCGGTAAAAGTTAGAGGTGAGGCAAAACAAGAATGTGCGACGGTTACGCTTATATCCCGAATGTATTGTATTGACTTGACGACGAAAAAAAAAATTTCATCCATACTAAAAGTGACCCCATTTAAGATGGCGGCTCCCCCGTGGAAAAGGTTTATGCTCAGTATTATTTTACAAATCACAACACTATGTGCATGCCGACGCAACGAGCTGATGTGACCTACGAGACAGCGACAAAAGCCTACCATCTTTGTGTTCGGTTCTGTTTCTTTACGTGTTCTATCATCCCTGAAACAAATAAACAGAAAAGGCCCAGTGACTTGCACTTTTGACGCTGCTCGGTTTGTCCCATTTGCTCGTAGCGTCCGCTGCGTCTGGACTCTAGCAATACATTTTATGATCCTGACGGGAGGTACGAGTAGAATGAATAGGAAGATAAGCCGCATTCTGCAAAATATCGTACGCCGCCCCTGCGATACGCACGGGCGGCGACAGTTCCGATGATAAGATACGCTCTTGTGCCCATTTCCAGGAAGTCCGCTACGGATACCGACTGTCTGAGCCTGTGGTGGGTGAGTTGACGCTCAAATAGGCTAAGCCAACACAGCTCCTACACTCCGTTCGCCCCTAAGCAGACTTAGGGAACGCTCTACAAGTAAAGAGATATTCACACGAAAGGTATTACTCGGCGCGCGCATCACGAGACGAAAACGCCAGGCTTTTGCGCATCGCAAAAGCCTGACGTTTTTGTCGCAGAATGCGCGCAACATGGAGAAATCCTCGGGATTTCACCCTCGTGTGAATAAACCCTTAACGCAGCTTCTGCATGGTGTATTACGACAAAACTAAGGGACGAAAACGAAGGCAGAACTGGACAGGACACGGCGTAATTTTCAACTGAATGGAACAAAAGATCGTAATGTTCCCGAGGACTGTAGTTGTCTTGGTGTCATACAACGCGAATCACTTAGAATTGCGATATTTCCTTAAAAACGTTTAATTCCTCGGTATGTCGCAGGAGGTTCGCCATGGCATGTTTCTTGTTTTTCTCAGTTACCTGGGTTTCGTATCTGCTATGCGGAACAAAAAAATAATAAAACGTTTCAACCTGGAATATGCGAGAAAATATGGGTGAGGGAAAACAAGAATGTGTGACAATCACACATTTTTGCGTAAACACCTTCCAGCGGTGTGGAGAGATCAGAACCCTGTTTTACAGCATACCAGAAGTGACGACTTACAAGATGGCTGCGCCCTTGTTGAAAGGGTGCATATACCAGATTCGGAGAAAGAGAGGGGTCAGATGATCAAAGGGAGGCTGTTGATTGGACCGGCGGGCGCGTAGCTTCAACAACACTGTCAGGTTAGGGGTGACTGTAGCATAAAGAGAAAGACAGTTATGCTGAAGTTTCTGCGTCGCCTACAGAAAGCCAAAGCGGGGCACATATGGGGCACGAGTGCTGCGTCATCATCCGGCTGGGGGTCGTGTTCTTGCTGAATGAACACTATGCTTTGCTTCAGACGCAGCCTAAGCTAGACGGAGCCGACGCTACGAGATAATCAAGCAGTGTCAAAAGCACAAGTCGCTAGGCCTTTTTGCTGTTTATGATTTGTTCAGCGATGATGGAACACGCGTACGTGCGTTTTTGACGCTGTCTGGTCGGTCCATCAGCACGTAAGTCGGCTGCGTCTTGACTTAGGCGGCACAAAGCATCTTTAACTAAATACTGACACAGTTCTCCTGTGCCGTAGCGTTGGCTTCCTGTAAGTGACGCAAAAAATTCAGCACTGCAGCCATGCTATCAGGAAACGTTGACTAGGCCACCTGCCGCAAAGCGGGGTTGACACAGTTCAGCCCGTCCCTTCTTAGTCGGCAAGACAGGAGGGGCTGCCGGGATCGGCACCATCCTGGTGGCGTTGCTGGTGCTTCTGGTTCTGGTGTTTGTGGCCACCGCTCTGACCTACTACTACCTCAAGTGAGTTCCAAGTCACCTTCGTCGTACTCTGAAAGCACTAGGGTATAGAGTAACTGGATCAACAGGACCCCTCTTCGCGTTTTGCAGGAAGCGTTCTGGGGTGATCTACAGGTCCAACTCGCAGACGAAGACGAGCCTCAAAGATCGTCTGTCAAGGCTGTCGAAACGTCTGTATCCTATATACACCTTCCCAGCTATTATAGATCGGGCGCAAAATGCTGAATCACTGGGTGTGGGAGCATGCGTGGCATGTCTGAAGATGTCAATTACACGTGCCCAGAACCTGTTCCCCCAATACATTCTAGAAGACTAAGTCTGCGCATGACGTCGTTGGAGGATCCCGACGCGCCTCCTAGTGGCAAACGCGCTGAAGTTCGACGAGACGCCGCAAACCGGCACACCTGTCCGTTCCTGGCGCTTGTTCGTCTGCTTCTTGCCCAGGGGTCGCACATACGCCAGAAAGACACCGATCTCTGATTGGCTCTGATTGAAGGATTGTAGGTAGACCTCAAGGCAGCTTGCTTCGAGGTCTACCCACTATCCTTCAATCAGAGCCAATCAGAGCTCGGCTTCTTTCTGACGTCATGACAACCCCCGCAAAAGAAGCAGACGAACTTGCGCTCCGCATAGGTAGCACTGCGTGGATCCACTAGCGATGACGTTTGGGGAAGAAAAATTAAGGCCCCAATCCACGCTGTGAAGGTGGTTAGACAGCGAGGCTGTGGTATCGCCTGCAACGATTGCCCACTGCACTATAGACCCTTTTTATGGCAAATGTCGCCAGGTGGTGCTCCAGTTTTTGATGTGCCAGAGAACTTCCGGTTTATGCAAATAATGTACAAAGGCCGCTTTAACCGCCGCTTGAAACGTAGACGAAACGTTTAACCACCAATTCTCCAGGTTCTCCGCTTAGGACACGCTGCCGGGATAATGACGAAGTGCGTGAAACGTTTACGTCACACTTCGGCACATCATGGTGGACGGAAGTTCCGATCCTCTTTCTGCAATCAGTGTCTAAATCGGGCTACAAAAAATGCGAAAACTAATTGATAATATATCTCAAATTCCTTTACATTCTTAATTTTTTTAATTAGTTTAGCACATAATTGGAGGTGCTGTCTACACTGGAATTGCAACGTAGCTTTATATATATATATATATATTTAACAAGTTGTGGTTAGCCAGATTGACACGACGGTAATTTTCTCATATAATGTATATAGCATAAAAAATCATCGGGTACTGTTTCGTGTTTTTCTGTTATTTTTATCTTGTCTATGCTTTTTTCTAAAGGGCGGGAAAAAAAAAAGGGGGGGGGGGGGGAGCGGCAAGGAACGGTAGAGGAAATAATAAACTGCCAATGATTGTTTTCACCCTTCCGTCTTCTTCAGTGGACGACAACAGCCTTTCCGAGTCCCGCATGACCCTGAACATGGACAACGGCGACTGCGTGAACATGACGGCGGTTCCGAACGGGGGACTGCCCTCTAAACCAGTGCCCGTCAAGGAGCTTCAGGAGCACGTCATCTACGCACAGGCACAGGACACGCTCAAGGACGAATACGCGGTAACGCAGACCTTGTACCAAATATTTGCTCCCTCATTTTTGTAGTCTTCAATGTAGTTTGCAAATATGTATAACAAATTGTGTCTTCATGAACTAGTATAATCGCAGACAACAGAACGAAAGCTTCCAGAGTTCGGTCGGTTCACACAAGGGCGTTTGCGTACGGACATTGGTGTTGCGTATGTCGCGTGCAAAGCTACTCCTTGTGCTACTCACATTCAAGGTATTTGTTTGTTTGTTCGTTTGTTTTTTTGTTTTACGCTTTAGAGATTTGTTTAAAAAACAAATCCGTGAAAGTTACACTTATGCGGTTTGTGCACTACAGCTAGTTTTTTGCGCCTGCTTCACCAGTGGTAACTTTGGCGCGCCCCCGAGTTTCCCACGAGCTTCAAGTCCTTCTAAAGAAAGTTGATTTAGTGGCTTTCGATGACGCTCAGTAAGTTTTTAATTGAAACCATTTATCTATTTTCACTAAATAAAAAGTTAATGAACAAATTTTAATTAATTAGCTCACTTATCGCAAAGGTTAGCCGTTCACATAATGTCCCCCTGGCCGCATAACTCACCTGCACCAACCGCATAAGTGTAACTTTCACGGCCTTTCTTAAACAAATCTGTAAAAAAAAAAAAGAAAAAAAAAAAAAACTCTTTGTATAGCATTACACACGCTCGGATGTGCTGGATATACTTTCTGGTGTTCGCTTCTAAGAAGTTTGCAACTTTTGTACCATGTGGTGTCATATGTGAGCCGCAGCGCCAATCCGGCGGTTTGCTACTGTTTTCCTCCCGCGCATAGGAAATAAGTCCGTATTTTCTTGCACTGTTTCTCAAGAAACTTTCACTTGCACTGCGTTCATTAGCATGTGTGTACGTCTTGTGCTTCTTTTTTTCAACGTAATAACGTTCTGAAACTTCCTGTAGAAAGTGTCGACTAATTCAGCTTGCTTGAAAGAGCTATCTGCATGACCTTAGAGGGTCTACCCTTGTCGGTTTAAGATATCTTTTGTGCCACACGAGAGATTCCTTAAGAAACTAATACCTAAAAAACAACGTAAATAAAGAAAAATTTCGTAACAATCAGAATTTTAGTTTTTTTTTTTTTTTTTTTTTTTTTTAATTCTCGAGCACAGACATCGCCAAGAGGACAGCTTCATCCATGGGACACTGCCAAGAAACAGGAAAATAAATCCAAGAATCGATACGGAAATATTCTGCCATGTAAGAATAACTTCCTTCTTTTTTTTTTGTTATCTTTTATTGTCTTGCTGGGATGCACATTTTTTTTTTTTATGAATTACAGATGATCACTCGCGAGTGATCTTGTCAAAGCTCCCCGATGTCGACCACAGCGATTACATCAATGCTAACTACGTGCCGGTTAGTTTGATTCTTTAGCCCTTTGACCTGATGTTTGAGCTTTTAGCGTTTACCGAACTTAACATAACTTAAGTTATATTTCAAACAATCTTGTTATTTTGCGCGAATTTTAATGTTAAAAAAGAAGTGTCGCGCGGGTTTGCGTCGAGTATATGTCACGTTATAATTACGTGATGAAGCAGCACCGTAAAATTTAATGTTTTTGTTTCACATTGCAGGGATATAAGTGCTCACGTAAATACATCGCAACTCAAGGTTCGTAAATCTTTTTTCATGCAACACGGATCGAACAAAAACAACACGAGCTTATGTTTAAATTTACCGGACAACCATGCTTGGTTGTCCGGCAACGGTCGGGTATACTCGTGCATACCGGATCCGTGTCGCTTTGGTTTGTGTCCGATTGTACGCGGAAATCTTATCCAGCGGCAGAGATAAATAACGTTTTGTTCCTGATGACAAACGTTCATATTGACTATTCAAGGACCTAAATCGTCCACGGTCTCCGATTTCTGGAGGATGGTTTGGGAAGAAGGTTGCTGCAAGGTCGTGATGCTCACCAACCTCAAGGAACAGGAAAAGGCGAGCATTCATTCTGTCCCTGGCAATTCCTAACGTTTTCGCGACGGATTTTTGTACGACCGTATACCCAAATTAGCGCGACGGTCACTTTCAGACGAAATGCGAGAAGTACTGGCCGGACGCCAGCCAGAAGTACGGCAAGTACACGGTGACCCTGATGAAGACGGACATGCAGGTGGATTTCATCGTGCGGGAGTTCCAACTCGCTCTGGTCAGTACCGTTTAATGAAACGCGTCTTCACCTTCTGAACACGTACCTGACCTATACCACCCAAAAGATGCCTCCCATGCATCGGATGTCTAAGTGATAGTTTTTGTCGCATGTTGGTGGAGTAGAATTGCCAACTGGGCGCTTAAGATGAACCCGCTGTCAGGTCGTAACGACTTTGTTAGTGGAATTCTTACGGACAAAAATACAAAACGCAACCAAGGGTAAATATGTGTTTCTGCACCTGTCTCATATTCGCTGAGGCATTTCGGTACACGGACTTGTTCTTTGTGTGAGCTTAGTGGGATACAGGTTCACAATGTGCCGTATAAACATCACCACGTACAGCTAGGGCATCGATTCACCCCGTGGACCAACCAAGAAAAGCAGTAGCCATAGGGAGTCATATGACGTCAGCGTGAAGTATAAATGCGCAATATCCTCGGTAGCGGATTCTTTGTGCATCGCGGAGGAACAGTGGCTTGCGGTAATGCTGTTGTGAAAGGACCTTCTGGCACATTTTTAACTTGCATTTTTGACTATAGTGACCTTGTCGCTAACCCTAAATAACCATGTTGAGCAAGGTTAATTATCGTAGTCCTTGTGTTTCGGGTTCCCCTTTTCTTTCTTGTAGGAGGACAAGTGTCGAACCGTGGTCCAGTTCCACTTCATGACGTGGCCGGACCATGGCGTCCCTCTGTACCCGGACGCCCTGCTGCCGTTTCTGAGAAGGATCTGGGACTTCGAGCCCCGCGATGACCATCCCATCGTGGTTCACTGCAGGTCAGGCTTTTTACTGCACGTCTTACAAACTGCTAACCGCCGAGATTTATTATGTTTGATGCCTCCTTGTACGACACTCCCCAGATCCTGCCTTTAAAATTAAATTATGAATTTTTTTTTTTTGCGGACAGTGGAGGCATTGGTAGGACAGGTACTTTGATCCTGGTAGACAGCATGCTGGCGCAAGCTGAAGCTGAAGGCGAAGTAAACCTGGTCAGCCAGCTTCACCATATGCGCCAGAACAGGATCAACCTCGTGGAGTCGCTGGTGAGTTTGCCCTCTACAGCGGGATGCTTGGCGTACATTGTTCAGTTCACCGTGTGCATGTATACCGTAAATCTTACCGCCAACCTTTCATCCGTAAATGGTCTATGTGCTCAAAAATATTTGGTAACGGACCGACTTTGGTCGTGCAGGAGCAGTACGTGTTTGCGTATATGGCTCTGGTGGAGATCCTCTGTTTCAAAAGCCACAAGCTCGCGGTCAAAGACTTTGTCAGCTCGTACCACAAGCTCAAGTCCAAAGCCCCGGGTTCGAAGAAAAGCATCCTTGACCTAGAGATGGAGGTGAGCCTCACACCTCCTGCTTCAATATGGTCAGATTTCTTCAGCGATCTGTCCAACTGTATTGTGATAATGGCCGCTGTCTGAGGAAATTATCCTCGCTGGGTAGATGCCGTCAGTTCCAACCAAGCAAGCGCCATCAGAGGTTATAAGTGTGAAGCTGCCCAAGATGAATTCAAATGTTCTTTAGATACAATTCCTAAATAAACAACTTATCTCCGCGCCGGCGGTCGTGCTGCCCTGGGATCAAAGCACGCAACTATAGAGTGCGCAGCCGCGCATTCTTTGCATGACGGAGGTGAACTCAAGAATCAAAGCTTGTTCTTGCAATGTCATTCGAACAGCGCGGCGCTTTATTCTGCCGGCTCGCACCATTCTTCCTTCTCTGTTACACAAGGGAAAAGCGAGGTGGTACAATTGTACGCTTTGGCCACAGGGAGCGGGACTGCTGACGCGGAGATGAGCTTTGATGACAAACTGAAACTTAAAAACGCGTCCAAATTCAAAAGAAGCAAACTGGGCCAGTTGGGAATAATTAAACGTATTTGATGAAAATCAGGTTCAAAAATCGCACCCGTTTTTTGAAGCTGATTTTTATCAAACATGTTTCAAATTTTAGTGTTTCTAGGGAATGCAATAAAATGCTTTGCGTGCGTAATACTTTGGCAAAGTGGATTGATCTATAGTCCGTTACAACTCAAGAAGGTAGGGCGAGAGAAAGGAAGGCCGGGGAGGAGGAAGCAGACGGAACGCTGGAGAAGAGAGGAAGAAACCTCCGTCTCTCTTTAGCGTTCCGTCTGCTTCCTCCTCCCCAGCCTTTCTTTCTCTCGCCCTACCTTCTTGAGTTGCAGCGGACTGTAGTGAATTTCTATTATCTCATCAAAGTTTCTAATCGAAGGCATACCTTTTAACTTACTAAATAAAAAATTAATAATTTTATTGAACGTTATTTTTTAATATGCCTTTTGGCAAAGACCAATATGATTTCAGTTTTTTTTTCTGTGTGGTGCGTGTTTTTCACAGGAGGGATTTGGTCATTGCTCTTTAAAACACGATTTTTGATTGGGTTAGTTGATTCATAATTGTCATTGATAAAATAGTGCAAACTAAACAATGATTTTGAAACACCCTCAATATATAAAACGAAATTGTTTAAAAAACTAAGAAAATAATCTCTGGAGAATAGGGACAAGAGGAACAAAGAGAAAAGAGAAATTTCCAAAAGCAGCTAGGCGACTGGTTTCCGACAAGGAAAAAACCCGCCTGGTCCGGGTATCAAAATTGGGATCTCTACATTTCCAGGGGAGCGCTCTACCAACTGAGCTAACCAGGGGTTAGAAGTCAGTAGAGCAAACAAGCTTTATCAGCTGCCACCAGTCTAACACCAACAAGGGTGAAAGGCAGTTGATAAAACCAGGCGGATGTTTTCGGTCGCGCACCAGTCACCTATCTGTATTTGGAGATTTGTGTTTGTCCTTTGTCCCCCTTGTTCCTCTTCTCCAGGGATTATTTTCGTCATTCTTTTCCAGCTCGCTTGCACCTTTGCATTGAATCGCATTATAGTTATAAATTTAAAAACTATTTTTTTTAATATCTTTTGAAATCGTTTACCGCGTCTCCAAAGGAACTGGCCAGGGCATGCCTTCCTTCGGGCGACCATGACTACAAGGGAGCCATGGATCCGAGGAACGCGTCCAAAAACCGATCTCCAGACATTCTTGCCGGTACGTGGCCAGCAATATGTGTCGTGAACTCTTCCGGAGGATGTAACCTCCTGGGGCCCTTGGCTCGTCGAACAGAATGTTGGGCCCGAAGTTTACGGAGCGCGCCAACTGGACTCTTTGCAACGACGCCGCCGCACTTATCTCTCCAAGGTCTACGTAAACGATGTGCTCCGCCAACTTTTGGCTACAACTTCTTGTTCGGCGATTCTAGAGCCCCTGGCTAAATAAAGATCAAGGCTTCACTTTGTTGAAGAACTGAATGAATTATCGCGGGTACAGTCTCGAGGTCAGTATGAGCTCATTTAGTGGGTCAGGGGATCATATGACGCAGTGAAATCAATACCCCTCCCCCTTTCCAAGCAGAGATTCCGAAAAGCTTTCGTCTGGCATGTTGGCGCTGTATTATAATGAATGAGATACTAACGGTCGTCAAATTTGTTTTTATGATTTCACAGGTGTTCCAAAAAATGCAAATCGCTCATTCCTTTTTTTTTTTAGAACTTTTTTTTTTTTGACGATCGCTAGATTCATTAATTCGCGCTGCATTTTAGTACTATACTACTTTAGTATCGGGCTGCAAATTACAGCTAGAAAAAGATAACATTTTCCATGCAATGTGGAATTTTTGACAAACCGTGAAACAATAGGATTCCTTTTTTGTTTTTTTTCTGTTTTTTTTTTTTCAATTTCCACTTTCTGAACAAAACAAAAAAAGTTTATCAGCCAGCTAAGCTGCATACAAAATCTTCTTTTGTACAAAACAATGGGCTCGCATAAAAGAATATTCTACTATATTTATTTTATTCACCAGCCCAATTCGTCAACTTAAGGGTGCGTTTCTACTCTAGAAGCGATAAAAATTTGTGACGCTATGAGAAATAGCCTTTTCTTTTCTATTTCCGCATTACACTCGTACCTTGTAAATGCCTTTGCACGCCGTCAAACGTTCACTTGCAGCGGACACGCGGAGACCATTTCTGCGCCCCACAGCCGACGGAAGACAGACGGACTACATCAACGCCGTCTACGTCGACGTGAGTGACCTCAGTAGACCTTTCTCGCAAAGGCGCCGCCATCTTGAATTGTCGTCACTTCCAGTATGGGCGAAAACATAGTTTTGCCGTCACCACGCCAATAGAAGACATTTATGATAAAAGCATAACCGTCACACGTTTTCAATTTGTCCCTCCTCTATTTGTTTTTTTACTATTTGCAGGATGAATTGTTTTAATAATTTTTCGTCGCCCATACCAGATATGCCTATTAGGTGACATGGGGACGAGAGTATAGGGAAAAGGTCTATACACGTAGATGTCAGGTTATATATGCAGCGTTTTGTGATCACGTGGGTCATGAGACATCCTGCTCGTCGAGTGTTTCATTCCGAAAGTGTGCGCTAAAGAAATCTCCCTCTTTGAGCGAAAAAAAAAACGAAAAGTAAAATTCGGCAGGCACCTAAGACTGCTCAACTGTAGGAATGCTTTCGCATTCTTACTAGCAGCGCACCCCGTCGTCCTATCGCACACGGCACTCCGTCCACTGCGCAGGCGCGGTGAGCCCTGCCGGCTTCATGACGGCTTCCATGACGAGGCATCTGCGTTGCTGTGCTTTTCTTTGCGTTTTATTGGGGATGGGAATTTAAGTTTTGTTCTTCTGCTACAGACGGTTACAGACAACGCCGGCTTCGCTCCAAGGGGCAGTTAATGCTTTCGCATTAAGAAGTGGACAGCAGAGGTCGCTCTTGAAAGGGAGCGCTAACCGGGAGGGGCTAGAAAACTTCTAAACACTTCGTTTCACTTCAAGTCTGAGCGGCACCCACGCACAATTCGAGTGTAGTAATCAAACAATCAATCAATCAAACATCAACTAAACAAATCGCGCGCTGTGAATACTCACGGCGACTTGATCATACTATATCAAGTACACTCGCGTATGCTCTGAAGTGGAACGCATTCGTTCAGAGTAGAAGTTGTCAATTACTTAAGTTTCAAACTTAAGCTTAAAACAGTGGCCCCGATCATGCCAGCTACAATTGGCGCGTTAAGCCACGTCATCGGTCAAAGTACCACAACGGGAAGCAGGAGCCATCTCCGCTGAATGTCTACCGAGACTTTATACTTCTTCATCACTTTACCTCGAAGAATCGCAGCTAAAGTAATGTCAATCAATGAACCTAAATACTTACACGACACTACTAAGTTAAATCAATTTAAAATATTAAATTTAGTCACTTACACCTCCCTGATCCAACCCACAACCGACCACCGACATATATCCCTCTTATTCCTTTTCACAGGGTCCGTGCCTCATTGCAAAAACTGCCTTTCTTTCTTGCTGACCGTGACGGACGGCATGCTCACGCAGTCATCGGCGATTTCCTCAATGGCCAGGGTGTCGAGAGTCTCGCGCTCAAAGACGTTTCTGTGTCTTTTAAAAATAGAAACGCTGCTAAAGCTTGGCCTGCACCCGCACGTGGGGCAATGGACTGCAAGGTGCCCATCCCTGCGTCAGCGCTGTGTGTGTCTACCGCCTTCTACTCTGTCCTTGTCCTTGCGCTGTTTGTTTTCCGCTAATATGAATGACCAACTAGCCCAATCGTCAACACTCCTGCACCGACGTGCGTGCTCCTGCTCCCTCACTCTGTCATGAATGCGTGCTCATGGTGCATGACCAACTGATGGAAGATAGTCTATGCGTCATTTCGAAATTTCAAAAAGGGTTTCACACCTTCCCCTTCTAGGCAACAGTATCCAATCCAAGCCATGACACTCGTCCCGCATGCCTCGCTTCAAGCTTCGCCTCTCTGCACCGGCGCGCACACATCAAGCTTTACAGCATGGCACCGGCGCAAAGCGCGTCAAGCTTCACCGCATGGCTCTTGCGCACGCGTGTCAAGCTTCACTGCTTTGCATCGGCCTGTGCTTCAAGCTTCCCCGCTTTGCACCGGTGCGCTCGGAGAAGCGGCTGAACCGCGGGAGCATCTCGGTTGGCTCGAATGAACCGGTAATTTTGCTCGCTATTTATAGACCCTTTTCGCATAACCTCATGTCAGCGCGCAACTGAAGTACCCTCCCCTCGACCCGGTGCGGATGGATGGATGCTAACGGAACGGCTGTACTTCCAATAACGGGCGGTAACTTGCACCACCTAGCCTAGAAATTTAACACCAAAAGTATGATTCCTACCTTTGCCCTTCTTAGCCAATTTGCTCTGCCTCCGCAATTTCGTGACTATTACCAGGTGGTGTGGGATACCACCAGAATGACCTTCAGGAGATCGGGTCAAAAACGAAACTGAAAACATTACTTCCGCCTTTTCGCTTGGGCGAGGAGTGGCCAGTTTTGCCCGCTTAACAAGGTATGCGCAGGGGCGGATTTAGAGGGGGGGGGGGGTCTGGATGTCCTGACCCCCCTCTTGATTTCTGCTTGTGTAAATTTTAGGGCGTAAAACGAAGGAGAGGGTGAGGGGTTTACTAAAAATATGGTACGCTGACCGACACCTGCCCCCCCCCCCCCCCCCCCCCCTCAGGAAATTCCTGCATCCGCCCCTGTGTATGCAACCGCCGAGGTTACGGGTAAAAAGGCTCGGATACGAATGTCGTGCGCGAGTTAGCTACGAGTACTTTTTTAACCGTGTTATAATTTCTGAAAATCTACGGCTATCACTGCATCGTTGTTGGGTGCACAAATGACTTCAATAAGTATAAGGACAATCACGGAAAGTGTGCGATGAGCACAAGAAGCTACAGCGCAAGTGTGGCTGCAATGTTTTTGAGCTTCATCTGTTTCCCAATTATCCTGATTTATGAAGTAAGTCGATTGCGAGAGTGAATAGCGAGGGCCTTGTATCAGAGTCATCATCGCGTTTCTGCTCAAAACTCGTCTAAGTTAAGCGAACCGATTGCAACTTGATGCCCGCGTTACGATTAGGTTATCAGTCCAAGCTATTACTCCAGGGCGTGTGAGGTGTACGAAAGCGTCAACGTACCACCGCTCAAGATGCAGCTATCAAATGCCGAGAGCTTACCTGCATAGATTACACTCATCTGCTCATATATATTCCTTCGTTGTGAAACTCAATCAAAACATTCCTCCGTCTTCATTCCCGTTATTTCTAGGAGGCAAGGGAATGGCCTGGCATTAGTCAGCTCGATTCAACCGGCCAAGCTCTAGCCAAGTTACTGCAGCCCATATTAGCCGAGTCTAAGTCCCCCTCCCCTACCCACACTATAACCTAGTCAAACCCGACTATATTGAACCCGTTTACATCGAATTATTTCTTATATTGAACAATATTTGTGCACAGCAATGTTACAGTGATAATATACAACAAAAAGTATGGTTAGATTGAACAAAGTAGCAGTCACTACCGATATATCGAACTGACAAGAACGCCGTTGTGCTTTGCAAGCTGGCTTTCCCCAACACGACGGCCGCATTGGGAGAAAACCAGCTTGCAAAACACGCTGTTTTTTCTTCCTTTTTTTTTTTTTTCGGACGGTTTCGTTGATTGTTTGGAAGAAAAATCTTGCGGAGGGACCGGGAAGCGGGTGCTCCGTGCCCCCTCTCCCCACTCCGTCCGAAAAAGATAATACTATGAGCGAGTTTTAGCAGACCGTGTTTCCCGCTCCGCTAAGCCCCTCCGCTACCTGGAACTCTACAGCCAAGGCCATCGGCGCGCAGGCGCAGTGGCGGTTTCTTCGTAGCGGAGGGCTAGCGGAGCGGGAAACACGGTCTACTAAAACTCCCTATTTTTTCTCCTGGGCGGTTGACGCGGCCACCCTGGAGAAGAAAAAAAAGCCTGCTTGCTCTGCTAGCTGGCTTTCCCCCAACGCAGCTGAATGCTTAGGGGAAAACCAACTTGCAGAGCACCGTTGAAGGGGCTCCTGCTCGGATATGGTCCGTGCTCTCGGCATAGTTCGGCGCTAATGCGCGAATATAGAAGGCAGCGGCCTCAGCATTTTGGAGTCCGTCGATAGAGCAGAAAAATATCGTTATCGCGGATGCAATTAAGAAAAACCAACAGCAGATGCAGGACTATTTCATTGTGTAATATGTCTGCAGAAAGTGGATTTTTGAGAGTCAAATTCATTAAAACATTTATATCGAATTACCCGCCATATCAAACTGGTAGCCTTTTTTTGCGAGTTTGATATAAGCGGGTTTTACTATCCAACACAACTGTTCTGCCAATACCAGCCGGTATTTTCAAGAATTAAACCGCTATACGGCATCGTCGGTGCCGCAATTCTCAAGATGGAGGCTCCCTTTACGAAGCGAAACGTCTATAAGCCTACCCATAACAAAAGCAACAAAAACGTCCATAGATACGAAAAAAAAACTAACCGCTAGTGTAATACAGACCTGTTCTACTGTCCCGTACAAAAAAAAACTGACACACCAAAATGTGATAATTTTTTAGTGTTAAAACAGAAATCGTTTTATTACATAGTTTTACCCTAAACGTGTTTTCGCGAATTCCCAAGAGTCTACGAACCCTCATTTAAAGAACACTGCTGTAGACCTTTCTGAGCTCATGATTGGCACATATCTTAATTTTCAGGCTCTTGCTTACGAATATTCTTAATTTCCAGATTTCTGCCTAACTGGGCGTTCGGTAAGGATAACCGAACGCCCAGTTGTATTTGACTAAATAAAACTGGGCGTTCGAATAAAAACTTGCCCAAGAAATAATCTTTTCGGTTTGAGTTGAAAATAAGCTTCGATTAGGAGTAAATAATCTGGTCGAGACGTGCACACTCTCTTTACCGCGTCTCATCGGCAGCTCTTGATTGGTATGACGCAACACTCGGCGTGGCCTTGCAGGGCTTCAAGAGGAGGAAGGCCTACCTGGTGACACAGATGCCACTTCCGGAAACAGTGGACGACTTCTGGCAGATGGTGGCTGCGAGCGGCGCCAAGACCCTCGTCACGCTGGGCCCACTAGAAGACGAGGTCAGATGAAAAAGAAAACAAATCTTGCCGCTACCCTTCTACCCTCTCCACTCAACCCCCCTAAATCCACGGTTGAACTGCTCCTACATCGTACAAAAGACACCCTGTTGACTGCAGACACGAAGACACAATTACCAGCAGACCAGCCTCAAGCATGCTCGAAGTTCGCTCCAACCGTATGCATGCTTCGAACGTATCTGCAAGCAGTTTTTGTGTGGCCAATCTTGACAGGGTGGTCATGAAAGGAAGAAACACGCGTCAGCCAGCGTCTGCAGGCTATTTTTGTATGGTGTATTAGCAGTGTGTCTGAGGTTTTAACCAATACCACTTGAGCTTCAGCTTATGCGGAGCGCTTTTTCGTCTGCCTTTTTTTGCGGCGCTTGGTGGTGACGTCAGAACGCCGAGCTTTGATTGGACGGATAGTGGTTAGACCTCAAAGCAAGCTGCCTTGAGGTCTACCCACTGTCCTTCCAATCGGAGCCAATCAGAGCTCGGCCTTATTACCTCACTTGAAGCCATGCAAAAGAAGCAGACGAGCTTGCGTCCCGCATTTGCCGCTCGGTGCGGAATCAGGGAGCCACTAACGATGACGTCACCAGGAGGCCTTATCTTTTAGGTCTTATTGAATCAAGCCCCTCCGTCGTTTGGAGAACACCACCTGCTATGTTGAGGCAACCAAAAGGGCGAGCGAAAGCGCCTGCGAGAGAGCGACATATGATAATAAAATACTGGCTAAATACACTCTCATAAAAAAGGGTGTATTGTTACACCCTTTGTTTCATATAATACACCCCAAAACATCAATTCGACGTACAGCGCCCTATAGTAGAACAGACGGCCCCAAATTTTACGAGGGGCTTGATAGCCGTGTGGTACAACTTATTAAAATAGCTAATGTAGGCGTTACTGACTACAACAACAAAAAAAAATTGCGGCCCTACTGCAAAACTTTGGTGTTTTCTTTATGTGAGCTTTAATACATACTTTGGCTGCTTAATAAGTTATATCGTACCGCTATCAAGCCCTTCGTAAAATTTGGGACGTCTGTTCGACTATAGTGAACTCTACGTCGCACTGAAGTTTAAGGGTGCATTATATGGAGCAAAAGGGTGTAAGACGACACCCTTTTTTTTAGATCCGGCCCCCCACAAAGTGTAGCAGTTAACTTCGTTCAGAAATGTTGCAAGAGCTTACATCTAGATATGACTCCGATCTTCAGCAGCAGTCAAGCTCATTAAACATTTAGTTGCCATGGCAACTCGCAGTTGTGCCTAAAAGGAAGACTCTTTAAGGGTGTAAAACGTAGTCAAGCGCTACGTTCGCCTTCGTTTAGGTTTTTTACAGAAAACTGCGATGGTTAAAACACCAAGCGGTCCGTCGAATTAATTGCTCGGGGCAAATAATAATCCTGGGAAATTGTGTTCAGAAACCATTTGTTTTATTACTTCTGTGGTATATATGTTTCGTGTGAGCATACAGTTTGATCTGACGACTTACTGCATTTTATCGCGTAAACATTGAACTATGTTCAAGATGAACCACGAGGAAAACTGTGTTAGCTTCACCGGGCTCTCGCTTGCAGACTTGTCCAGTGTTCTGGCCCAAGGCCGAAGGAAGCGTCCAGGAGTACCAGAAGGTCAGCGTGGAACTTGCCGGATCTCAAGACCTCAAGAGCCTCATCGTGAGGACACTCAAGGTTGCAGAGACGGGGGTAAGCACATTCCAGAAACTGAAACCGAAGTGTTGAATTTTGTTCGCACAAAGCCTGTGAGTATGTTCTTTCCCTAGATACGACGGATCATGAGAAATACCTAACATTTCACTTAAAAATTAAAAAAAAAACGCTTGGCTTAGTTATTTTGTCACATCATACAGCGAAGGTGCGATAGAACATGATCGGGTTCCTCAGGGAGTATCACTTTCTTTCGGAATTTAACTAAGATGTTTTCCCAATAAATTTAGCGGGGAAACTGTGACGTCACATGGCACGATGACGTCAGATGACATGACATCGTGATGTCAAGTGAAACCGACGTCACATACTGAATCGCGTAACACTGATGTCATGCGGTTAGACCAGCACGAGCAAGAAAGGCCCACATAAAGCTAGAGCGGAGCGCCAGTTCGTCTGCTTCTCCGATTGGAGACTGAACTCCGATTGGTTCTCATTGGAAGGATAGTCGGTAGAGCTCAATGCTAGCTGCCTTGAGGTCTACCCACTATCCTTCCAATCAGGGCCAATCAGAGTTCTACATTCTGACGTGACGCCACCCCTGCGCGCGCAAGAAGCAGTGGAGCTTGAAAGCGTTCTGGAGACAAAGTTATTGCCGATGATGCCACACCGAGTGAAGACGCTAAGGTAAGCGTCTTTTACGAGCAAGCATCGGCATCGCGAGATCCGACAGCGTGACACTGCGGCTTTTGTGACGTCGTTTGCAGCCACTTCGGGACCTTTTTCGACGCGTGGGTGGAATAGGATGCGAAACACACCAGTCGGAGACGCGGTCCAGGCATCGTGCTGCATACTATCTATACACTTGTAGACTATACTTTTGGCCCTTTTCGTATATGTCCCGTTTTGTTCACGTTGGGAATGGTTGCCTGGTCCAGACCACGCCACAGGTGCTGAAGCAGTTCCACCTGGACACCTGGACGCAGTCCAGGACAGTTCCCCCCTCTTGCGACCTCGTCCTCGAAGTCCTGCAGCACGTGGATCGCTGGCAGTTGCACACTGACTCCAAGACGGTCGTCGTCCAGTGTCGGTGGGCATTTGGGGGGCACGTTTACGGGATGGTCGTGTTTGTAGATCGCCACGAAAGTCACTCAAAGCTTCGAAGGATCGGCGGCTTTGCCTTTGTTCATACCAGGTGTCAGCACTGCGCGTGCGCAGAAACTAGAGCGTTTGCAATTTAATGGCGGAGATTGGTCGCAAGTGCGCATGCGCTGCGTTTTCGCGTGGAGAGGAGAAGAACGGGGAAAACGTTTCCCATATCTACTTTGTACACCCAATGTTTGATATCTCACCAAAGACTAACTTTTGGCTTGTGTAGATAGATCGTTTTATTAAAACCAAAGTTGACCTTGAAAACCTTAGGGGGGGGGGGGGGGTCGCCCCCTCTCCCTTTTTCTGAATTCGCCCCTGACTCGGTCAGGGGGTGCGAGTCAGGGGCGCTGTAGCCTTCCATCATGCACGAGCGTTCCGCATGTAGCGTTTCATCATGCGTTTTCGAATGATAGCGTCTGTTCAAACGCAAAAATAAAACTTACAAAAAAAAAAAAAAAAGAATCGGCAGCTTGTGATTTTAGCGTCCTACGGTACTTCAAGAATGCATTCCTTTCGACTGTTTTGTTCTTGATTTATTTATTTCGTAGCTCCTTTCGGCAACGTGAGGGAGCGTAAAAACGCTCAGTCGAAACGCGACCTAAAAATATTCGAATTTGCTCGCGAGGGGCGCTGCTCACAACTTGAGCTACCGGTCAGGCCCATCGAGCGTGTCACCCTGATCGAGCAGTTGGAATCACTCAGAAATTTATGAACACTACTGCGCCGTGCCGACAGCAACTCCACGGCAATGAAGCTGCTGTCGACAAGGAGAGGATGAAATGGGCCGCCATTTCTTTGTCCGCAATGTCACTCTCGCCGTTTCTTCTTGGTGGGCTAGATGTGCGAAGAGGACGTCTGGGAAAGAGAGGCGAGTGGCCTCACGTTCACGCGACGCCACCGCCCGCCTAAGGGGATTCAAGACAATGGTTCCACTCGGAGACGATCGCCTTTGTCTTGTCACCCCCGAAGGGGCACTTCTTTTCCCGAAGGGGGATATGCACCCGCCTGCCTTCCAAAACAAACTTGGTTTGAAGTTGGACCACACGCGTTGTTGTTGACATGTTTCATTCAATTAGACAGCGGTGCCTCTTCTTCTTTTTTTTCTTCTTTTTTGGGGCATCCTGCAGTAGGGAGCCTGTATTGAAGAGAGTTTCCAACTAATGACACCAGCTCAGAGCACGTGGAGCACAAACTCGCGCTGCAGACCCCAGGGATCCTGGGTTCAATCCCCACCCCTGGCAGTTTCCAACTGGATGAGCATCGTACCGGCGTGCGGTCATGTATCACTGCTGCGTGGTGCACGCTAAAAACCTCAGGCTAGCAGTCGTACTGCACCGGCTAAATTGCTCATCTACAGTGGGTAACAATGTCGCCATGTTCTGGCAGACTAACTTCCTGCTGTATAAACAACTAACGACAAATTTGTTTTGTTTTCCAACTAATCGATCGGGAAATCGTCGAAAGAAAGAAATCATACTTTTGGTTCTTAATTTCTAGGCTAGGTGGCGCAAGCTACCGCCCGTTATGAAGGGTACAGCTAACGTTGTTAGATTAGTTCAGTTCCGGAACTGCTACTAGACGCTGCTTGCGCGAGTAGTACCCACCCGTCACTCACCACGACTCGGCTTCCGTCGTTGGACGGGTCGGACGGCTGCTTTGGTAACTGCAGTGTATTCGATGGGATACACTGGGAATGTTTTAATTCTTACTTCAAATCAGTATTTTCTCAAGAAACAACCAGCGATGAATCACCAGTATCTGTTATTTCTGGTAACACAATGGCAGATATTGAAATTGATGTTAACGGTATTACTTGCCTCTTGCGTGAAATGAATACCTCGAAGGCAACCGGACCTGATGGATTATCATCGATTGTTCTTTGTAAGTGTCGAGATATTATAGCCCAGTATTTATGTCTCATGTTTAAAATTTCCCTTGAAACTGGGGCAGTTCCACACGATTGGAAGGTAGCAAATGTTATTCCTGTTTTCAAGTCAGGGGATAAAAAACTTGTAGAAAATTATAGGCCTATATCTTTGACGTCAATTAGTTGCAAATTGTTGGAACATATTATATATAGTGAAGTTTTTGATTACCTGGAATCCTGTAAATTTCTTGCCCCTTCCCAGCATGGCTTTCGCAGAGGGTGTTCATGTAACACACAACTGGCAGAATTTCAACATTACATTTCAAAATCACTTGACAGCAATACTAATGTAGATGCAATTTTCCTTGATTTTCGTAAAGCCTTTGATACTGTACTACACCACCTACTACTGAAGAAATTAGCATCTTTAAATATAACTAACAATATTCAAAAGTGGATAAAAAATTACTTAAGTGGCCGAGAGTAGTGCGTGGTTTTAAATGGTAGCAAGTCATTACCTATAACTGTGAGTTCAGGAGTACCCCAAGGCAGTGTCTTGGGACCATTATTGTTCTTAATTTATATTAATGATATTGTAACTGACATTGAATCGCCGATTAAGTTGTTTGCGGACGATTGCGTTGTTTATAGACAAATATATTCAACAATGGACATAGAAATATTGCAAAGCGACCTAGATAAAATAGAACACTGGTGTGATAAGTGGAAAATGAGTTTAAATATTGGAAAATGTAATTATTTCAGCTTCACAAAAAATGTATCAAGGTCTCCCGCCAGCTATACCATTAAAAATGCAATAATCCGCAGAGTAAGCGACTGTAAATACTTAGGAGTTAATTTCACCCAATCACTTAAATGGCACAATCATATTGACTATACAATAGCAAAGGCAAGCAAAATGTTATATTTTATCCGGAGGAATTTTAAGGGCGCTTCAACAGATGTGAAATAAACTCTTTATATTTTGCATGTTAGGTCGATACTCGACTATGCATGCATCATTTGGGACCCATACCAAGATTATCTTATCGAAAAATTAGAAAAGGTACAGAATCAAGCGGCACGATTTGTCAGCAATAACTATAAGCCTTATGCAAGTATCTCTGAAATAAAAGCCATGCTGGGATGGGAATCATTAAACACTAGAAGGTATAAGTTAAGGTTGAAGTTTTTTCATCGGATTTATTATAATGAAACTGGCATTGATAGAAATGAGTATTTGTATAAACCAAGTAACATGTCAGCGCGGTTCGATAACTCTGAAAAGGTTTTTGAGTACTGTTATAAAACAAACAATTTTGGTAGTTCTTTTTTTGTTCAAACAATCAAAGACTGGAACCTGCTGCAACAGGAGCTGGTCAGTATCTCAGACAATGATGTATTTTTTTCTTGTTTGTGAAAATCACTGTTATTTGTTATTTCGTGATCCCCCCCCCCCCCCCCCCCCCCTACGATAATGCCCACGAGGCGATGTAGGTATTCTGTAAATAAATACGTACATTTCGAGGCGCAGCGTCTAGATGGCGTTCCACCGTACTCTAAAGGGGTATTCACACGAGGGAGAAATCCCGGGGATTTCTCCCCGGCACGCGCATATCACGAGATGAAAACGCGAGGCTTTTGCACATCGCAAAGCCTAACGTTTTCGTCGTGGGATGCGCATGCCGGGGAGAAATCCCCGGGATTTCTCCCTCGTGTGAATACCCCTTACGGACATAGCTTCGGAGTATCTCCTAGATCCCGAAGCGCGCGCGCGAAGGCATGCTAAGGACATGGCCTCCGAGATCCCGAAGCGCGCGAACGCTTCTTCGCGCGCGCGCTTCGGGATCACAGTTCGCAAACGAAAATCTAGATGGCGCTTCAAACGACGGGAAGCGGACTGAAGTGAGTGAAGGTGTGGTACCCATACCACTCAGAAGTGTTCTAAGTGGTATTGGTGGTACCCCCCCCCCCCCCCCCCCCTCGGCGGGAGTTCCACAACTGAGGTAATCTAGTAACGTTGGGTTCAGCCGGGGGTCACGTGGTTTAGGGGCTGCATTTGGTATGCGAGCTGCGAGGAGGTGCCGAAAGAGTTGATCGTCTGCAAATGTATCCGCCTTTCCGCCCGCTTTCCTCTTCGCCAGGCAAAAACGCAGTTCTCACTTGCAACCAATCTCCGCGAAAACAAAACAAAAAAACAGAGTTGCATTAATACAGCGTTGATGGTGGTACGCCTCAACGGGTGACCTGTCTCTTAGCTGTAGATGAGAAATGTAGCCAGTGCCACGGCCACTCGATTAGGACGTGCCAGTGCAGTACAGCCGCTAACCTGGGGTCTTTTAACGTTCCCCACGCAGTAGTGACCCCACGATCGCGTGCCGGTGCGAAACTCATCCAGATCGAAACGGGCAGCGGGCGGGAATTGAACCCAGGGGGTACTGCATCCTTGGCTCCACGCTCCGAGCTGAGACGCGTTAGCCCACTCGGCCAGAAAATTGATGTCATTTTACGTGAATCTGTCAAACTATATAGCTGGAGAATTTTACTTTATTTGAGACTATTTCGACTTTATAACTCGTCAATTAAATATACTACACTTGGTTCCCGCGATGATCATGTTGAAACTTTGGATTGCCATAGATGTTCGCGCGTTTGGAATGCAAAACGTAAGCAACGTTTTGTATTAGAGCTTGAAAACCTACGCACTAACACACCTCTACTTTATTGGTATTAATAAAAATGGCGGTAATGTATAGCCCCAATAAGCGCCATATTATCCCGAAGTTACGTAGTTTGACCATAACAGTAAAGGGTCTATTTCTTGAGCCTATGAAGAAGAGACGACCTGCGTGTGTCACTCCCAGCTTCCTCGCATAAGCGAGAATACGTGTGTCGTTTAGCGAACCCAACACACCAAACAAGATAAACGACTGCTATACCAGCGCGAATCTCCGACCCTCACTATATCCGCCCTTTTAGAAAAGTTGTGGCGCCACCTATAGACATTTTCCACAGGGGCGCCGCCATCTCGAATTGTCGTCACTTCCAGTATGGGCGACGACAAAATAATAAAACGTTTCAACCTGTATCTAGCAAAAAAATAGAGGGGAGTCAAAACGAGAATGTGTGATGGTTAGGCTTATATCCTAAATTTCTTCTATTGGCGTGGCGACGGCAAAACAATGTTTTCGCCCATACCGGAAATGACGACAATTCAAGATGGCGGCGCCCTTGTGGAAAAGGTCTATAGAGACAGTCGGAGTCGCGAATAGTGCACTCAGCACACCTGCGAGTAACAGGAACCGCCGAACGAAAATTTAAGCAGAGCATAAAAATCTTTAATAAAACAACAATAAAAAAAAGCTTTAGGCCACGGTTACATTTCTTGAACATCGTACAAAAGTCTGTTTGCAGACATGTTCCGGGCAAGTATGAAGCAAACATGTGCTTCGACCATGCACTGGGACGTGTCCTGCGACAAACAAAGCTTTTTTTTTTTTTACTTTTTTTTTTGTACGGTGTGTGTCCTTTTTTGCTCGTAATGGCGTCATTCACAGACGACGGCGAAACAGCAAAATGCTCGTCTATCCGAGTACGACGATATTGAATAGTTTTTTACTTTACCCCTAAAATAATAATAAACCGCTCGGTGCATCGCCTGTGTGTGTTTCAGGGACGGATGCAGGGCGTCCGGGCTCTTCTGCGCATCGGCCATCGTCTGTGAGCAGCTCAAGCTCGAGCAAGAGCTGGACGTGTTTCGCACGGTGCAGACCATCCGAGCCAGTCGGCCCCAGTTCATCGTGGACTCGGTAAGTTCTGCGCAGTCTTGGGCAAAAACTAGTTAACAACTAACGCCTTACCGATGACTAGTTACTCTTTTCGGTAATTTTTACCTGCAACGCGTTACTCTTTAATAATGGTAACTTGTAACTGTAACACTGTTACTTTTCTTTTGGGTAACTGTAACTGTTTAGGCCGTTAAAGTTACTTTTTTTTAACTATATTTATCAGATCCCACTGCCGCGGACATGGTGAAATCGCCATCTCGAAGTATTTTTCTCAAAACTCCTCGTTGACAAAAAAAGAAACAACAAGAAGTGTGGCCACGCATCAAACAAACAACAAATTGCCTGGTTTAGCCCACGACCCAGAATGGATGACGGGCGAGTCGGCACGAAACCGGGAGATAAAGGAGGCGGCGCCCGCGGTGCTAGGGGCGGCAAACAACGTCTCTTTCACCTGGTAGGACCATCTGCGGGTGTCGGTGGTTGTACAATATGTCTCCGAGTTTTCCGTCTGAGCTGTGTCAGCACCCTCCCCCCCCCCCCCCCCCCCCCCCTGTCCCTTCCCCTTTGACGGATATGTCCGTGCTGTCGTTTTTACTCCCAGCCGGTTGTTGTTTCCTCTTCCCTATTAGTTTTCAAGGGAGCCGTCCCCATATTGTGCAGAGAGCCGGCGTTGCTTTACTTGTTCATTCTCTTCAAAGCCGCTCGAGTAAACAGGAAGGCAGGTTCGAGTGTAATTGCCTTTTTCGTTGATAGCCTCAAGAAACACTCTAATGGAAGGACGCTTTGTGGTGGAACCTATGAAGTGCACCAGCTGAAGCGATTTCCGGAAAACACGTGTCTTGAGTGAAAGAAACAGCTGTTTTCGATGCGTGTATGCGGACTGGGGTGCTATGTTGCGCTTTTTGCACTCCCAGGAGACTTGGAAGAGGGAAGTGACGTCAACGACTAGAGCAAATGCAGATTGGATGTTGACAGAAGAAAACAAAATCAACATCCAATCTGCATTTGCTGCGTTGTTGACGTCACTTCCCTCTCCCTAGTCTCCTGGGAGTGCAAAAAGCGCAACATAGCCCCCCTGGTCTTCTGCATTTGGCGTTTCGGACACAGACGGGTCAGAAGGCCTCCCTTTCTCCCTTTATTCTTTCGAAGCTGTGTGACCTGCTATGTTTAGGCCTGCTTCCGAGTATATCCCATAAAGTAGTTATGTGACCATCTGTGTCATAGCATTCGTTTCGGAGTAAAAAAAAGACACAAAAAGAAAACAAAAAAAACGAAAACGTTTTGTTGACGCGGGCCGATGACAATTTTGAAAAAAACAGTTGATCCTTAGATATAACAATTATTAAAAATAAATTATGCACATCAAAATACTGAAACTGCGAATGACGCAAAAAAGAAACGCCTTTCGGTTCAATTTTTTATAATTTCTCAGGTTACCTCTCTTTTCACTATAGTGTAATAAATAAAATATTATTGTTTTGGTTCGTGATTTTTTTATCCAATTTTTGTACTGTAACGTTAAAGTAACCACGTTACTGTTTTTCAGTCACTAAAACTGTAACAGGTTACTTCTTGAAGCCGGTAACTGTAACAGGGTTACTTTTTCCCCTTACGTAACTGTAACTGTAACAGGGTTACTTTTTCCCCTTAGGTAACTGTAACTGTAACTCTGTTACTTTTTACTGGTAACGTGCCCATGACTGGTTCTGCGCCACGCCGGTCTCAAGGCCGAGACGTCGTCCGTTGCACCGAAAGCTGTCAGCGCGTGCCATGGCAAACAAATGTCATTTTAACATTATGTCACTTTCGCAAAACGCAGTAGTGGAGATGTCCTGGGTTCGATACCCGGACCAGGCGGATTTTTTCGGTCGCGCACCAGTCACATAGCTGTGTTTGAAGATTTGTGTTTGTCCTTTGTCCCTCTTGTTCCCCTTCTCCAGGGATTATTTTGGTCCTTCTTGTCCAGCTCGCTTGCACCTTAGCATTTAATTGCATTATAATCGAAACATACTCTTGTCGAGAGATACCGCCCGTGGAGCATGCAGTGAAGCGTGTGAATCGGGGCGGCTAAATGACCAAACTGACATCACTCAAATGTTTTCTATGAGGAGACGGTAGGGGAGGGAGAAAGGGTGGAAAGCGGGGAAGGGGGAAGCAAGTCCAAATATTTCCTCTACAAAGCTAATTTCATGCTTGCTTACGCTACAGTACTTACGCGACACGTGATTGCACACGAGGGGCCAAACAGAACGCTAGCCTTCAAGAGTGCGGAATCCGTAATGTCATGTCTCTTGATGCACGTGTGAAGAACGAGCATAGTCTTCTTGTCACCACCAAATTCGTCGCAAGTGGAGGAAAAAAAAAAATTCACGGAAGGCTGGATTTGTGTTGTGTGACAACGATTTGCGTAGTGACCTTCTGATCCCTGATGTCTTTGCAGAACCAGTACGCCTTCTGCTACGACCTGGCGCTTGCCTTCTTGGACACCTTTGACACCTACTCGAACTTCCAGTAGAGGGCACCGTTTCCTGTCGTCGAAGCGACGCGCTTTAAATAAACGCTCTGTTTCCAGTTCCTCCCTCTTTCAATTGACTAATCGGGGCTAAGGGGGGGGGGGGGGGGGGGCGTTTCTCATTTATGTCATTGGGTATCACCAGTACATTTTATAAGTTTAACCTAGCATTTTCTTTTTTTATTAACACGCTACGGCGGAAATATGCGTATAATCTGTGTGTCACAGTTTCCAAAAACATTCCATGTTACACAAAAAATAAAAAAAAAAATAAAAAAAGCTTTATTGTGAAGCATGTTTAAAGTGTCGAGACAGTGTGACTTCGAGGCCGGCCTGCTTTCTAATCATGCCTCATATACATTGTCCAGGAGCGGGCCAGTCTTCGTGTATAGTCACGCTGGGCTCGTGGTGTTTCCTTCTTGGTAGTTCGAGGCCTTTGAAGCCCCATTAGAAATGCTGAAGATTTGCTACTCCCGCCCGATGCTGATAGACATAACAGGTATGAAGTGCGGGAGTCTTGCTCCACGCTGCACGCCTATTAGACGTGCAGGCATTGTGTTTCTTCTGATGTGGCGAAGGGGGCCCTCGACCTCTTCATGTCCTCGTGAAAGACGCTTAGGGAGAAATGGAAGGCTTTCTTTTTCGGGCGCGAAAGCGTCGAGTTCCCCTGGAATGCTCGTTCCCACGAATCGGCGACGATGGGGGCTTGCACCAGTGGTCCACGGCCCACGGCAGGACCTCCCCGAGTCCGTGCTCGACTCCCGGGAGCGGAGCGAGCTGGCCCAAGAACCGCGACACAGATGTCTGCAGGGGCGCCCCTTCGGAAGACGAAGAGATGTACACTGCATGGGGGACCCTGGAGATCGATGCCTCCAGGTTTTGGACTGGCCGCTGCTGAGACTGCGATTGTCGTCGGCTGGCTGCGACTAGAAGTTTGCTGTCGGGACGAGCGTCATGGAAGGTCTGCACGTGGCGCGTGGCCAGCGTGGCACCGCAGGCACGCGGTGGCTTTACACGGTGGCGCTCATGAATAGACCTTTTGCTAAATTACGCAAGCACCCAGGAGCGTGCTGTGAGTGGTCACGCGCGCTGTTCGTGCTGGCGTCGGCAGCAGTGCCTGTTCTGAAGCAAAAGTCGAAAAACAAATGGCATCTTGCTCGCACGATCGCCAAAGCCTTATTTCGGTTATTTACTTGTAATCTTTTGTACGGGGAAGGCGAACGCGTCCGGCACGTGTACCTACATTCCCAGCATTCTCCTTGATGCTTGACGGTGGTGGTAAGCGTGTGTCACGAAGGTGCGCACCTGCAGGACTCCTCTCGTCGTCTTCAATGTTTCCGATCATGAAATCGCGGCGATGAAACGCCGGTCGGAGCACGTAAGCTCGCGCAGCACAACCCATAAGATCCCGGGTTCAATCTCCATCCTTGACCGTTTCGATCGTGGTGAGCATCGTGCAGGTGTGCGGCCGTTATGCACGTTAAAAACTCCAGGTTAGCAATCGTATACAGCACTATATAGCAAAATTTCTTATGTATACAGTAGGCAACAATGCCGCCATATTCTGGCAGACCGTTTTATCGTGGGTAGCGCCATTTTGAGGGCGAGAGAGGAGAGGGAAAAGAAAGGGCTACTTGCGCTTTCCCCCTTGCTGGTGCGTTAGAGTCAAAGTCCCGGATGAGAGGCTTCGCCGGTGTCGGGTGCCCTTGCCCCAAACTTCGTTCGCGCTCTCTTTCCTGTTTTAAACTCCCAAACTTAATTAGAGCCACTGGCTTCGTAGGCGACAGTCCCGGACGCCATCCTCTCAACTGTGCTAGGGAAATTTTGTGAATAGAGCACGCGCACCGAACTTAGCGCAACACCGTCGATGAACATGGGCTACGTTCGCATGGTTAGGGCAAGTTTTCTCGTGAGAATAGCTGTTTCCGCTCGTAACTTTTCGTAACCTAATTTATCATAATGCTGATATTGTTGTGTATTCAAGTTCTCCCGCCCCGGTCCTCACCGAGGAGTCGCGTACATTGGGGTCCCCCCGAGTTGCACCAGATGGGATCACGCGTCCGGAGATCAAAGAACCGGGCACGTGTCAGGTTTCGTTTGCACGTGCCCTGCGCGCCTGCGGACCCTACGCCTCCGCGAGACCGCGCTCGTCCCTGCCAAGTGTTGTAGCGACCATCTCCGCCAGCGACACGGGCTGGTTTGCATACTCTACATAAAGTTGAGTTCTTACGTATCAAGGACAAAACAGATATCTTGCAGTGGTAACACTGACTTGATTTTGTCATCTACAACGCTTAGTCAAAGGCTCGTTTGCGCCGCCGGTGTGGCTGGAAATCGATGAAAAGTTAGTTCTGTCGGTTTTCCTGCATCGCCATCTGCTGCGCGATACCAGAGGGCCGTGAAACTATGTTGGCCATCACAACGGGACTAGATTCTTTTTATTTTCAAAATTAGTAGATAGTGTAGCTGGAAAGAAAGCTTGAATTTCTGCTGCTGAAAGTTGAAACATGCTGATGCATCGATATCGAATGGTTTAATCATAGATCAACTCGCTCCGGCAATAGGCCCATACTTTGCTGTTTTCAGTTCTCGACAAAAGATACACTCGTCGTCATGGAATCCTCAAATAAAACGTTTACGAGTACTTTGACGGAATATTTTCTACCTGTGGGGACTCTGAAGTTTCGGTACACCGCATTTCCTCCCTCTGCTAAGCCCTCCGCAACGAAGAAGCCGATACTGCGCCTTCGTGCCGATGGCCTTGACTGTAGAGTTCCGTGTACCGCCGCGGGTTGCGGAGGCCGTTACCGGACGGCGAAAACGATCTACGATAACTCCCTATCGTATCGCCTCCCCCCCCCCCCGGAATTTTGGTGTGTGTGTGCGTGGGAGGGGGAGCTCCAGGACGGCTCTCGGTTGTCAAGCGGGAGGCTCTTTTTTCTTGCTGTTTACAAACACGTCGGTTCGAGCTATGTACACGCACACGATGGTCGACCGGTTTCAGTCCATAGCCTCCAGATTGGACGCAGATGTAGTTTTCACATGCAAACCGAGGCTGGGAGACCTGTGCAAGTCGGTAAACAGAGAGGGTCTCCCTCCACCCCGCTGCACCAAGAAACACATGCTAACAGGCTCACCACGAGCAAGACAGAACACCTCTTTCTTTGCGTATGTCCTGCGGCGTTGCATACAACGGCCAAACGGGTCGCTGCGTAAACGACCGGCTCCGGGAGCATCACAAAGGAGCGCCGCACCCAACAGTCGGCACCCGATACTCACGCAAAGACGGGAATGTCGCTGCTGCGCTTCCGACTTCGCCGCCACGAGGACGCTGGTCAATCTTCGTGGCAGTGTCGGGAAGACGATTATAGAAGCCTCTGGAATGGTAACGAGCCCGCAAATTATAGGATCATCGCCTATTTTGCTGAGAAAGACCTCGGAGTCCCGGTAATGCCCTTGTATCCCTAACCCCCCCCCCCCCCCCCCCCCCCGCTCTTTCTTGGAAGTCGTGGCATAAACAAGTGCCCTCTCCTCAAAAAAAATTCCGGACTACGGGCCTGCGTTGGTTTAACAGTTCGCTATTTCAGAACGCAGAGAAAGAAGAAGGAAAGCAAAATAGAGTTTGTGATGGCCTTCTGTTTCGTTCATTTTATTATTATTATTATTATTATTATTATTATTATTATTATTATTATTATTATTGTTATTATTATTATTATTATTTTGTGTGTGCGTGTGTGTTCTGAGCTTTTAGTGATAAGAAAGAATTATTCTTGCCGCTACGAGGATATACGAAACGTTCGAGTCGGCACAAGCATACATCCGAACACCCCCGCGATTCCCCTCGGTGCAAGATCTGGAATTTTCCGGAGAGGTCTATTCGCCATAAACACCGAACTACAATTCCCCCCCCCCCCCCCCTCCCCCCTCCCGTTGATCGACGGTTGGGTGGTCGAGTGTGTCAGCGCAAAGCAGCTCATGGGGCGTGTGGGGCGACGGCTCGCGCTGCCGAACCTGCGTATCCTGCAGGTTCAGTTCCGACCCCTGCCCGCTTCCACCTGCATGAGCACGTTGTACAGGCGTGCGATCCCGTGGTCGTGCGACATAAGACGTGACAACCGCCGAGGACGACGGCGGCCGGCATGATATAAAGGCTGACGGTATTTCCGGCGGTACACAAGGTAGTTTTCGGCCGGCGAAAACGACCCCAACACACACCACCGCGGAGTGGAGGTCGAAAAGCGTCGGCCGAGCAACGATGACACGAGTGTCTAAAAAAAAGAAAGGTTAATTCACCCTAGGGTTTTCCCTAGGGATTCGCCCTAGGGTTTTACCATTGTTTTACTCCGTGCGTTGTTGTTGTTAGCGTTGAGGATTCTCCGGGAGAAAACAGCTATAAACGTTCGACTGCTTGCAAAACAAAACAAAAATAATACAGTCCGCACGTGCTAAATCACATGTCCAGCCAGCGCTCGTGAGCAATAGACCTATACTCTGTTTCATACTTAGCGTGCAACGCTGTCAAAGCTACTGGCGCGAGCACGTGGCTTCATTTATTGTTTTGTTTGCGCGAGAACGCGTCCAAATGATCAACGAGATGAAGCCCCATGATCGCATCAGTAGCTTTGACAGCGTTCCACGCTAAGTATGAAACAGAGTATATTGCTAAATTACCCAAGCATCAAGGAGTATACAGGGAATGGTGTTCCACGCGCTGCACGCGCACGGCTTTCTCGTATAAAAGATCTGAAGTAAGTAACCAAAATAAAGGGGTGACGAAGGCGCGTGCAAGATGCCATTTGTTTTAGGCATTTGCTTTAGAACAGTTACTACTGCTGAGGCCAGAACGTGCGGCGCGTGGAACACCATTCCTTGCATTCTCCTTGATGCTTGGGTAATATAGCAATAGGTATATTGCAGTTAGCCAGAGAGTGCTCCTGCATAACACACGGACGCAGCAATGAAGGCGCCTTTATGGCGGCCATGGCTGTGTGCGCGACTGCTGAGCGCGTGCTCTTGGCGAGCTTCCGCAGCTCTTTTGCAATGTCCATTCCACACCATC